AAATTGCTATCAAACAGGCCCAAACAAGCCATAAAAAAACTCACAAATCTTGAGAAGTTAAATAATTAATTCACGACTCACAAGAGAGCTGAAAAAAGAAACAGACAGCCCCAAACACAGCAGAAGAGTGAAAACAAACGAAACTAGGTATAAATACAAGAAACTGTACATAAAATCTGACAAGGAGGTGACCATGCTGAAAAACAGGGAGTGAAAATAACAAAAATTGTAGTATAACTCTTTGAATCCCTTAAATAACACAAATTACCAATTCACTTTGTATCTTCGTCTTTAGCTTATTAACTATAGAGTAATCATGTAAAGAGAGATTAGATTGCGTCCTAAATATACAAACTACATATCCCATCTAGGAAGGAAAAGGAGAAACAGTCATCAACGTAGATCCATTTGACAGGCATGCATACAATTAGTGGTAAGATAATTTAATAGACTTAGAGTATAACATATCCATAACCTAAATATTTAATCATAAATATTTTGGATAGGGAAACACAACATACAAACCTCGAATTTATAGTGTTGAGTAATGAATGGTAACTAAAACAATAATTATGTTTAACCATGAATAATTCACCCTACAAGTCGCTGTAGGCACCACTATCTACACGCAGCTACTAATTCCCTATGTTGTTGCCAATTCTAAGAAAGTCCTCTTCTTATTCCATCAGTCCTAAACCCAGATATTCCTCATCATCTAGTGAAACAGACCAACCACTATTAATATAGGCTTAACAACCGCATGAGCTATCTGATGAGTATCAGAAGATACATGTCTTTAATAGCTTGACCACAAATATCGGCCTAAGAACGAGAGAAACAATGTCGCGGATCCATGATGGTTTCATCCGAAATTTTTTAACCTCACTACTGTACAGAAGAATATCTGCTTAGATCTTGACAGCAAACATTGCTAATGACACTAAACGTCACCTCTCGAGAAAGCAGGCTTATCCATGTTCATAGAATACATTACCACCACAGAGACAATTTCTTTTTTATGTGCAACCATAGTATCATTGTATATTTTATATGAAGCGACAATATACTCACCCTTGATACCAATTAATTCATTACCAGTATCGCATTAAAATTGAGGTGAGACAGCCTAACAAAATAGAGTTGATATGCATTAATACTACAGACCAATCATCCCTTTGGCTATTGTGAAATATGAAGTAGCGGTAAATAGAATGCACAAAGGAAGATTTGCTAGATTCCCTTCATTTCCTAATTGAGATATAACCAAAATCTACCCAGTGGGATTCTGGGATCAACAGTTTCTATTAGCTTTTTTAAGGAACCTCATACTATTTTACATACGGTGTACTACTTGACTTCCACAGTGTATAAGTGTCCTCTTCTCTAGATTAGCTGACTACTATAATTTTTTTGCTTATCTCTGAGATAATGGACACTCCTTATTCAACAATGGGTGTAAACTCCAGTACATGACCTAAAGTCATGTTTGTTTTTGTGAACTTTTCTATAATAACCCAGAGGGAAGTGCTGGGGATAAGAGCTTTTTACTGTATACTTATAACGGGTCTAATATGGAATCTGTCATCGCATTTGAGAAAATGCTTCTTCAGAGTCCAAATTGCCTCATTCTACTATCAGCATTATTCCTGGGTATACATAAACGAAGCAATATATGCATTGAGCTTGAGATGAATTCCTTGTCACACAATGATCTCTGGCGAAGTTAAGAGAATAGCACTTGGTGGAGAAACGAAAATGCTATGAGACTAAATAGAAAATCAATTACTCTCTCTCATTCCTATAAGGAATTGTTCTCACTCGTGAATTACACTGTTATCACTTTTGCTCTGCAGAAAGACCTTATTTATTAGTAGCAAGATAAAGGAAACAATGCTTTATTAGCTCCAAATATTATTGCTTACTTATTAGCACTTCTGTTGCATATTATTGTCGAGACGCATAGAGCATTCCCAATCAGCTCAGCACATCTAAATCAAATTAGTTCCTTAGGAAGTATTGGGGTTAAATAACATTATATAATACTTCTTGTTTTCAGTTTATCATCTAGTCCCTTATCTAAATTATGACTGGAACTAAGGAGTTAACAAGTGCTGCACCTATTTGTCGAGTTTGATTTTTTTCAATTAAGAGATAAGTGCTAGTCTACTACATTTCTTGTGCATGGAGCAACATCAGTTTTCCTCTAGCACTCCACATGTTTGATTGAAAATTATTGTCGCTTGAAATTCCCAATTACATGACACGTTCTTTACAGCCATATCTAGTATATCAGAGAAAAAAATTGTTGGGACTATAAAAATAATGGTTAGCCATTAAATTAATCGTGGCCTTGCTAGCTATATTCATGTTTCATGACAGTAGATCCACCAACCTTCACTGTTTGCGTTGATGCGTAATTTATGAGAAACTTTATGATAACTTTGTGCTTTATTTTTGAAGTCAGTAGGAGTAGAACCCTAGCGATTCCAGCTTTGTTCATTCAAACTGCCTGCAAGAGAGATTGATCTTCCTACTTGGGATCTTCGGTTCCCACCCAAATTGAAACCATAGGTTGGGTTTTTTTCTCTATAAGTTGAAAAATGGTATTGGGTAATTTCGTAAGGACATTAATGGCAGTAGAATTCTTTAGAGCAAACATTCCGCCTAGAGTGCACAGAAATCAATGTTCATATAACAGAATTTATATCAAGAAGGCATATTATCAGTCATATTATCCAAACCGACGCGGAGCATGAAAGAACCTTAACCATTATTCTTTGTGAGTATGCTTTCCCAACTTTTTTCACGCAGTGTAGTATTACTCTTCATGTAAAAAGTGTTGTCACACACCATTGATGACTCTAAAAATTCAATTCTCTTTCGTTCTTGGGTATTTATATCAACAAAATAGCAACAAAAGAGTTTATTACCAGGTCTCCATTTACTTCTTATTTCATTTATATAGTAAGTTAGTACATGTGAAAATGACACCGCGAAAGTTATATGGTTTGTATGCGGGATATACATAAAGACCTTCTACAGGGAGATTATGAAACACTGAGGAAGGAAATGCAGAGGATGTAAACAGATGGAATCCATTCCATGCTCCTGGATCGGCAGACTCAACATCATTAAAATGTCTATACTTCCTAAAGTAATCTACAGAGTCAATGCAATACCTATTAAAATCCCATCAGCATTCTTCACAGATATAGAAAAAATAATTTTACGCTTCGTATGGAACCAAAGATCCCGAATATCAAGAGCAATTCTAGGCAACAGAAACAAAATGGGAGGCATTAATGTGCCAGATATCAAACTATATACAAGCTGTAGTAATTAAAACAATCTGGTATTGGCACAAAAATAGGAATATTGACCAGTGGAACAGATCTGAGAATCCTGATGTAAAACCATCCTCATATAGCCATGTAATCTTTGACAAAGCAGACAAAAACATACGCTGGCGAAAAGAATCCCTTTTCAATGGTGCTGGGAAAACTGGATAGCCACTTGTAGGAGGTTAAAGCAGAACCCACACCTTTCACCTCTCAGAAAAATCAACTCACGCTGGGTAACAGACTTAAATCTAAGGTATGACAGTATTAGAATTCTAGAGGAAAATGTTGGAAACACTCTCCTAGACATCAGCCTAGGCAAAGAGTTATGAAGTCCCCAATGGCAATCACAGCAGCAACAAAAATAAATAAATGGGACATGATCAAACTAAAAAGCTTCTGCACAGCCAAAGAAACAGTCATGAAAGTAAACAGACAACCTACAGAATGGGAGAAAATTTTTGCATCCTATGCATCCGATAAGGGGCTGATAACTAGAATGTACTTAGAACTCACGAAAATCAGCAAGACAAAATCAAATAACCCTATTAAAAAGTGGGCAAAGGACTTGAACAGAAACTTTTCTAAAGAAGACAGAAGAATGGCCAACAAACATGAAAAAATGCTCAACATCTCTAATCATCAGGGAATGCAAATCAAACACAATGAGATTCACTTAACTCCGTGAGATGACCTTTATCAAAAAAGTCTCCAAATAACAAATGCTGGTGTGGATGTGGAGAGAGAGGAACACTCCTACACTGCTAGTGGGACTGCAAACTAGTTCAACCTCTGTGGATAGCAATATGGAGATACCTTAAACCGATACAAGTGGATCTGCCATTTGATCCAGCAATCCCATTGCTGGCCATCTGCCCAAAAGATCCAATGACACTCTACAAAAAAGACACCTGCACTCGGATGTTTATAGCAGCACAATTCATAATTGCAAGGCTGTGGAAACAGCCCAAGTGCCCATCAATCCAAGAATGGATTAATAAAATGTGGTATATGATACCATGGAGTACTATTCAGCTCTAAGAAACAACGGTGAATAGCACATCTTATATTTTCCTGGTTAGAGCTGGAACCCATACTACTAAGTGAAGGATCCCAAGAATGGAAAAACAAGCACCACATATACTCACCAGCAAACTGGTATTAACTGAGCAGCACCTAAGTGGACACGTAGGTACTACAGTAATAGGGTATGGGGCAGGGGGGAGGGGGGCGGGTATATACATACATAATGAGTGAGATGTGCACCATCTCGGGGATGGTCATGCTGGAGAGTAAGACTTGTGGGGTAGGGGGGGAAAAGGCATTTATTGAAACCTTAAAATCTGTACCCCCATAATATGCCGAAAAACAAACAAACTAACAAAAAAAAACAAAGATTCCCTTTTAATCTTAATTTGTTAGAAGTTTTTATTATGAATGGGTATTGAATTTATCAAATTATTTATTTATATTAAAATTATCATGTAATATTTCCTCGTCTTATTCTGTTTATGTGGTAAATTAAATTCATTGACTTTCTAAAACATAATAAATAAAAAATTAAAAAAAAGAAGATTATATAAAATTTATCAACATGAAACCAATAGTTGTAACATGTCATAAACGTGAGGGGAGGAGGAAAAAGTAATAAAATTATCTTACTGTGAACTTAATGCCTGGTTGTGATCGATATCCAAGTTGTTTGATTTCTAGTTTAGCCAACATACAAGATAATCGAGTAGGTGCAAATAATACAGAGATGATGATGTCTTCTTTTGGGTGAATTCTGATCTCACAGTTACTGGTCAATCGCTCTTCAGGACCAAAAGTGTTCTGGAGCTACAATTTAAAAACAATCACTGCATAAGACAAAGCAGTAGCATAAATAAAACATACCATTAACACAAGCTCTTAAAAGATAAGTAACACAAATGGACTGCATATGTAAGTGTTCTGGACCTGGACAAAACAGAAGATAAAACAAGAGAGCATGTACTCTACAAACCTGAAAGCAGTCCTGATCTTGTCCTCTAATAAGAAGTCGTAGATGTTGGGCGGTAGATGTAGAATCATTTCTTAAAGCTAGTTTCTGAAGCCTAAAAACAATCACATGTTTTAAATGTGGTTTTCCTGCATGGATGTTGCTACAATTATAAAAACAAAGGCAATTAAAACCAACCACCATGTCTAGAAATGGACTGACCACACCTGCCATCTCAGCAGCCTAGAATTCTCTCTCTACAGTCCTAGGAATCTCATGTTAGTGAAAATGTGGACTCAACCTATCGGAGAGACTGGTTTAATCTATTTCCAATTACAGCTCTGCAACTGACCTTATTATATGTATAGGTATATGTATACCTGTCTTATAAAGTATCACTGGTATACTTAGCTCAATCTAGCTTTCAGGGAAACAAGGGGATCTAGGCTAAGAGGGTCATTTGCACAAAGTTGTCTTTTAAAAAGTATATTGAATTAATCCTACCTTTAAAAAGTTACAATGCAACTACAACGGACATACAAATAGCAGCCGGCTGACAGAAAAACACTTCAATCTTTGAAAGTATATGAATCCTCTCTTCATTGGAGAATAGAGAATAAAGGAGCAAATCTCTATTTTACTCAAATTTTGAAGATCAGTAACTAAGAAATTATTTAAGCTGTGGTCTATGCCCTATCCCTTCAGCTACTGGCACCGGTGGAAAGAGCCTTCCACAAGTACACTGACTGGGGAAGACTTACCTTAATGAAACATCATTTTGTAAATTTTTCATTTTATTTATTTTTTTAATTTATAAAGAATGGGGTGGTTATAATTTTCAAATAGTAGAGTTATCAAGTGGGGGTGGGAGAGGTTGGGTTTCTGTAAGGAGAGTCATATCATCAGTCAAATGAGCCACTGTGCCCAGAAGTTAAGAAAAAAACTAGTTTCTGCTTGAGAGAAGTCTGTTCCTGCTAGACTTCTGACAGAAGCTTCTTCCAGAGGTCCTTTTAAAGATAAATCTGCATAATATAGTGAGTCTCAAAGGAGAACAATTTAACATTAAACACTGCATCCCATTTCCTAGGATGCACCACCCCCACCCCACTGTGATGCCCAAGCATGGTGCATCAAAAGCACTTTTCTGGGTTTTGCTAAAACCATGTGGTTGTTGGAATGAGATAATTTGGGTCACTTAGAAGAATAGATGGACTGCATGTTCTTTACACAGCTCTCTGTAAACCTACTTCTCACCTGGGCTTCTGAAAAATACTGAGTGGCAGTGGGTTTGAGGTATCATTCCCTCTTTGGTAGCTCCTGCATTGTTGGTCAAACGTGTAACGGCTTTTTGCAGCCAGTTAAGATAGAATTGGAACTGGAATATACTTTAAAGGGAAAGACTGAATGAGGACATGGCCTATCTGGAAAGCTTTTCCAATTCTGTATAATTTAGCCTGAATAGTGTTTATGACAAAATTTTCCTCGAATACATATACAAACAATTGATTATCTGTCAATCTTTGACACTTACTGTGTTCTACCAAGAGGAACACCTCCCCAAGCCAGAAATTGTTTGTTGGACAAAATTGATGGAATATCTGAGCTGCAAGATCCAGGTGGCAGAGGTTTACTTCCTGAAGAAACTACTTGACCTTTTAACACTACTTCATACTGAGGTCCAAATGGCTGCACAAATATTTTCAAGATCCTAAAAAAGAGAAGGAAATCTAAGTTAAATGTCCTATATTCAATTATTTTGACAACTATTTCCTACATGCTTCTTTTGTCCAAGAGACTGAGCTAAGTGCTGATGATACAATATTATCCCCACCCTTTCAGCTTCTACTCCAGAGAAGAATCCAGATGACAGAAATGATAATAATACCATCTACATGGTGGGATATAAAAAGTCATGGTGCTAGGAAAATACCATTTTATGAGAATTTCGGGAAGAGTCGAGGAAAGCTTCCCAGAAGGAGTCAGCCCAAGGAATATTTTTTTAACTCAGGATATTACGGGGGTACAAACATTTTGGTTACATCAAATGCACAGCCCAAGGAACCTGAGGGCAAGTATTCCTGGCATAAGTATTCACACTGGTGTAGGCCAGACTTCTCTCTTCTGCGAGGACCTAAGAGCAGACTGAGCCCATGAAAGCGTTCTATAACACAGGCAGGGGGATAAGCCACATCTGTCTCAGAGGAGAGTGTGCCTTAAGCTAGGGTTATGCAAGCGAGCTCAAATACTATGACAAGGGTGTTCTGACCGTACGCTGATATTTACTTATGAATGTCAAAAAGTCACGGGCCTAGAGAAGGGATAGGGAAAATTATCTTAAATTAATAACTGATAAGTTCTTTCTTTTCGCTTTCTTGCCTGAAAGAAAAAGTTAATGAGAAACATCAAAATTGATATTCTATTACTTACTTTTGTCAGAATATACTTGAAGATAGTGATTTCTTAATTTCTATTCAGTTGGTTTAAAAGGAGATTCTTAGTAACAAAAAGAGAAAACTTTGAAGCTCAAGTAAAGAGATTAAGTAGAGCTACATAATTTATTAAGTGATGTAATATATTTCCTTTACCATTTGGGATATCAATTTTGAAGCACAACTGGGTGGCTGTTTTGAGAGATAAGTAAAAACTTGTCATAATAAACATTTCTATATTACCTTTCCTCACACGTTTTGGGATCCTTTGGAGTAAATGAAACTATAATTTCATGTTCTTCTCCAGGTTTAAGGAATAGATTCTCTGGGTCCACTGAAAAGTAACTTCCTTGTTCTGGGACCTAAATAGTGATATAATCATAATTAAATGCCGACTTATGCAAATGCGGCTTTCACTCATTACTCTTGTCTTGTGTGCGTTTCTCATTTACTAGCACAAGTTATTTGTCCCTTGCTTCTTGTCTGTCACTGTCTCAACTTGTCTTATTCTCAGGGAAAGTATATTTTTTTCTTCTTCCTCTTCCATAACAAACCTTATCTCCCATCCCACCTCCAATTCCCAGTCACTAATACCTTCTCACTCACTCAGAGGTCTCAGAAATAATGTCTACATGTGAGGATCATTCTTCCCAAATTCCACCCAGCCACAGGATAACATTCAAATTTTTAAGAAACTAATATAGAACCTGGTCCTTGTACTCAAGACATTAGCCTTCAAAGTTAAAGTACAACAGCATATATTTCACACCAGTGTAACATCCAGTCTTTAAAACTCGCGGTGATTTTGTTTGATCCTCAAGGCACTCTGACAGCGTAGGCAGCACAGCAGCCTTCAGGTGAGGAGCTCTCACAGTCTGAGGAAAGACTATTTCATAGGATGCTGACAGAAATTCTCACCTTGATATCTAAATAAACTTCGATATTCCCAGCATTTTTCAAAGGTAAGTGTTGCTTTGTTGAGGAAGCCACACTGGCCGAAAAATGCATAGTCTAAAGGAGTAGGAAAAACAGACATTTTAAAAAACTGTTACAATTAAAGTAAAATCAACCTGAACGCAAAACAATAATGGCAAAGAGGAGAGATGAGGGTACCTGTAAGTCCCGAGGAGCGTGTATCCTAGCTATTCCTGCTCTTGCTCGGAGACCAACACTTCTAAGAACTGGTGTTGGATTTGGGCTGTCAACTTCTACATCAACTCTTGCCAAGAATTCTTCTGCTGAGCCTAGAATCTCTATAAAGGTTCATTCTTTTAGTTCAAAGACCAGTTATTTAATTCTAAATGCCATTAGCAGTCCAACACAATGCCCTTAGAGGCAACGAGAAAGTTTAGGCAAGAAGATTTTTAAAAGAATCAAAAGAGGAGTAGAGGCCAGGCGCGGTGGCTCACGCCTGTAATCCTAGCTCTCTGAGAGGCCGAGGTGGGCGGATTGCTCAAGGTCAGGAGTTCGAAACCAGCCTGAGCAAGAGCGAGACCCCGTCTCTACTATAAATAGAAATAAATTAATTGGCCAACTAATATATATAGAAAAAAAAAATTAGCCGGGCATGGTGGCGCATGCCTGTAGTCCTAGCTACTTGGGAGGCTGAGGCAGAAGGATTGCTTGAGCCAGGAGTTTGAGGTTGCTGTGAGCTAGGCTGTCGCCACGGCACTCACTCTAGCCTAGGCAACAAAGCGAGACTCTGTCTCAAAAAAAAAAAAGCGGAGTAGAAATGAGCGAGAGAAAGACAGAAAAAGAAAGAAAACATCCAACTGGTAGGTGTGATAAGATCAATTTAAGAAAAAAAAAAACCCTAAAAGGTTTTCAGTGGTATCTGCTCTGGTTACCCACACTTAGACAGGTGTGACCCAAAACAGAATGCCATCTGACCCATTTTCAAAACAACATAAAATACTTAACAAATTACTCAAAGTATTCACATTTACTGACCGAGGAAATAAGTTTTAAATTTATAATCTGTTTAGCTAAAGACTAAAGCAATTCTCACAAAATATAAACATGATACCTGAAGAACCAACTCGTTTCTTTGGACTATGAAAAAGAACCCAAATTATCAGAAATTCTGGATCCTATAAAATAAAATAAAAAATGTTGTTAATGTATACTGGTAAATCTTAATGACAGAAAAGCAATTTGCAAACTGAACTTCCTTTAATTCTAAGCCAGCTCTCCACCACCACCCACCCCACCTACCTGTCCATCATAACTGGCAGGCATCATGTGACTGACCACAGAAGGGCCTGCCAGCCAAGCCCCCACTTCAGCGTAAGGACCAGCTGCCACAGAAGCATGCATGGGTTCCTTGGAAAACGTGAAACAGCGCCAGGCTACAGCATTCTGTTCAGAAATAGCACAATCAGTTTTAGCAAAGCTGTAATGTTAAATTTGTTAACAAAATCCTTAAAAAAATTTATTTTCATAATTAACCAAGAAATTAACCAAGAATGATCTTAAAAGTGTCTTTAAATCAATGTATTCTGTATGCGATTTCCTACTGTATGTCAGTACTTACAGCATTAATAATCAGTCTGACTGGCACAGTGGCATGCGTCCTGTTTATCAATTTCAGTGGGAGAGCTTTCCAGCCTCCATAAGTCAGGTCACCAAAATCAAGAACATCTGTCTTTTCTGTTTCTACCTAATTATGAAAGAAAAGGGACTGATTTATGAAAAGCAATATATTAATAAATAGCACAACCTATGTTCCTATCACTGTCTTTTGGAACCATAAATTAAGAGTCAGCATTAAAGGTAAACTTACCTAAGTTTTACCAGGAAATTTTATAATTGCTTATTTTCTTCAAAAATAAGTGTTAAATTCTGCTTTTGAGGTAGTTTATATACTCAAATACACTAAAGATGTAAGCAATACCCTATCTGCTGCTACTCTGAAAAGAGTATTAGATCTTAAGATGAACTGACAATTTCATAAAATATATGAATCTTCATTCAATAAGTTTTATTATTAGCATATTGACTTCTCATTAGAATATTGACTTCTATTATTAGAATACTGACTTTTCCCTTCAAAAATATAATGAATATCTTGGCATTTTCAGATTTAATCCAAACTTCTAACAATACTGAAAAGGTTTAAAATGATATCGAAATAGACATATCAAAAATTTAAAACAAATGGCAACTATCATGACAGACTGATTTCTTTAAACATGGGAGACCAACCTAACATAGATCCCTCACATCCACGTGTAGAGAGTCTGTACATGTTCAGTACAAATGGACACATTCATTTTGTTTTTCCTATTATTTTTGCTTTGAGTTTAGTTAAATCTAAGGATGCAGACCCTACAGATACAGAGAACTAACTGTAAACATACATGCACACTTTTTTACCCTAGCCAAACATAATATGAAGGGAAATCAAAGGCAGACCTGGTAAGTGGGAGCTGACTTCTATGGAGGCCCAAGAAGGTCTAGGGTCAGATTCAGTCTGAGTCCACCCAAGTCTGAGTTTTAACACCCTCCAGAGAAAGGAACACGTGACCTCAAGTTTGTTATAGGAAAGGGAAGGCTGGAATGGAATTTGAACTCCATTCATCAAGCCCAGAAATTCAAAGAATGCTTTCCAGAAAGGAAAAGGGAACTAGAATAACTGTCCACATGTTTAGGGAGATGACAAGGAACCTGTCAGGGATGGCTGGCACAGAAGAGCGTGGCAGGAATGTGAAAGCCTAGGCCTAGGGCACACCAGCCACAGGGGCTCCAGGCTGAGAATGATGAAAGTCTCCAGTGACGCCTGCATTTCTGCAAAGTGCTCTCTAGGGACATTTCCAAAGACCAGGACACATGGGATTCCTAAAGCAAAAATCAGTCTCAATGAATGTGAGCTTATGTTAAAATTTTTTAAATATCAAAAATTAGGCCTGGCAAGGTGCCACATATAATCCTACCACTCTGGGAGGCCAAAGCTGGCAGACTGTTTGAGCTCAGGAGTTGAAGACCAGTCTGAGCAAGAGCAAGACCCATCTCTACTAAAAATAGAAAAAATTAGCAAGGCATGGAGGCACATGCCTGTAGTCTCAGCTACTCAAGAGGCTGAGGCAGGATACTCACTAGACACAATGATAAGCCAAACAATGTATAAATAGCTTGATCAATCCATTAAAAATTTTAATGCTGGGATTTTAAAAATCATGTGCATCTATGATATTAGTCAAAGATAATATAAAAGGAAAAAAAAAGAACATAAAAATGATCAAAGCTTATTGTGCTGTTTGAGAAGAGAACAGAGTTCCTGATTAATTTAGATCTGGATGACCAATTTGAATAATGGAAATAGAAATATATTATTTCCAAACTAATGCAAAAGAACAGAGAAAATTTAATCCATTCAATAGGGGTCAGGAAAGGTGGGAAAAAACAAAGAGAAAATACTGAGCTGAATATTTAAGATACATTATAATGAAACCAATATTGAAGAATGAAAAATAAAAAGGTACAAACAGATCAAGAAATTAGTAAACAAAAGAAAGCTGACATAGCAATATTAATACCAGCTAAAATAGACTTTAAAACAAAAGAGATAAAGAGAATTATTACTTTAAAAGGGACCATTTTACTTAGAAAATAAAACTGTAAGTCTAAACGTATGTAACAATACATTTGCAGAATACCCAATACAAAACTAGGAGAATTTACAATTCCCTGTACAGAATTTCAAATCCATAACTACTTCTCTCAGACGATGAAAGAATAAGCAAACAAAAATACTGGTAAAAAACTATTAGTAGGCTGGGTGCAGTGGCTCACGCCTGTAATCCTAGCTCCCTGGGAGGCTGAGGTGGGTGGATCATTTGAGTTCAGGAGTCCGAAACCAACCTGAGCAAGAGCGAGACCCCATCTCTACTATAAATAGAAAGAAATTAATTGGCCAACTAATATACATAGAAAAAGTTAGCCAGGCATGGTGGCGCATACCTGTAGTCCCAGCTACTCAGGAGGCTGAGGCAGAAGGATCGCTTGAGCCCAGGAGTTTGAGGTTGCTGTGAGCTAGGCTGACGCCATGGCACTCACTCTAGCCTGGGCAACAAAGTGAGACTCCATCTCCAAAAAAAAAAACTATCAGTAATGATTCCATAGATTTGGACTACAGAGTAATTAACCAGAGCTAAAGAACACATAAGAGAAAAGGAGTCCCTTCTTCTTCTTCTTCTTTTTTTTTTTTTGGAGACAGGAGGGTCTTGCATTATTGCCCCGCATAAAATGCAGTAGTGTCATCATAGCTCACTGCAACCTTACATTCCTAGGCTCAAGTGATTCTACCGCCCCAGCCTCTTGAGTACTTGGGACTACAGGTGTGCACAATCGTTCCCACCTAACTTTTTTATTTTTAGTAGAGACAGGGTTTTGCTCTTGCTCAGGCTGGTCTTGAATTCCTGAGCTCAAGCGATCTCTTGCCTCAGCCTCCCAGAGTGCTAGGATTACAGGTGTGAGCCATCTGGCCAGCAAAGCTGATCTCCCGCCTCAGCCTCCCAGAGTGCTAGGATTACAGGCATGAGCCACTGCAGGCGTGAGCCACCTGGCCAACAGAGCCATTCCTTCTGAACACACAAGAAACATCAATATAAACTGAAAACACAGTAAGCTACAGAATCAATCTATCTCCATCCCTTATTCTGACCACAAAGGTGAAAAAAAAAAAAAAAAGAGAAAAGAAGATAGCCAAAACATTTCTAACACATTTGGAAATTATAAATGTACTTTAAATTTTTGGTCAACTTTAATATATAAACTTTTAGCAACGTAGATGAAATAGCTAAGTGACTATAGTCATTGGTTTTGGTACATACACACACACACACACAAACACACACACACAATGCCATGCTGTTTGCACTTTCAATCAACAGTTCCACAAATATTGATTGAGCCACTATGCGCCACGCAATGTGTTCTGGACCTGAACAAAAAAGACACAGTAGCTTCCCCACCAAGTGACTTTCACTTTGATGGGGGAAAGGAGGATCAAACAATAACAATACACAGGGAATATTTAATATGTCAAATGAAGAAAAGTGCTAAACAGAAAAGTAAAGGACAAAAGGAAGTGGGAGGGCAGGTGGGGGATGCCTTTCTATAAGTAGTGTCCCATGACATCTGAGCAGAGCTCGAGTAAGTGAGAATAAAGCATGTCCTTATCTGTGGGAGGAGGATTATCGTCAGAAAACAACAGCATTCAAACTCTGACGAGGACCTCCAATACCAGTGGCTTTTTCATCATCACTAGAATACTTTTGTTTGTTTAGAGATGGTGTCTTGCTCTATTGTCTAGGTTGAAGCACAGTGGTGCAAGCATAGGTTTTTATTAGCCTTGAAGTCCTGGGCTCCAGTGACCCTCTTGCCTCAGCCTCCCAAGGGAAGTAGCTGGGACTACAGGTGCATGCCACCATGCCCAGCTAAGTTTTATATTTTTGTCGAGATGGGGTCTCACTATGTTGCCCGCGTTGGTCTCCACTTCCTGGCCCCAAGTGTCCCTCCCACCTAGGCCTCCCAAAGTGCTGGGATAACAGGTATGACCCACCATACCTGGCCTAAAGATGCTTTCTGAGTTGTCTGACAGGTGTCCAGAAAGCTCAGTCTTCATATCCATCCAAACTGATCCCACATCCCTTTTTAATCTATATGTGATGCTGTCACTGAAAGTTATTCTAAGCTGAAGCACCCACATAACATAGGGAAGTTGTTTTTATTTATTCTGTACACATATATTCAAGATTTCTCCCACCTAACCATTTACCATATTGTTTAAGTGACATTTAAAAGGCTAACATATAACATCCAACATTTACATAGCACCAGAAATAACCAATAAATCTGGTTAAATTTCTTAGTCTCCTTTTTTAAAAACAATTATGTCAAGTGACTTTTCAAACATCCCAAACCAACACCCTCTCAAATAATAATAGGCAAATGCATCATCCCCAAGGAATGAATTTTAAGAACACACTATCAAGCTACTGCATCACTTCCAAGGAATACTCTTGTGGAGGAAGAAAAGAGAGCCTTGTCTTGTATTTGGGATAAAGGATCTTACCTTACTCTGTTATATTTAAAATATCAGCCCAACCAAAAACATTAAGTTGAAACAAACCAAGAAATGGGAGAAAACTGCAATGCTTAATTAGCAAATCTAGAATATAAGGAACATCTACAAAAATTGATGAAGATATTCAAAATAATAGAAAAATAAGCAGGAATATGAACTACCATTTCAGATAAGAGAAAACCAGACTGGCTAATAAACATATAAAATGATGCTCAACATCATTAATCCCAGCATGTAAATTAAAACATGTTATTTTACACCTAAGAAATAAGCAAACAATTTAAAACAAGAAAACAATTGAAAATCTACCAGTAACAAAGGTTAGCAATAATAGCAATTCTCACATATTTCTTCTGGGAACATAAATTAGGGAGAAATTTGGCAATATCTTGGTAAAATAAAGGCACATATACTTTAAAATATCATGTTTGCTGTAGGTACCTAGGAGACCCTTTGTCAAGTAATCCAAGAGCTTGTATGGGTGTGGCCTCCGTATAAAATTCCTCAACCATCTCTCAGAAGGAATGCTATTTCCTAGTCAAATCCTGCTGGTCCCTCAGGGCCCCATTCCTCTCACACCACTCCTCCAAAAAGGCGACTTTAGCCTGGTTAACATTGAATTCTCTCTTATACCATTGGTTCCTAAACTTGCCTATTGGACTCAAGGCTCAGATACAGACATCAGTATTTTTTAAAAATCTTCAGGTGATTCAAGTGAGCTCACTAGCTGTGATTCACTACCTTACACTGTCACTCATTAGTTATGGGAGCCACTCATAACATGGCAACTTCAAATATTGTGTAGATGTGACTTTCATTACTGCTACAAAAAGGTAAGCTGCTTAAGGGTAGGTTCAAAAGCCTAGCATACTGGACTGTATTGAAATGCAGAAAATTAATGACGTTAGTTCTTAGTGGTTCCCAACTGGAGGTGATCTGACAATGTCTGGAGACATTGGTTGTCACAACTTGGGAGGGATACAGCTGGCATCCAGTGGGTAGAGGCCAGGGGTGCTGCTAAATATTCTACACTGCATAAGATGGCCCTCTCTCCACTCCCCTATGAATTTTCTAGCCCAAAATATCAATAGTGTGAGAAGTCAAAAACATGCCCTAGAGCAGGCATCCTCAAACTACGCCCCACGGGCCACATGCAGGTGTTTTTGCCCATTTGTGTTTTTACTTCAAAATAAGATATGTGCAGTGTGCATAGGAATTTGTTCATAGTTTTTTTAAAACTATAGTCCGGCCCTCCAACGGTCTGAGGGACAGTGAACTGGCCCCCTGTTTAAAAAGTTTGAGGACCCCTGGCCTAGAGAATGAGAAGCAGAGCTGACTGAAAAGTACAAAAAATAGCACTTAAGCAAAAAGAAAAAGATCATTAAAAGTTTATGAGAACATCTACAAACTCTACTTCCTCCTCCATTCTCTAGGGGGGAAAAATATATATATATATATAATTATACATATATATGTATAATTAGTCATACATATATTTTTTTATATATAAATATATTATATTTATATATATATATTATTTTGAGACAGGGTTTCACTCTGTCACTCAGGCTGGAGTGCACTGGCACGATCACAGCACACTATAACCTCCAATTCTTGGGCTCAAGTGATCCTCCAGCCTCAGCCTCCTGAGTAGCTGTGACTACTATCGATAGTCACCACACCTGGCTAATTATTTTTTGTAGAAACAGGGTCTCGCTATATTGCCCAGACTGGCCTTAAACCCCTGGCCTCGAGCGATCCTCCCCCCCTTAGCCTCCCAAAGTGCTGGGATTTGCAGTCATGTGCCACTGTGCCTGGCCAATTCCCTAGAAAATAAAGTTGTTGTTGAACTAAGTTACTAAGCACTCCCCTTGGAAGATGTGTATGGTGGGGAAAAATTCCTGAATGATTCTCAGCCTCCTAGGGAGGCTGCCTTACTCCTCACTCCCCATACCCACCTCTAAACTGGAAGTCACAGTTACAGCAGTGTTGAATGAACAACAAATCAACTTTAATAGGACATCAGACTCAAATAATTAGGAACCAACTAATTTTTAATTACATTCATTCATTGTTTAACAATATTTCAGTCAACAGTGGACTGGATATACAGTAGTAGTCCCATAAGATTATAATGGAGCTGAAAAATTCCTAATGCCTAGTGATATCATAGCCCTTGTAATGTCATTGCATAATTTCTAAATTTTTTTAAAAATTTGGTGCAGTGTAAATTTACTTTATGATGTTTGCATAATGACAAAATCACCTTATGATGCATTTCTTAGAACATATCCACACTATCAGGCAATGCATGACTGTACTGTGACTAGCTTTTCTGTTTTTCCTCTGTTTTGTACCCTCCCTCATTCCTTAATCTTGTTCAATATGTTAATCCTGATTTCACTACCAATTACAAGGAGACACTTCTGTATAGCAGTGGTTGTTAACTGAAGCTGCAATTTGTAATCATCTGGGAGGTTCAAAAATTACTGGTATATAGCCATACCCTCGCCAATTCTGATGTAGTTGGTCTGGGTGGGACTCAGATATTGGGGGCATTTAAAAGCCCCTAGTGTTATTCCAGTGTGCAGCCAGGATTTGGTGCTATTGTCCTGAATGAGGATATAATCCAATTATCAATAATTAATTGGATTAATCCAATAATCCAATGACCGTTTATTATCCCAATTTGGCTAGACATAATTTCTTTCACTTCTAGAAAATGAGTGACTAAAGAAGAGAAACTTCTCCAGCCAGCAAATAATCTTCAGGTATAGAAAAGAGAGAAAATATGAACCAATGGTATATTCCTTTATATAGTAAAAATGGGAGAAGAATATGAACCACTGCCACCTTCCTAGGTATATATCAAATTACAATGGAAATCAGCTGGAAAATAGGGCTTAATGTTATAATCTGCTTTGCAAACATCTTAGCAAGTACACTTGTGTTGCTGTAAAACAATGGAAATAATTTTAAATGTTGAAATAAGAAGATATAAGAACCAACTGTTTAACTTGAAACTAATTTTGCAGCATATTTGCCTACAAATTCATTTCCCCCAAATATTACTCCTGAGGTTAAACAGCCTTCATTAAAATGCCAGGTATGATAAAGACTCGTTTACAAACAGTTACCTCGATTACAGGGCTCTCAGCAATAGCACTGAGGATGACTGTGTTTGCCAAAGCTTCTGCCTGTACTATTGTCTCAGCACCTGCAGAACATGGCCAGGAAGCAACACTGAATGTACATCTGAAAACTCCAGGATTGGATGGTATAAAAAGTACTTTTATCTCCTCTGTGGCATGAGGTCTTATGATGACTTTATTCTTGAAAACTAAACAACGATATGTTGAAAGATCCACCTTTAAAAAAGAGCCATATGGTTTGTTACAAATGGTATCACATTGAAAATCAAGAAATAGAATAAAAAAAAAAAAAGAAATAGAATCAACTAGATTAAGATTCTTAGTCCCAGTCACTCAAACTACCAGATTTAGACATTTATTGCCTCTTCAAAAACATCCAAATCTTATAACTAATTGTCTCTAAAGTATAATTAGTCAAAATGCTTCATAAGTTGAATTTTCCTTACTGCATAAAGACCTGTATCTCCCTAGTCTATTTTAAGCCAACCACATTATTTAGACCCTCACTTTCCTAAAAAAGGACGGTGCCAATGGGAGCCTTTCCACAGTTCTATAAACCTCTCTGGGATGTGGTTTCTGCAGCTTTACATGCCATGGGGGGCAGGGTTAGGCTGATAGCTAACGTCCTGGACAGGCCCCACATCTGCAAATACAACTCTGCCCACCTTGCTGTGAATGAAGGTCTTTTTTCTACTCACCACTCCCATAGACAACACTACTTCATTCAGACTCCTAGATGTCCCTAGAGTCTTTGAATCTCACTTCCACCTTCAACCCTTTCTTTCCTCTAATCATGTGCTGTTCATCTAACCTGACGATCTGAAGGCTAAAGGAAAAAGCTCAGAAAGGGAAGAGGTGGGGTAAAGGCCATCTGATTTTACCAGGTAAATTAAGTCTACTAAGAGGTAGGAGAGAAGAGTAAATCAATCCATCCACCAATGTGGGTTTGCAAGTAGCAGTTGCAAAACTGGGACATTTCAAAACAGCAGCTGCTGCCCACATTGCCACCTCCCTCTCATGGATGCTCAAATAGTTGTCATAATCGGGAAAGGAGATCTAGAGTCTAGAATTACAGGAGCTATACTTGATCATGTGAGAGATCTTTGTTATAAGAGTTCATGTTAAAAGTGTATTCCCAGGTATTTCAAAAGATCATGTAAGAAAATGATCAGATAAATTAGAAACACTCCTTTTACTAAATGAAGGCATAGACCCTAAGAGTAACTTTTGTCATTCTTTCTTTGACAAATGACAGTAACTTATATTAGACCACATTTAACAAAAATGCCAAGTAGAGACCAGGAACTCAGAGCTTTCAGTGATTTAAGTAATTGTGCTAAAACCAAATTTACATGATTTTATAATAAATAATAACATATAAATAATAACTGATGGAAATGCAAAACATACAGATTTCGCTACTTACACTGTAAGTACTATCACAAAATGGGGACCCCAAAAAAGACACCATTCCAATGACTGTCTCCAAGGTCAAGAGGGTGGGGGACAAATTGGAGAGTGAAAACATAAAGCACTCAATCATGATGCAATTGTTAAGTCAAACCAGAAAAACACAGAAAGCTTACCTTTCCACCATTAACACTAACACTGAGAAGCCCAATGCTGACCTGGAGCCAGCGATCAGTTGGGTTGAGCACACTGAGGTGGGTCTGTGAGGCGATGCCCACACAGCAGGCATGAGGAAACTTCAGTTCCTCAGGTACTCTCACAGTCCCTGGGGAAGGAAACAGTATAGTAACACAAAAATCAGAGCAAACACCTGATTAAAAGCACATTTGGTTAAATGGAAATTATTATATAATTTATACCCAAGAGCTACAGAATAAAGTGCCCCAGATGTAGGAGTGCTTGACATGGTATAAACCTCAGCAGAGGCCTGCCAACAATTTTTTTCCTGCTTCCATCCAGTCCAGGAAAAAACAATTAAAATTGATCAAACTCACAATTACAGCTAATCAATTATTTTATGTTATTACCAGTTAGTAATTTCCTCCTTTTTTCTCACAAATCGTAACCTGAAAGAAAACCTGAAAAGAAACTACAAAGGCTCTAACTTTCCAGATATGTCTACCTATTCAGATTTTTAATACTGCACCAATCTTCCCACCCTCCTTATGCAGTTACCTTGGAGGGCAGAGAAGACAGCACCCAAGGCGAGTGACTATCAGCAAGAGAAGCAGCCCCCACAGTTGAGGGCATAAAGGCACATCTCTCATTATTATAACAGTCACCCCCAAGACTTACAAGGGAGAAGATGACTCATTCTGGGACTTGATTCTAAAGTGGACATTTCCTAGATGAAAGAATAACAAAAATCTAAATGCAGAGCAAAAAAGAGATAAGACAAAGGCATAGGGAACCTTTTACCTGCTTAAGTTTCAGGATTGATCTAAGCCTACTTCCGGGACCCTTGCACAGAAATATATCATGGTGTTCACAATGGAGGAGAAAGAAGAAAACTTAAAAGAAATTAAGACCAACTAGTATCTCCTTGAAACAAATTCGTTTTATGGTGTCATCTGAGAAATTCAACTTTTAAATAATAGCGAGCAACAATAACAGAGAAAAAGCATCTTACCAAATCCTGATGTCATTCCTGAATCCCATGGTTCAATTGAACAATGTGCACCAACAGATTGCACAGGAAAAGCTTTCACTGTGTTTAGTAGGTTCTGATTTAAAGCATTAGAATACGGATTACAAAGAGAAGAGGCACCAGTCAATCCAGAGCCGATATTTGGTCCTACACAAATGCCGACAGCCACAGAGTTTTGCACATGCTCTCCTGTGACAGCAGGATAATGATAGCCTCCTGAGAATCCACAGACGTTGGCACTGTCAGCATGGCATTGTGGCAAGGCAACACTTGCAGCTGAGGGGACTGCTCCCACATACTGCTGGGCAAAGGGAGCTATGCTAAGAGAGTGTCGAGTCAAGAGTGCAGGCACTGAGGCAGGCACATGCTGCATCTCAGTGGCAGAACCAAGATCTGTACCACTGGAAGCAGGAGGATACTGGTGTCCAGAGGTGGTCCAATGAGAAACTTGGCCACTGAACTCACTGCTGGCGGCTGACATATCTTTAGAAGTTATCCTTTGCTCTTGGTCCACAGACTCCTGGCGTGACACAGGGAGATGTGGCATGGCTGACCCAGCCTCACAACTCAGACTTGACTTGCTCAAGAGAGCCAGTCTGACTGGGTCCAATTCCTCAGGGTTTGAGGACAAATCTACGTCATCGGTTTCCAACAGATCTCCAATTTTGGAGGAATGATCTTTACATGATCTAAAGGTAGATTTTATGTCTTCAGGTGTGCTACACAGAGAAGTAGTTTCAGCTACTTTTTTCATATCACTGTTGTTCTGGATAATCGATGATAATGTTCCCTTTACACTATTCTGAAATGAAACTTTCTCTCTCAACTTTTCCATAGCCTGTTCTTCTGATGGAGCTGGACTGGCCCGAATAATTGTAGTGCTCAATTCACCGGTGATATCACTCTGGGTATGACAAAAAAATTTTTTTAAATAATTCATAGATAAACTGAACAAATTCACACCATGTTGGTATAAACTCAAGTAATATAACACAGAGATCTACACAAATGATCCCTCTAAAAAAAGATTTAGTTTACACAAAGAAGAGTAGTTTTGCAGCTATGAAATGCAGGCTTATATTAGAAAATTTGTACTCATTGCTTTATAAAAAGAAAATTATATGAACAAAATAAACAGGAGGTATACACCAATTACATCCAAGAAAGTTACACAGATAAAGGACAAGAGTCAAGTAATTTTTTGCACATTTAAGGGATTTATTTTTGTAGACTTTGTAATAAAAATCTAAATAAATTAGTACCGAAGAAGTAGGGGGCAAGCAAGTTTTCAAATAATACTGACATGAGGTTAGGAGTCAACATGAAGCTCACAGGTCCTCCCACCACCTCTATTTGTCTACACTGCTGCACATGCTTGAAGATTTGAAGGTGCTAATTTTTATGTTCATTATGCCTTCTCCCATTTCTAAACTTATCTGGCTATATTTTCTTAAGTATGAAGTAATGGTTCTGGGCAATGTTCACATACTCATTTCTTTAAACATAATGCATGACCTGAAGGGTGAGACCTACAGTTAGTTCTGCAGGGTGGTCCGGCTGGAATTTACACACAAGTAAAGACATACTTAATCCTCATTGATTGATTTTGGTAGTTGGTTTGAAAATTTCTCCTGAACCATTAGAAACAATATACTGATAAAGATTAGATTTGCCAGTTATTAATAACAACAAATAATATGCATTGGAGGTAACTTAATAGGGGACAGGCACTGCTTTCACATACTACTCCTCCTTACAGATAAAGAAACAGGTTTAGAGAGGTTTAGTAATAATCTGTCTGAGGAAGTAGCAGAGAAGTTGTCTGACTTTATAACTCTGCTCTTAACCACTAAACTAAGAATATATGGACTCAATATCTAACAACATCAAATAGATAGCTTTCAATTCGCTATTGCAAGGTTGTGGAAACAACCCAAGTGCCCGTCAATCCATGAATGGATTAATAAAATTTGGTATATGTATACAATGGAATATTACTCAATTATAAGAAATGACAGTGATCTAGCACCTCTTATATTTTCCTGGATAGAGCTTGAGCCCATCCTCCAAAGTGAGGTATCACAAGGATGGGAGAATAGGTACCACGTGGACTCACCATCAAACTGGCACTGACTGATCAACACTATGGTGCTCACATGGTAGTAATATTCTTCAGGGATTGGGGGTTGGGGGGGTAAACTCACAACTAATGGACACGGTGAGCGTTGTAGGGGGGAAAAACATGCCTCAAATCATGGTTTGGGTGTGGCAAACTCATAACATGTAACCAAAATGTTTGTACCCCCATAATATCCTGAAATTAAAAAAAAGACAGCTTTCAATGAAATGAGTGTAATGTTTTGTGTGACACTACTTCATCTATTTAGTAACTCTACTGCACATATTTAGTAGCCTGCCAGAGGATGGCTCTACAGCACACCCACAACAGTCATATTTAGCTCATTAAAAAACTGAACACTGCCACATTCACAAAAGACACACATAGACAACAAAATACTAGCTTCTCTTGCATAAATCTCCCCCATCTTCCTCTTCTATCCCCACAGCTACTACCTCGGCCCAAGCCCACGCTGTCTATGGCCTGGATGACTGCAGTGGCCTCATGCCAAGTGCCCCTGATGTTGGTCTTGCCCGAATCCCTCCTCCACACTGCTCAATGAGGTGATTGTTTATTGTTTTCAATTCTAGATTTCCATTCTGATAGAATGAGCTTTTAAAACATTCAAGCAGATCATGTCAGTGACCGGCTTAAAACTCTCAAATTTTCCCTTCAGCACTCTTCATGGTTTGGTCCCTCCATATTCTCTAGCCTCAGCTCCTTTTTCTCAAGGACATGATGTGCTGCAGGCAACCTACCCTTCCCGGAGCACCTCGCCCCAGCGCATTCCTCACAGCCACACCTTCCCCTGTTTGTCACTCTGCTTCTTCCCAGCCCAACTCCAAGTAGTCCTGCAAAACTCAGCTTCAATACACTTTCCCTCCCAGGAACTTCTGTAGTCAGGCTGTTAGTCACTCCTGCATCCCCAAGGCACGTGTGCATCACGGTGAGTGTCTCTCCAGCAGACTGAGAGCTTTGTGAGGGCAAGTACTAAAGTGCCTCTAGTGTCTACTCAGCATGAGTAGCTGTTTAATATGTACACACGTATACACACACACAGAAGTTCATTTTAAAGGTAAAATAGCAACACAGAAGTTATACAGGCTTGAAATTTAGTGTGAATCCAACAATCATAACAGTTCAGAGTTGTAAGCCTTACTAAAAACACTCCAGGTGCTACCCACCTTGCTGTCCTCCAGGCCGCAATCTGTGGCTGTGGTAGGATAGGTGCTCTCCTGTTCAGACACGTAAGTCAGCCTGCTCACACTAGCATGGGAACACGCCACATGAGACAACCCACTCTCACAAGGAGGCTTCTGAGGAGCTGTTGAACCAAAGGACTCTAAAGCACACCTGAAAGAGAAAATACCTCATGGTTGGAATTGCTCACTCCTTAACATTATTTGTATTAGCAAAAAACCATTCGTACTTTCCTATAGTCTTGTAAATAAATCAACCATGGATGCATTGTTTGTACTTAATTATCCAAAATTATAAATTATATTCCTCCTGAAGTAACTGGTAAACTACTGTAACAGAAAGATGTCATGACATCTTTATTAATAAGTACCATATACATATAGCCATGTTAGCTATTCATTCCATAAAAATTTACTGACTACCTGACAGAGAGCAATAAACAAAAGCATTAAAAAATTCTTGCTCTCAAAGAACAAAGATGAGAAAAAGCATCATGTGGATAAGTGCAAAGATATGGGAACAGTCATATACCACTGATAGGAATGTATGGTGGCACAACTACCAGCAGGGCGACTAAGTGGTACATGGCTATCAGAAGCCCCTGGCGGAGATATATTTAGGAATTTATGCTGAGGCAAAAAATTAATGGTAAATATAAATACCTCACAAAAAGGTTATGTCATCACATTGCTATCAGTAATAAAGTAGGAAATCTTACGTGTCATATAAGAGAAATTAGATTATGGAAATTATGGCACAGATACACAATAAAACACTATGTGGCCATTAAGAATCATGCTGTTGGGCTGGATGCGGTGGCTCACGCCTGTAATCCTAGCACTCTGGGAGGCTGAGGCAGGCGGATCGCTCAAGGCCAGGAGTTCGAAACCAGCCCGTGCAAGAACAAGACCCTGTCTCTCTCTATTAAAAACAGAGAGAAGTTACTTGGACAACTAAAAATATATAGAAAAAATTAGCCGGGCATGGTGGCGCATGCCTGTAGTCCCAGCTATTCGGGAGGCTGAGGCAGGAGGATGGCTTGAGCCCAGGAGTTTGAGGTTGCTGTGAGCTAGGCTGACGCCACGGCACTCTAGCCTGGGCAACAGAGTGAGACTCTGACTCAAAAAAAAAAAAAATTTCAAAAAAAAGAGTCATGCTGTTGAATACTATCCATTAATTCAGAAAGATGTTCGTGATATATAACAAAAAGATTAGCCAGCAATAAATAGTAAGATCCCACACCTATTTATACACACTCACACTAGTGTTACTTCTACCTCACTCTGCTCGTCAGGACCTGTCACAAGGCTATACGCCCAGATGCAAGGAGGGAAAATGGACCTGCCCAGGGGAAGTGGCCAAGTCACAGTGCCAAAGTGCACATGGGAAAGAAAATAGTGGCAAGCCCTCTTTGGAAACAGTTTCCATACCTACTGAACACTCTACCAGTTAGTTTGAATTTGGCTCTTAACTTGACTGGATCTTACAATATCTTTTTGTGTGTGTGCAAAGTTCAGCACCTGGGTAATGGACACACAGAGAAAATTCAAATTTGAATTCTGGACTTTAAAAAGTCCCAAATCAAGACAGTATTGTCAAAATACTAGTAAGTTTCTAACCAATGGTGACACAGTATCATTGACCATATTCCAATCTATTTTAGCTACTGCATGACTTGCACCTGCATGGGTTCCTGTATATACCGCCTACTTCCCACCCACTCCCCACACAAACACCATGATACAGCATGAAAAAAGTTCTGAATTACTACTGGCTGATGCATTATATTAGTTTGGCTCCTTTGGTTGACAGGAACAAATGCATTTAGGTTAAATTACCTCAAGTAATAAGAAATGAACTACATGAACACATATAGAAATAAAAAGAGAAAAATTTCAGTCGAGAGGTCAGACTTCAAAGGAATCCCCAAACTGCAAAGGTGCTGGTCACATAGAGATGCAAAGGCAGTTCTGGAATTAGAAGCTCTAACTGGCCAGGCATGGTGGCTCACGCCTGTCATCCTAGCTTTCTGGGAGGCCGAGGCGGGCGGATAGCTGCTGCTTTAGGGGTTCCACACCAGCCTGAACTCAGCCTGAGCACAGTCAGACCCTGTCTCTAAATCTAAAAAAAAAAAAAGTAAAAAAGGCAAAAAAAAATACACTAAACCTAACAAAACAGCCGGGCGCTCTGGCAAGTGCCTGTAGTCCCAGCTACCCGGGAGGCTGAGGCAGAAGGATCGCTCAAAGCCCAGGACCTGGAGCTTGTGGTGACCCACCCTCACTGCACTCTGCCCAGGACGCAGAGTGACACTCTGTCTACACACACACACACACACACACACACACACACACACACACACACACACACACACAAAACACAGACCAGCTAGAAACTAGCTAGAAGCAAAAAGACCAGCCAGCAGGAATGCTAGTGAACAGCAGAACTTACCAGATAAAGTGTACTCACCAGAAACATAATACCACCAAACAGATGAAAATTCTGACCAATATTTCACCATGAATATAAAAAAACTTAATGAAGCAATCACATCTATGAACAATGATCACAAAGCAGAAATATAAATTATTAAGAAAGAGACAGATGAAGAAACAGAAGACATGAAGAGAAATCAGGAGGAAATGGAATATGAGCTGACAGGAACCAGAAAAAAAAAATCTCAACCCCCTTTAACTACAATAAAAAAAGTATAAAAAGGATTTCAAAAAAGATGAATAAATGCAAAATTAAAGTCCATGTTGGCAGCAATGAAGAACATAATCAATACTACAGAAAAGTCAGTGGTGCGGGGGATGAACACCAGAACAACCATCCCTTACTACAGAGAGGGAAGACACAAATGAAAATGAGGAAAAAGGAAATATTCATGGATGCCCAGAAAAGGGTATATCAACTAATCGCCAACCAGTGTACTCAAAAGGAGGCGAGAATAAATGGAACACCAGCAATAATCAGAGATATCAGAAAATAAAAGTTCTTCAACAGAAGAAAGAACTGTGCATGCAGAGTTTACCATATTCCAGAAAAAAATCAACTGAAGGAATGACACATTCATTTTAAGTTGATTAGGGAAAACAATAGTAGGAACATAAAATGGAGCCAGAAATTTAGACTTGGAAAAAAATGCATACCGTGCACCAGGAGAATGGATAAACAGAACGTGGTATATCCGTGCATTAGAGGACTACTTAGCAACAAATATTATGAGGTACTGATACATGCAGCAACAGGGATGAATCTCAAAAACATGTTGAGTAAAAGAAGCCAGGCACAAAAAAACAACATCCTGTATGATTCTATTTATATGAAATCCAAGAACAGACAAAACTAAACTTTGGTGACATAAATCAGAAAGTGGGTGTCAGGATGGGGGAAGGAGAGGAGAACTGACTGGAAAAAGGCAGGGGCCAGGTACAGTGGCTCACCCCTATAATACTAGCACTCTGGGAGGCCAAGGTAGGATCATTTGAGCTCAGGAATGTGAGGTTGCAGTGAGCTATCATGATGCCATTGCACTCTACCTGGGTGACAGAGTGAGACTCTGTCTCAAAAACAAAAACAGGGGTACTTACTGGAGTGATGAAAATGTTTTATATATTTTAGGAGGTGGTGTTTACATCGGTATATCTAAGTGTCAAAAACTCACTGAATGAAACCCCTACGGTCGTATGCTAAGATCTACTGTATGCTGATTATACATCAGTAAAAATATAACACAAAAATACATAATGGGAAATCATAAAATTGGGTTAGAGGTGGGCCACAATTTGATTGTAAGCTTGCTAGTAAGGTAAACCCTATCTTTGAAGAATTCACAGACTAATCCAAATGCCAGACACAAGTCAAGAGACTTCAACAGGTATGGCAGAAAAAATACATGCTAGACAACTCAGTAAGACAAGATCAACTCATATTGTATTCACCAGCAATTTCAAATTCAGTTCAGAGCATACTTAGCCTCTTATAAATTGACCTTTTTTCACTAAGTCCTTTGGTTTTGTCCCAAGCAGAGAGGCGAGGGTACATGTGCTTGGCTAGATTACTCATGCAGAGTGAGCTTCCCAATTTCATGATCACTTTAGGAAGCTAAATGAGATGACCTCATTCAAAATATCTGACTATATGCCAAACTGATGAGAAAGTTGAGTATTTCTCTAAGGCACATTTACCTACACATAATAAACATATGTATTTTCTTAAAAGTGAAAAGCAGATGGGTCCAGGAGTACAACCCTCCAGTCCAGTATCTTGCAGTAAAGGGTAGTTTGAGAGAGAAAAATCATAATACTGTAAGTCATTATAGAGTACAGTTTTTATTAAATGCCTTCACATACATTTTTAAAATGTCAAAAACAAGGGCTGGTCGCGGCGGCTCAGGCCTGTAATCCTAGCACTCTGGGAGGCCCAGGCAGGTGGATCATTTGAGCTCAGGAGTTCGAGACCAGCCTGAGCAAAGAATAAGACCCCATCTCTACTAAAAATAGAAAGAAATTACTTGGACAGCTAAAAATATATAGAAAAAATTAGCTGGCCATGGTAGCAAATGCCTGTATACTCAGCTACTCAGGAGGCTAGCTTGAGCCCAGGAGTTTGAGGTTGCTGTGAGCTAGGCTGATGCCACAGCACTCTTGCCTGGGCAACAGAGTGAGACTCTGTCTCAAAAAAAAAAAGTCAAAACCAAAGAAAACAAGATAAAATTGGAAAGTACACAAAGGGAAAACAGACATGCAGAAAACACGGTCAGGAACCTAGAGATCAGAAATGCCACACCAGTGATGAAATGACACCAAACTCTACCCCCACCCATGTCAAGTTCCTAGTGGTGATACTGCACTATAATTATGAAGACGAAACCACTAGGGGAAACTGGCTGAAGGGCACATAGGACTTCTCTATGCCATCTTTGCAACTTCCTGTGAATCTATTAACTATTTCAAAATAAAAAGGCTTTTTTAAAAAAAACAATTAGAAAGTAAATGAAGAAGTCAAGCAAAATAGATCCCACATATGCAACAGTACAGTTCTTGGGGTGGGAGAAAATGGAGCAAGACCAATTTTCAGAAATGAGTCAAAAAATTCTTTTCTTTTTTTTTTTTTGAGACAGAGTCTCACTTTGTTGCCCAGGCTAGAGTGAGTGCTGTGGCATCAGCCTAGCTCACAGCAACCTCAAACTCCTGGGCTCAAGCAATCCTTCTGCCTCAGCCTCCTGAGTAGCTGGGACTACAGGTATGTGCCACCATGCCCGGCTAATTTTTTCTATATATATTAGTTGGCCAATTAATTTCTTTCTATTTATAGTAGAAACGGGTCTCACTCTTGCTCAGGCTGGTTTCGAACTCCTGACCTCGAGCAATCCGCCCGCCTCAGCCTCCCAGAGTGCTAGGATTACAGGCTTGAGCCACCACGCCGGCCCCAAAAATTATTTTCTTAAATAAAAGAATGCCTGGGCCAGGCGTGGTGGCTCATGCCTGTAATCCTAGCACTCTGGGAGGCCTCGGCGGGAAGATGGCTGGAGGTCAGGAGTTCAAAACAAGCCTGAGCAAGAGTGAGACCCTGTCTCTACTATAAATAGAAAGAAATTAATTGGCCAACTAAAAATATAGAAAAAAAAAATTAGCCGGGCATGGTGGCGCATGCCTGTAGTCCCAGCTACTCTGAAGCTGAGGCAGAAGGATTGCTTGAGCCCAGGACTTTGAGGTTGCTGTGAGCTAGCCACGGCACTCTAGCCCAGGCAACAGAGTAAGACTCTGTTTCAAAAAAAAAAAAAGAATGCCTGAATCTGAATATTGAAAGGGTATACTGTGTGATAGGGCAAAATAATGATAAAGACATAACACAGAGATATAGCTTAATAAAATTACTGGAATTGAAAAATAAAGAATCTTTGGCAAAACCCTGCAAAAATATCAAGTCAATTCCAAGGCAAAAACAATCAGGCTTGTCTGAGATTTCCCTCTAACATTCCACAGACAGCAAAGCAATCCCTATGAGAAACTTAAGGGAAGAAAGTGTAAACCAAATATTTTTAAACACACTATGACATGTCATAGCCAGATGACCTTCAAATTTGGTTGGGCTGGATGAACCTCTAGTGTCCTTTAATAAGTTATTAGGTAAGTAAAGACTGTGTGTATATGAAAAAGTGTTCCAAAATGAGGGGTCTACAAGGAATCATTGAAAAAACTAAGTTCTCCATTGCTGTTTAGCTCTAGCCAACCCACATCACATTTCAGAAGAATATGAAAAACCTCAATTGCATCTTGGGAAATAGTTAATAGGTATCTTTGAAATACAATGATGTAAAACAAATTGAAATTATATTTAACATTTCTGATAATTTCATTGGTTAGGCAAATTTTTCCATTTATTAAAATCTTTCAATAGAGAAACATATAAAAGATCTCTTATAAAGCCATAAAAGAAAACTTCAAAAAATACAAATTTTATGAGTAAAGTTATTCAACTCAGTATCACTAAAATGGCAAAACACAGTAAGATTCAAACTACCCACCAGAAGTATCAACTAAACCAAGAGAGATCCATTATGCAGTCTGTAGTATTACCCATTTTCTTTCAAATCCAGAGAATCATTGTTATAATAAGTGAAAAAAGCAGAGTACAAAAATTTGCACAGAAAAATGGCAGGAAAGAAATTCACAAAATACTTAAAATAATTACCTTTGAGAGATGAACCTATAGTAATTTTTCTTGTTTACATATTTTTCTAATTTTCCTAATACTGAGTATGTATTTTTATTATTTAAAAAAAAAGTGAGCACTTACCCTGATAAACTTGTTCCAGAAACTTCACTAGGTGAAGAATGACTCAGTGGTGAAGTGGAAGGTCTGAAGCTCTCCTGGTCATCCTTTGAGCCACGTCTACCACACTCAGGAGAGGTATTTTTCAAATCTATCAGAAAGGTGTATTTTCCAATAAGAAAAGAAAAAAAAACTGTGTTTTTGTGCATGATGTGATCAATTACTCAGATACTTACCAACATTTTTAGGTGAAACTATGCAATGGTTTTCAAAAGCCACATGCTTTTCACTGTTGCTTGTTTCAATAACATACTCATTTTGCTTCTGATTTTCTCTACTATCTTGTATTTCTTCACACTCTTCACACAGCCAAACAGATGTTATTCTGGGGTTCCTTACTGATGAGTAACTACTAGATGGTGGAGGGGAAACTGAAGTAGCTTTTTCACTGTTACCAGTATCTGGGAATTTGCTGTCAGTGGAAGATGTCTTCACATCAACTATTGCATTCTCATTCTCTCTTATATTTGTAACAAGTGAATTTGAAGAGGTTGTTGTTCTTAATGATTGTTGATTCTCACTCTCTCCATTTTCACCATAAAAAATAGCTGCTATGTTTTCTTTTGGTTCCCTTACACTTATATTAGTAGCACCGAAGTCCACTATACAGATGTCTTGAGTGGTCTGTTCTTTTGGCAAAGATAAATCCCAAATATCAGACATCCCAGCTCTCGAAAAGTTTTCCAATCCACCTTCATATCTACTAACTTCTGTTTTTTTAAGGTATTTCTCCATATCAAATGCATTGGACCCATTACTTTTTTCTAAATCATTAGGTAAGAAATGAGACACAATGAAACAGTGCTTCTGTTTGTCATCTTCTTGAAAAGTCTTGTCTCTAGTTTTATTTGAAAGAGCCTTAATCATGGCAGCGAGTTGGGAAGGATCAGTATTAACTGATGCATCTGCAATGGCTGAAGCAATGGTGCTTATTCTAAGTACAGAATCACCACTCTCAGGTAGCGTGTCTTTGAAACTTTGGGGTTCACTGTTTATGAAGAAACTGTCCTAGAAATGAGAAAATTAACATCAGATAAATTTACTCCAGTTTCATGGACATGTAAACATAGTACTTACCCCTCATCCTTGGGGCATGTGTTCCAAGACCCCCACTGGATGCCGGAAACCACAGATAGTTCTGAACCTGACTGCTGTCAATCAGAACACACTTCTGTTCATGTCTTCCACCCAAAAACTTAATGCCCTTTCCATCTTAACTAAGCAATTATCACTCACTATAGCCATAACTTTTGCATTCTGAGGTACAACAGCAAATCTAGCATGAATCTCTTTCTTCACAATTTCACAAACAGAAAAATCATTCTTACCATAGTCTTTAGCAACTTCTGCGTACAATTTTTTCATTTCATTATTAAGTTGAGAGCTTTCACTTTTGCACTTAAAGGAAGCACTTTGTGGCTTCTCACTACTCTTGAAATTTAGGGCCATTATAAAGTAAAACAAGGGTGAATTGAACACAAGTTAATCTGAACACAGCTACTGAGTAATTAATGGGTGGACAGCAAGTATAGAGTAGAGAAGCTAAACAAACTGAGGATTCACATCCCACCAGGGACTGAGCAAGATTGTATAAAGATTTCATCACACTACTCAAAACAGTGTACAACTTAAAACATATGAATTATTTATTTCTAGAATTTTCCATTTAATTTAATTTTCCATTTAATTTGGACCACAGTTGACTGTAGATAACAAACTATGGAAAGTAAAACTACAGACCAGGCTGGGCGCGGTGGCTCACGCCTGTAATCCTAGCACTCTGGGAGGCTGAGGCGGGCGGATTGCTCGAGGTCGGGAGTTCGAAACCAGCCTGAGCGAGACCCCGTCTCTACTAAAAATAGAAAGAAATTAATTGACCAACTAAAAGTATATATACAAAAAAATTAGCCGGGCATGGTGGTGCATGCCTGTAGTCCCAGCTACTCGGGAGGCTGAGACAGTTAGGATCGCTTGAGCCCAGGAGTTCGAGGTTGCTGTGAGCTAGGCTGACGCCATGGCACTCACTCTAGCCTGGGCAACAAAAGTGAGACTCTGTCTCAGAAAAAAAAAAAACAAAAAACAAAAAAAACACTACAGACCAGGGGCAGGTATTAATTTAATCTATATTTATAATCACTATGTAAGATTTAACAGCAACAAAAAACTAATAATATACCAGTTAAATAACCTAATGAAAAAGACAGCTACTATAAACTTTAATTATACAGTTCCAGGTTATTTACAAAATCTGAATGTCATTTGTTTTTTTAAAAAATCTTCAGGAATTAAAGAGATGCTAAAACTGAATCAGAGAATAATTTAAAGCCAAAAAATTAAAATACTGAGACTGAAAAGCCACTGGGCCATTGTGATTCTAAGTATACTTCTTGGTAATTTCATTCAACTGTTAGAATTATTTGCAAGCAAGACATAAACAGGAACCATGGAACTGAAATGGGTCCAACAGCTAAGAAATATAAAACTATTTAACAAAAAATGCATGTTAAGACTTTGCCTCCAGTAATAACAAACCTTTTGCTGAGAGCAGTTAGAACTGGACAGCATATTCAAAAACATCTCTGATATCAATGGCCATCTAAAAATGCAGTGTAACCATATGGGGCCAAAAATCTCAGAGAAGAAAGTATCCCAGAGAGGTAAGCCCAACAGTGGTGCTCTTCCCTAGGATGATCTGCTGCTTCAAAAAGAGGCTAAGCAAAGCTGTTATTAAAGGAACAGGAATATAAAACTTGAGTTCAGAGTCTGCCAATGACTAGGGTTAGGGGATTAGGAGGGTGGTATGTGTGTATGTATGTGTGTGTGTGGTGTATGAGAAAGAGAAAGACAGACACACACACACTGAGAGCACGGTAAAACATCCATGCCTTAGAATGAGACCACAAGGGATACACCCTAGGAGTGTAAAGGTAAATGACTATTAGATTGGCCCTCATAAGGACTGAAACTCAGTTCCAACCAGCTCAATCCCAATTTAAGTGAGCTGCAATTGCTAGTGTTCTTGCTGAGTCAGAAGCAAACATAAATGTAGTCTAGAACATATTATCTCCCTTGGCCTCAAATTATTTCAATAATTTTTCTTATAAAAACCAGGAAAAAACAAAAGATACCTAATCACATAGTAAAGTGGATCTAAACCAAACAAAGAAAATAACAGTCTGACAGCCAACTTATAACATGAAATTATGTAAAATAATACATTTAACATATTAACTGCCATGTGAGTTGTATTTAACTCACGCTAGTTTTGAGCCTAGGGCCTTATGAAGCACATGTAACTCACATGTCTCTTTACCTTGAGAGCCTTGTGGGCTATTTTTCAAGTTGTATATAACTCACACCAAGAAAACAACAAAAAATAACAAATTTTTCATTAAATTGGAAAGGATCGTTTTGTTTTTGAAGTTTTTATTCTATTTTTGTAATAAAACACTGTGGCCCCCAGGAAAAAAAATTTTTTTTCTAGTGTGGCAGTCAATGTGTTAAAGTGCTAAAAGTTGCTACTAATCTAGAATTCATAGCCAGCAAAAATATACCTCAAGAATAACAGAGAAATAAAGACATTTTTAGAGAGACAACAGAAAATTTATTATCAGTAGACTCTTACTAAATAAAAAATAATAATAATAGTAAATCTATTTTTCAAGCAGAAGAAAATTAATCTCAGATGGAAGGTCAAACATATATACTGTTTGTATGTAATCATCATCATCATCATAATGTCTTATGGGACCTAAACACAGAGAAAATAAAAATATAAATTAATAGAAGCTTTAAGCCTAGAGTATAGTAAATTAAGCATTTTATGATCCTTATAATGTCAAATAAAGGTTTAAAAAAAATAAAAATGATTTTTATTAAAAATTAATAAGCCAAGGAGATAGGTTATAATTTCTTGGGTAATCACTAAAATAACATGAAAATAAATACACATATGACTACCAAATTAACACAGGCAGATATTGAAATATAAAATATTTAGACAATCCCAAAGAATGCCAAAAGAAAAACAAAATATAAATGAAACAAAAAGCAAATAAAGAGAGCAGAATTACTTCATATTAGTAATTCTATAAAATATAATTGGAAAGACTGTGACATGGGTTGAAAAATAAAATCCAACTGTATGTCCTTATGAGAGAATCATCTAAAATATAAAGACATAGCAAAATTAAAAGTGAAATAATGGGAAATGATAATATCCTAACATTAACCAAAGAAAGCTAGTGCTAACTATGTTATTATCAGGTTACACTTAGACAAAAAAGCATTACTAGAGACAGAGGGAGACATCCACAATGACCTGATATGCCAGAGAGCAACTCTAACAAGACAATGTGAAAAATCTACACAAAAAAATCGTAAAATACAAAGAGAAATTAAAATAAATAAATGAAGGGATATATGATTTTTATGGATTAGAAGATTCAATATTATAAAGATGTCAGTTTTACTGTTCTATAGATTAAATGTAATCCCAGTAAGAGTCCAACAGGGTTGTTGGTTGGTTAGCTGCTTGTTGATATATGGAAGCTGACAATCTGATTTTTAAGTATGTATGATAACATAAAGGGCCGAGAATAGCCAAGATACTTTTTTAAAGAAAAATACAATGGAAGGACTTGCTCTATTAGATACTAAGACTTACTGTAACGCTATTATATTCAACAATGTCATATTGACACAAGATAGATAAACAGACCAAAGAAACACAATATATAATCTAGAAGAAGACCCAGAATGTTGTAGATATTTGATTTATGACAGTTGGCACACTGGAGAAATGGAGAAAGCATGGATACCATTTAAAAGGCTGAAAAGCAAGCCACAGACTAGAAGAGAATACGTGAAACACTCCTAACTGGCAAAAGGCTCCAATACAGAAAATGTAAAGAATGCCTATAAATCTGTAAGACAAACAATCCATTAGAAAAATGAGCAAGAGACTTGAACATGCACAACATAAAATTGGCTATCCAAATGACCAATAAACAGAAAGAAGTACTCAACTTCATTACTAATCAGGGAAATTCAAATTAAAACAAGGAGGCATCACTACATACCTTCCAGAATGATTAATAATACCAAGTGCTGGTGAGGATGTGCAGTAACAGGACTACGATTATCACACACTACTAGAAATCTACATTGGTACAACCACTCTGGAAAACTATGCTAACACTACTGAAGTTAAGGTATGTAAACCCTATGACCCAGCAATTCCACTCTCAAGTACACATGTCACATGAATGTGTGCAAATGTGTGCACACGCCAACAAGACACAGGTGCTATGTTGTTCACAGAGCATTATAATTGCCCAACACTGGAAATATCCCAAATGTTCATCACCAGTTGAATGGATATATATATAAGCTAGAGAATATTCATATAACAGAATACTATACAGTAATGAAAATAAGCTTCTATTATACTTATCTAAAAAACAAAAGGTGAAGTTAAAAAAGTCAAAGAAAAAGAATACCAGTTACTTGGTTTTTGCTATATAAAGTTCAAAAACAGGTGAAATTAATGCAGTATTAGAAGTCAGGACACAAATAGCAGGAATAGTGTTTGGAAGGGGACAAAAAATTGTTTCTGAGCTATTGGCCATGTTCTCTTTCTTTACCTGGGGTATACTTGGTGTACAAGTTGTGATAATTCATGCACTGATTTTATAAACTCTTTTGTATGTGTATTTTACATTGATTAAATAAAAGATTTCTTGGCCGGGCACAGTGGCTCACGCCTGTAATCCTAACACTCTGGGAGGCCTAGGCGGGCAGAGTGCTCAAGGTCAGGAATTCAAAACCAGCCTGAGTAAAAGCAAGACCCCATCTCTACTATAAATAGAAAGAAATTAATTGGCCAACTATATATTAATTGGCCAATATATATAGAAAAAATTAGCCGGGCATCGTGGCGCATGCCTGTAGTCCCAGCCCAGTTACTTGGGAGGCTGAGGCAGCAGGATTGCTTGAGCCCAGGAGTTTGAGGTTGCTGTGAGCTAGGCTGATGCCATGGCACTCACTCTAGCCTGGGCAACAAAGCGAGATTCTGTCTCAAAAAAAAAAAAGGAAAAAAAAATTTATCTTTAACTTAAAGGACATTTGTAATAAACTTTAAGCCAAGAGAAAAAAACCAGTTAAACTGCATATATTTTTCACAGGTGATCTTGTCTTGATCTTATACAAAAACTATAACAAGACAATCTTAAGTTTCCTTCATGAAAGGCTTACCTCTGTTTTCCCTTTATCCACAGTTAAGGTCACATCATCTTCATCCGCTTGTGAAATATTCCCCACTGCTTCAACCTGAAGTGTATCTGATCCTTCACTTAGTTGTGCCTGGGACTGTTCATTTAAATCTCCTGCAGGAAATATACAATATTCAACTTATAAGTATACATGATCTCATAGATAATCTGTGGGATAATGACCAGTAAAAATGATTAACTGCCAAGGAAGAAATCTGTTTACCCCGAATAGCCATCCTCACTGTAACTGTTTAAATATACAGTCACTTAGACAAAGGACAACAGCATAGTTAATCTGGCTCAATTCTGAAAAGTCTGAACTTTGAAGAAAGATTGTGAATTTTACTCTCTCCCTTGCAAATACATATATAAATTCATTTAATATTTTTCAGCTTTAAACATTTCATAAATATACAATAAGCTGAATTTAGAAGTTAGTACTTCTTTACCATATTATAGAAAATGAACTATCATATATATACACACACACACATATACAAATATAGGCTCTTTAAGACATGGAACATATCTTGCACAACTTCAGATGATATGTAGCACAAGGCACTGCACCAGCAGAAATACCTGCTCAATAATTTTAAGCTGACCGAGAAAGTTTGATTATAAATATTTATCATACTTAGACTATCAAAGTCTAAATCTCAAAATAATCACACAACACCTAAGTTACAGGTTTAAAACAAAAAAAATAAGATTCCTTAAAACCTCTCTATTGATCCATTACCTGAAAACAGAACATGGTTAAGATGACTCATTTCTTTTTCCAAATTACTTCTTGATACATCAGATTTTCTTATTAAAGCAACAGGTTCCCTCTTTTCTGGTGATCTAATAAAATAACCAAATGATGGCTACAAAATAATTAAGCGTGAATTAGTTCCTTAATTTTCAACTTCTTTGAGTATTCTTGACCATTTCATCTTATACTGTTAACATAGCTAAAAAATGACTTCATCAAAACTTTTCCCATTTAACCTGAAACAACCAGAGATGAACTTTAAAAGTCCAGATAGAACCTTTCACTTCCTTAATGCTAGCTATCTTTTAATCATTAGAACTAATATTATCAAACAGGTTGCCCTTACTAAGAAATCCAAATTAAAACAACACAGAAATGACTGTCTTCCTTCAACAAGTACATGATGTCCCAAAGGTCACCATACATAGGGAAAATGGGATATTGTATACTGTATCTAGCATCCTAGTCCTCAGCCTTCATCTCCTCTCTTCCCATTTACTAAGCCTCCGCCCACTGCTTTTCTTCCTCTATGATTCACTGACTTTCTCCACCCAGGCACCTGACAAATGGTGGCATCCTGCTGCACCTGGAGATGGCCCACGCACCACAACAAAGTTGAACCCTTCCCTCCAAACACTTCCTCCCAGTTCATGAGATAAAACCCAACTCCTATAAAGAACTCTCACGATCTGGTTCTCGTAATCTTCCATCATTATCCCATTATACCCACTTGACCCTGCCTGCCTCTCACATTAGCACTCTGTCTGCTTTCTGTTCCTCCAATATGCCACTTTAGTTCCTACCTTTGGGCCCTTCCACAGACAGTCTCCCTTTCCTGGGAACATTCATTCTCCAGATCTTTGGACACTGCTTTCTTTTCACCGCTTAGGTGCCAATTCAATGTCATCCCCCGACCAGCTAGCACTTATCACTATCTGAATTACTTGTATTTTTAAATTTTTACATGTATTACAACATTTTAGTCAATCAAAAGACTCCTATATTTCAAACATCTATTTCAAACATCTTCTTAGAAAAACAGGTTTAAAATAATCAATTTTAGAATTCTTCCCACCAACTGATACAAAAATAGCAACAAACAGGTATTAAATACTTACTATATGTTGGGCTCGGTTGGTGCTAAATGCTTTACATGCACCATCACATTTAAATCTTACAAAACCCTATGAAACAGCATGCTATTTTAGAAATGGGGAAATTAAGGCACAAAGGAGTTAAATAAATTGCTCAACATCATGGAACTAGATAAAAGGTAGAGGTAGAACTAGAGTCAGGGTCTGATTATAAAACCTAAGCTTTATACCACAATTCTATCACATCCCTATTCTGTCTCTGCTTTAAAGCTACTATGCTTGAGCTATACAATCATGACAATGAAAATATAAAATCTGGTACTTTAACCACTTTCTAGCACATTTTATACTTACTCTTTTCACACTGTTACCACCACCAAGGCAACCAAGAGCTTCAGACCTTTGAGCAAAGAACTCTCCTAAAGACAGACGTAAATAACTGGCATCGTCTTTATCCAAATCTGACGTGCTAAACGATTTCCTCAACAGATTATAATTAACTGAAGCTCCCCAGGATGTATCCCCTAGTGCAATCGAAGTGTTCTGAGCATCTATGTTTTCTTCCTAGGAAGAAAGTTATTGTTTCATTTTTTTCTCCCAGCAAGCTGCCTTTCTGTTCTTCTTATATGCAAAACTAAAAAAATCTAAGAAAATTTCAAAAGTAACTTTTTATAAACTGGACAAAAAAATTTAGACAAATTAAGTGCAAGTGGCTAGTACGGCTAATGAAGTCCAAAAGAAGAAAACTTTATTTTTGAATAACTGAGTTATAACATGCATTATCTTTATATAGTCATAAATAAGAATTTTTAGATAGGGATATATCTTCACAAAAAACAAACAGGATTACTTCAGTTAAAAATATATTTTATCAGGTGATAGGTACACTAAGAGCACAGACTTCACCAGCATAAAATATATACGTGTAACAGAATTCAACTTGTACCCCCTAAATCTATTAAAATTTTTTAAAAAATGAAAAAGAAATAAAATTGGAGGGGAAAAAACAGGTTTTGAAAACTATGGAAACATCTATGAAGGATATTAAAGCAATTTTAAATGAATTAAAGATATATAGCAGTATGTCAGTATTCTTCAATTAATAATTTGGAGAATGAAGGAAAAAGCAGAAATTTTGTAAGAATGAGAAAAATAAGAAATAATTCTATACTATATATTTATTCAGAAAGAAATGAACATTTTTGCCTACACTGAAATTAATACAAGAAAAATTTTAAACTTTGGGTAAAGCAAATAATTACAAACCTGTATAAACTGATGCTGTTTATTAAATTCTTCTTCATCTTGTGCAATCAAATCAAATGCTTCAGCTTAAAAAAGAATAGGTTTATATAATTATATTATACTAATGCCTATTTAAACACTAGCACACAAATACAAGTTAGCTAATTAGGAAAATGAAAAACTAAGGATATAAAATTTTCGCATGTGAAAGCTTCCACTCATATGACTGAAGCATCTGTATTATATGCTTAAGTCTGTGGTTGTCAAACTTCTACTAATGAACACCTTACTGTGATTGATTTTATCACTTATAACCTGCCCTAAAATTTACTTCAAGGGATTTACAACATAAGCTTTTTATTTTCAGAAGATTCCAATTTATTTTATTTTATTTTTTATTTTTTTGAGACAGAGTCTTACTTTGTTGCCCAGGCTAGAGTGAGTGCCCTGGCTGCAGCCTAGCTCACAGCAACCTCAAACTCCTGGGCTCAAGCAAGCCTTCTGCCTCAGCCTCCCAAGTAGCTGGGACTACAGGCATGTGCCATCATGCCTGGCTAATTTTTTCTATGTATATTAGTTGGCCAATTAATTTATTTCTATTTATAGTAGAGACAGGGTCTCACTCTTGCTCAGGCTGGTTTTGAACTCCTGACCTCAGGCAATCCGCCTACCTCGGCTTCCCAGAGAGCTATGATTACAGGTGTGAGCCACCACGCCCAGCCTCCAATTAATTTTAGCTTTGAAGGGTTTTGCACTCCTGAATTTAGGTACTCGCCCATGAATACTCGTGGAATTTCATCTGGAACCATCAGATTGACAATCCTCCCTATAAGCTCATCATGCAGATGGTCTGCTAGGGTGCCCAACACCCATTTGCCTGGGATTATCCCAGTCTTAGAAAGTCCCATTTTCCAGGAAACCCCAGTCTAAACACACAGGGACTGGTAGTCACCTAATGTCTGCCCTCCGAGTTCCTGCTGAGCACCTCAGCTCCCCCTGGAGAGGAATGTCAGCTGTTCCCACACTATCAACCTCTCCGCCAAAGGCCACACATTAAAATGTCTAACAGGCAAGGGGTAAAAGGGCAAAGAGGGCCAGGGCCAGCGTAACACACTGGGAATGCTTGAGATACTAGCAAACTAGGAGGCATGAGACCTGTGAGGCATTAGGATTGCAAGAATTTAACATGTTTGTTGAATGAGAAAAGACTGCAGGCTGGACTTCAGATTGCTTGCCTGTGGTCCATTCTAGGCCCCTGCCTTATACTGCAGGGATGGAGCAGAAAGGGGAAGAGGGAATAGCAATCTGGAAGGGACAGTCCACTCAAAGAGCAAACAAGAGAGAAGTTCTCTACTCTCTTGTGTCCATCAAGGCCTAATCAGATCCACTCTACCCTTTTGGGACCACACCACAGTCCCACATTAACAACCTAAGATATAGAAAAAATTATCTGGGCGTAGTGGCATGTGCCTATAGTCCCAGCAACTCGGGAGGCTGAGGTAGGAGGGTTGACTGAGCTCAGGAGTTTGAGACTAGGCTGAGCAAGAGTGAGACCCCATCTCTGATAAAAATAGAAAAATTAGCCGGGCATCATGGTGCACCCTGTAGTCCCAGCCACTCAGGGGGCTGAGGCAGGAGGATTGCTTGAGTTTGAGGTCGCTGTGAGCTAGGCTGACACCATGGCACTCTAGTATGGGCAAAAGGGCAAGATTCTGTCTCAAAAAACAAAAACAAAAAACAATCTAAGAAACAAAATGAGAATGGACACAGGATAATATCTCTAGTCAGGAAGAGTAGAGTACCAAAGACAGCTCAGGATTCTTACCTGTCAGAACAGTGCTAATTCTTTACCTTGTGAAGTGATCACTTCTTATGTAAACACACTCCTAACCTACAGCAGCGGTCTCCAACCTTTCTGGCACCAGGGACCGGATTCACGGAAGACAATGTTTCCATGAAAAGGCAGGGAGGAGGTGGCGCTCAGGCAGTGATGCAAGCAATGCAAGCAATGCAAGCAATGGTTACAAATACAGATGAAACTTTGCTCACTTGCCTCCTGTTCACCTCCTGCTGTGAGGCCTAGTTCCTAAGTTTCATGGAAGACAATTTTTCCACAGATGGTGGAGGGGTGAGGATCCTGGCCATTGGGGGACCACAAACCTACAGCATAGATCCTATGAATGAGCACTGGGAGAACCATGAAGTCCTTGAAACTACATGCAAAAACATATATTCCACATAAAGCAGGACGTGGTGGCTCACGCCTGTAATCCTAGCACTCTGGGAGGCTGAGGTGGGCGGATCACTCGAGATCAGGAGTTCGAAACCAACCCGAGCAAGAACGAGACCCCATCTCTACTATAAATAGAAAGAAATTAATTGGCCAATTAAAAATATATAGAAAAAATGAGCTAGGCATGGTGGCACATGCCTGTAGTCACAGCTACTCGGGAGGCTGAGGCAGGAGGATTGCTTGAGCCCAGGGTTTTGAGGTTGCTGTGAGCTAAGCTGACTCCACAGCACTCTAGCCTGGGCAACAGAGTGAGACTCTGTCTTAAAAAAAAACAACAACAAAAAAACCCCCACATAAATATGTTTCTATGGAGAGTCTCTGTAGGATCTATGACTCAAGGTACGTTAAAAGCTGCTGCCCTAAAATGTGAAAGTATCAACCAACCAAATCTGACAGCCAAGAGAGGGGAAGTAGGAAACTTGGGCCATAAGAGGATAACCCAGAAGAAACTTAATTTACTTTGATGAGTTAAATACCACATGGTTCTACCTGCTGGGTTTTATATACTCAGGTGTAGAATTACTAGGTCATCAAGTATGAAGTTCATAAAGTTCACCTTTACAAGATACTGCCAAACAGGTTTCCCAAATGGTTGTATCAATTTACACTCCTACCAGCAACACGAACATTCCACGACCTTCAACTACGTAAGTCACAAAGTCAAAATTCAATGTTCAGTCCGTACCTTCACTATCCTTTTAAAATCAAGGTATCATTGATCAAGTCCTAATGGTAACTTACCTTCAAATTTCTGACCTGTATTTCCAACTACTGAAAATGTAGTTGTAGTTACCTCCACTACAAACCACAATCACCCAAAAAAATCTACAATCTCTTCTGATTTCCTCTACCTCAGCGAACAGTGTTGCCACTTTCCCGGTAATTCAGATGGCAAGCCTCACTCTTTTCTTGCTTCTCTACTGTCCTCTGAAATCCAGCCACCAAATCCTAATCATTTCACTTCTATGTCTTTTGTTAGCTACCTTCTTTTAATTTTCACTGTGACACCTAGATTTCTACAATATCCTAAAAACTCTCCCAATTCAAGAGATCATCACTGCCAGAAGAAGATTCACAAAGCAAGTTGGAGTGGCAACAACCCACTGCTCACCAAACAAACCTCAGCTCTTTGCCATGGTAGTCCAAACTCCATCCACTCACTCCCTGGCCCTACTTACCTCAGCTGCATCTCTTAGTCTCATAGTGCCTGCTCTCCCTTCATCTTGCCATAAAGGCTGCTAGCCACATTTGACCATTCACCTTCTCAAACATGCCCATGCTTCACTACCTCATTCTCGTTCAATTGGGTGTTCCTTCCATTTGAAATTTCTCATGCCCCCAAAAGATTACCTACCTGTTGAACCTCTACCTCAAAAGTGACCTGTTGCGTGAAATCCTTTTGCTACCCACTTATGTAAAAGTTATTTATTCTCTAAACTCCAAAAGCTTTCGGTTTGTGTCTCTTATGCTGATCACTGGGTTTTCTATTCTTGTCTTACCTTCTTGGCTGGTAGACAGTTTCTTAAGGGTTGGAATCATGCCTTATTTATCTCTGTACTTTCACATCATTAGCATTTAGGGGAAGATTTTTATACAGCAGTAGCGACAATCACTTCTTCCCCTGGCATCATCTAAGTCTGCCAGAAATAAGACTGGGTTTGACAAGCCAGTGAGCACCTTTCCTCATTCTCATTACAGAGGTGCCCAGGCACCAGGGGTTGCGGCACAGCAACATCTTAACAGGCTAAGGTTCAAAATGCCCTGACCTAGCATCCTGTAGACCTAAATCAGCTCATGTCTTCACACTGTCAGAGGTTATGCTAATTAACAAACCTAAGTGCTTCCTTTTTTTTTTTTTTTTGAGACAGAGTCTCCCTTTGTTGCCCAGGCTAGAGTGAGTGCAATGGCGTCTGCCTAGCTCACAGCAACCTCAAACTCCTGGGCTCAAGGGATCCTACTGCCTCAGCCTCCTGAGTAGCTGGGACTACAGGCATACACCACCATGCCCGGCTAATTTTTATATATATATATGTATATCAGTTGGCCAATTAATTTATTTCTATTTATAGTAGAGACAGGGGGCTCGCTCTTGCTCAGGCTGGTTTTGAACTCCTGACCTCGAGCAATCCGCCCCCCTCGGCCTCCCAGAGAGCTAGGATTACAGGCGAGAGCTACTGCGCCGGCCCTGTTTCTTTTAATGCTCTTATCCCTTAAGACTTGATTATCTTTCTGTCACTCTTCTATCATTTCCACCACATTTCTTAGCTTTTACCCCAAAATGGATTGGCTTTTCTTTATCTATTTTTTTTTTTTTTGGCAGAAGAGACTGGTTTTTATAATTACTCATTTATCAGAACATTTCTTTTGCTCAGGACAGAATTTTTAAAGTGACCGAGCAATGCCTAAAATCCTTTTCAGCCCTACAATACCACAGGTTCCAAACAGAAGTAACAGAGTGCTAGCATGACTCATTGTCTTTTCTTAGGGAATTGGCTCAGCTCATTCTGCAATGATTAAGACTGACTAACTTAAGCCTTGGTTCCTATGAAAATAAGTGAAAAATTCTAGAAAACAATGATATGCCAAAGAGATCTGATGTGGCTGAACAATATAAATGAGTAATCTCAGAAACATCATGAGAAACAATGAAAATGGTAAAATAAATGTGGTTATCCATATACTTACAACCAGATCTGAAGTCTTCATTTACCTCATCACTTAAAGACGTATTTAAATCTTGTTCATTATTAAAAGATGTATAATAGGCAAGGTCAGTGACCCATCTGCCCTCTTCATTTTGATAGACCACATTCTGTGGGAGATCTGTTTCTAAAATATAAAATTCCAAAAATATTCAATGACACATAGCAACTAAAATGATAAAACATTCTCAAATAATTGTTTATTTATACAACTGCCTTAGTTATCAACAGTACTGGCCAGACACAGTGGCTCACACCTGTAATCCTAACACTCTGGGAGGTGGGAGGATTGCCTGAGGTCAGGAGTTCAAGAACAGCCTGAGCAAGAGCGAGATACTGTCTCTACAAAAAAATAGAAAAATTAGCTGGGCATGGTGGCGTACATCTGTAGTCCCAGATACTCAGGAGGCTGAGGCTGGAGGATCCCCTTGAACCCAGGAGTTTGAGATTACAGTGAGTTATGATGACAACACTGCACTGCCTGGGTGACCGAGAGAGACTGTCTCAAACAACAACAAAAAAACCCCCAACATAACAACAAAAAAACCAGTATGGAAGTCTGCTCAAAAATAGTCAGAAAAAGGAAAATCCATTTCCCCACAAGAAAAGTCTCTCTCTGATCATGCATAAGCCAGCATTACTTACAATCAAGTCTATAATGGATAATGAGCAATAAAGGAAAAGAATGCTAGGACTTAGCAGGGTACTTTTGTCACTAGATTCCTGATTTAAAATGCTACTTCTGAGTAATCCTCCCTATACTAGATTAAAATTTTTTTAACCTATAAAATACTTAAATATTTTTATGAAAGACTGGCAAATTCCACATGGAAATATATCCTACTCAAAATGTACAAACATCTTATATGTATCTTTAATTTTATTCTTTTAAAAAAGACCACTTACTGTCTTTATTCTTCTCAATGGAATCATAACATTCACATGTTCGCCTTTCACAAGTTGGTGACCAAAGAATATCATTGGAATTAATCTCTTTGTCATAAATAGGCTTCAAAGATGCTATGTCCACATTTTTTTGAATGGACACTGTAGGAGTTTCAGTGTCTAAACATCCATTCTCATGCAAAACTGTTTCTGAATCTGATGCTAAATGTTTACTTTGATGAGGAGACTCTGCCCCTTGTTTTACGTGGTCAGTTAGGTCAAAACTACCTTTATTGACATTTGTGTCATGAAAATGAACAGGGTTCAATTTCCCATTGGTAGCCCTGAGAATCTTTACAAAAACACCTTCTCTTGCACTTTCCTAAAAAAAGAAAAAAAAATCAGTAACAGAGCAACAGTAAGTTTTGTTTTTCATAATTCATTCTAAAATTTATGAGGAAAAATTGTATAGTTGATATAAAATGTTTATTATATAAAAGAACAGAATATACAGTATTCACTGTATTCTCAATTATATATGAAGCAATGATAAGCAGTTTACTAGAACCGAGCTTTATGATATGATCATGTGAGACACTTATATCAACATATTAAGATATCAAAGTGGATCCTATATGTCCATTATATTACAGGATGATAGTAATGTCAGTTTAACTTTTATGATCACCAATAAAAGTCTCTACAAGGTTGGTAAGCCCATTAGTGTGACCAGCCTCATAAAATTAATATGGATAACAACCCTTAAAAACACAGATATTATCTCTTAATAGGAGTAAAAGAACAGACACTATAAACACCCCTGAGGAGTCCAATAACAATTGCACGAGTCTTGGCAAATTAAGCCAGTGTCTCAAAACTATGTTCTCTAACACACTTTTCTTCCTAAAATAACAACTGCTGAAAGGGACTCAAGCGCCTGCAATACTGTTTTTAAACACTGCTACCACCATGATCTCAGGTGCCAATAAAACCTATTAATAGCAGTCCTATCTGTTATAATAAGATGAACAATAAGAAACACAGCCTGACAGGCAAAGATTTTTAAAGTTAAAATATTAAAAGGATGTAGTTCTAATTAATGGAAAAGATGCTAACTTTGGAATAAAACACGGTTCAAATCTTAGTGCCACCTTTTATGAATTGGGTGATTTGCTAACATTATATAAAAATAAACTTACATCTCTACATTATATTCAAATAAATTCCAGATGACTTAAAGATTTAGATGTAAAAGTACTATGAAAAATCACAGATGATAGTTTTATATTCTTTAATGGATAACACCTTCTAAATACAACACTCTATTATCTTGAATTGTGTCCTCCCTCAAAAAAAGATATGTCCAAGTCCTAACCCCATTTCCTATAAATTGTGATCTTATCCTGAAACAAAGTTTTTGCAGACATAATTAACTAAAGGATCTTAAGATAAGATCTTCCTGGAATTAGGGAAGTTCTAAGCACAATGATCAGTGTCCTTATAACAGGAAAGAGAAGAAAATTTCAGACACAGAGGACAAAGCTGAGTGAACACTGAGACAGAGACTAGAAGTGATGTTGCTATAAGCCAAGGAGCGTCAGGAGCTACCAGGAGCTGGGAGAGGCCGGGAAGGATTCTCCCCTAGAACCTCAGGAGGGAGTAGTGCCCTGCCAACAAACACCTTGACTTCAGAATTTTGGCCTCCAGAACTGTGAGGGAATAAATTTATGTTGTTTTAAGCCAGTATGATTGTGGTAATTTGTCTGGCAACCCTAGGAAACTAATACAAACATCAAAGCCTAAAACACAGAAAGATCAACATATTTCCATAACACAGAAAGTTTATAAAATCAATAGTTAAAACATTAATACTCTAATAGAAAAAGACAAAAATGACAAAGAAATGTCATTTAAAAGTAGATAACTACTTTTCATATATGACAAAAATTAGCAAAGACTGAAAAGAACCGGGATGTGGAAAACTAGCTTTCTCAACCATAAAGTAACTTAAAACCATCTTGAATAAAGAAGGTAGTTACAACTTCTAGCTTCCAGTTTGTCATGTAAAGAGCTAGAAAGTCGCCACTACATCCTGACAAGTAAAGATGAACAAACTGAGAAACCAACAACTATTCTTAGATCTGAAGGTCACAGGATAAACTTCTGCCTCCAAAAATGGAGACACAGGTGGAAACAGAGAATCACAACATGTCAGCGCATAAACTTCTGAGGACTGAACTCCAATTTTTTGCTAAAAACTCCTTCCTAAGGAGGCCAGCTGGGTTAGGCTGACAAAGGGTAGATTCCTACTAAGCAGCTTTTGTTAACCAAACGAAGCAGTGGTTTGCTTCCTGACCTGATTCTGGTATGGCATTAACATCACCTAAAAGATAAGAAGCCCCTGTCTTAACTCAAGCATCCTGGCAGATGCCTAACATAAATCTAGAATGTCTTAACTGAGCATCCTAGCAGGCGCCTATTCTTAAATTTAAAGCATCTTAAAACATCCTAGCAGGTGCCTATTGTAAATTTAAAATGTCCTCCTGTCTGGACCTCCCAGAGTGCCCACAACCTTATCTTAAAATAAGCATATCCTTTCTGGTCTTCTAGATAAAGTCTAACCCTCTCAGCCAATTGCCAGCCAAAGAATCTTTAAACCCACCTATAACCTGTAAGCCCCCGCTTCGAGATGTCCCACCTTTTTGGGCCAAACCAATGTATGCCTCTCATGTATTGATTTGTGACCTTGCCTGTAACCCAGTCTCTCTGAAAATGTATAAATCTGAACTGTAACCCAGCCACAGCGAGCCCACTTGCTCAAGGCTTCTTGAGAGTGGCTCCGGGTCATGGTCCTCAAATTTGGCTCAGAATAAACTTCTTTCAAATATTTCAGGGCTTGGATTTTTTTCCATCCACACTTCTAATCAGAAACCTGTGCAGTAACCAGTGCCAGGACAGCAAAACCTGAACTGTAATCACTGAATTGCTGCAGGCTTAGTGTGGAAAACTCAAGGGGCCCACTCATAGCTGGGTCCCCATGCTTTTGTGAATTTTACCTCCAGGAGTTTGATCAGGTTCTCACAACAAATATTGCAGAAAAATCCCTATGGGCATCCAGCAGAGGGAAGGGAAAAAGGAGCCCTTTTGAAATAGGCTTAAGAACCATTTGTTGTTCTTAACAAGGTCTGCCCTCAGGATAACTAATTAAGGAGACCCTAACCTACACCGGTTGAATCAGAACCTAAGTAAAACCTGGGGGAGGGGAATATCCAACTGCAGTTTCCTCTAGCCATTTTGTCCAACCTAAAGGGGAGGAGAAAACTCAGAAACACTTGCGAAGTTCAGTCCAAAGGCAGAGGATCCGCCTGGAGTAGTGGCTCACGCCTGTAATCCTAGCACTCTGGGAGGACAAAGGTGGGAGAATTGCTCAAGGTCAGGAGTTCAAAATCAGCCTGAGCAAGAGCCAAACCATCTCTACTATAAATAGAAAGAAATTAATTGGCCAACTGATATATATAGAAAAATTAGCCGGGCATGGTGGTGCATGCCTGTAGTCCCAGCTACTCGGGAGGCTGAGGCAGGAGGATTGCTTGAACCCAGGAGTTTGAGGTTGCTGTGAGCTAGGCTGCAGCCATGGCACTCACTCTAGCCTGGGCAACAAAGCAAGACTCTGTCTCAAAAACAAACAAACAAACAAAAAAACAAAGGCAGAGGATCACTAAATGATTGAGATTGAATCACAGATTTAGGGAATGCCTTCCCTCCCCCAACACCTTACCACCACATTACTAAAGGCTGATTTATAGTAGGTTGTTTTTACTTGGTACATCATGTCCAGCTATCAAGAAAAAATTACAAAGTGTACTAAAAGACAAAAAACATAGTTTGAAGAGAAACAGTAAGCATCAGAACCAGAGATGGCAGAAATGTTAGAATTATCAGACCAGAAAGTTAAAGCAAGTATGATTAGTATGCTATGAGCTCTAATGGATGAAGTAGACAGTCACGCAAGAGCAGATAGATGGGCAATGTAAGCAGAGAGATGGAACTTCTAAGAACAAAAAAATTGTAGAAATCAAAAACTCTGTTGTAACACAGGAAGAATGCCTTTGATGGGGTCATTAGTAGACTGGATACAACACAGGAAAGATACTCCGAATTTGAGGATATGTCAATAGAAACTTCCAAAACTGAAAAGCAAAGAGAAAAAAGAAGGAAGAAAACAAAGTGCCAAAGAACTACAGGACAGCTATAAAAGGTGTAACATAATGCATAATGGGACTATCAGAAGAAGAGAGAGAGGAAAAGAAGAAATATTTGCAACAATAATGAGTGAGAATTTCCCTAAATTAATGGCAGATACCAAACCACATATCCAGGAAGCTCACAGAACACCAAGCAGGGTAAAGGACAAAAAAACAAAAACAAAAAACACACCTAAGCATATCATTTTCAAACTACAGAAAATCAAAGATAAAGCAAATATTCAAAGGTGGGGGAAATCACTTTACTTATAAAGGAACAAAAATAAGAATGACATCCGATGTTTCCTCAGAAACCATACAAGTAAAAATGCAGTGGAGCAAAATATTTAAAGAGTTGAGAAAAAAAACACCAACCTAGAATTCTCTACCCTGAGAAATTATCCTTAAAAGGAAAAGGGAAATATTTTCTCAGAAAAACAAAATTGAGGGTATTTGTTGACAGTTAGGACTTATCTTGCAGGAAACGTCTTCAAAAAGTTCTTTTGAGAGAAGGGAAATAATATAGGTCAGAAACTTGTATCTATAAGAGAAAGGAAGAACATCAAAGACAGAATAAGTGAAGGTAAAATAAAAATTTTTCTTGGCTAGGTGTGGTGGCTCCCACCTATAATCCTAGCACTCTGGGAGGCAGAGGCGGGCGGATCGCTAGAGGTCAGGAGTTAGAGACAAGCCTGAGCAAGATCAAGACTCTGTCTCTACTAAAAATAGAAAGAAATTAATTGGACAACTAAAAATATATAGAAAAAATTAGCTGGGCATGGTGGTGCATGCCTGTATACCCAGCTACTCTCAGGAGGCTGACACAGGAGGCTAGCTTAAGCCTAGGAGTTTGAAGTTGCTGTGAGCTAGGCTGACGCCATGGCACTCTAGACCGGGCAACAGAGTGAGACTCTGACTCAAAAAACAAACAAACAAACAAAACCTTATTTTTCTTTTATTTAATTGACCTAACAGATAACAGTTTGTTCAAAATAATAATATCAATTATATATGCTTATATATGTATGTATATGTATGTATTAATATATGTGTGTATAGACATGCACTTATGTAAACTTATAGCTAAGTGAAATGAATGACAGCAATGACAAATGAATGACAAGGTGGCAGGAGGGAGGAATTAGGAATGTTTTGCTATTATAAGGTACTCAAACTCTGAATCAACATAGTGTTATTTGAAAGTGGGCATGGATTAGCTGCAAATGTATACTGCAAACTCTAGAACGACTAATACCACTTAATAAAGTGTAAAATATAAATAATTATACCTGATATGCTAAGAAAGAAGAGAAAATATATATGAAATGCTGAATTAAAAGCACAAACAGCAAAGAAAACCAAAATAGGAACAAAAAATAAGGACAACAAATAGAAAACAGTAATAAATATGGTATATATTAATCCAACTATATCAATAATCACTTTCAATGTCAATAGTCTAGGTACACCAACTAAAAGAAAGATTTTCAGAGAATCAAAAAACAGGCCCAACTATGTGTTCTCTACAAGAAACCTAGTTTACATGTAAAGTTAAAAGCAAATGGAGAAAGATATCCATGAAAACAGTAAACTAAGAAAGCAGGATTAGCTATACTAATTTCAGACAGAGTAGACTTCAAAGCAAGGAAAGCTATCAGGGATGAACAAGGGCATTATATAATGATAAAGGGGTCAATTCTCTAAGAAGACATAACAATTCTTAAAGTGTATGAACCCCACAAAATAGAACGTTATTAATAAAATACATATATCAAAAATTGGCATACTTGCACTTCAATCAGTTTTTGCCATATGTATTTTGCAAGGAAAAACACACAAATCTACTATCACAGTTGGAGGCTTCAACACCCTCTATCAGAAATAGAAATCTAGCAGAAAGAAAATCAGTAAGGTCACAGTTGAACTGAACAACACCATCAACTATATATAATGAACATCTATAGAACACTCTATCCTAAAACACCAGAATACATATTCTTCTTAAGCTCGCATAGAACAATTCATCAAGACAGAAGACATTCTGGGCCATAAAACACACCTTAACAAATTTAGAACAGTAATCATACAATGTCTGCTCTCGGACCACAATGGAATTAAACTAAAAATCAATAACAAAAACGTAACTAGAAAAATCCCAAAATAAATAGAAATCAGTCACTTCTACACAACACATGGATCAGCTTACAAAACTGAAACTCTATACCCATGGAAGTATAGACTCTACCCTATGGAAGACATACAAATGGCTAATAAGCACATGAAAAGATGTTCAACATCACTAATCATTAGGGAAATGCACATTAAAACCACGATGAGAGACCACTTCACACCCATTAGGATTACTATAATCAAAAAGAGGGAAAATAAGGAGTGTTGGCTAGGATATAGAGAAATTGGAACCCTGGTATATTGCTGGTATAATGTGAACTGGTGCAGCTACTCTTTAAACCATTATGGCAGTTCCCCAAACATTAAACACAGAACTACCACACAACCCAGAAATTTCATTCTTAGGTATATATCCAAAATAAATGAAAGCAAGGACTCGAACAGGTATGTGTACATCAATGTTCATAGCAGTATTATTCTCAATAGCCAAAAGGCAGAAACAGTCAAGTGTCCATTGGATAAAGAGATAAATAAAATGTGGCATATATTATGGAATATTATTCAGCCATAAAAAATGAAATTTTGATATATGCTACAACATAAACAGATCTTGAAAATATTATGCTTAATGAACTAAACCAAACATAGAAGGACACGTATTGTATGATTCCACTTACATGAGGTACCTAGAGTAGCCAAATTCACAGAGACAGAAAACAGAATAATGGTTGCCATGGGTTAATGGACAGTTGTTGTTTAATGGGTATAGAGTTTCAGTTTTGTAAGCTGAAAAGAGTTCTGGAGATTGGTTGCACAATGTAAATGTATTTAACTTTACTAACTGTACAGTTAAAATGGTTAAGATGGTAAATTTGATGTTATATATATTTTATCAGAATTTTTAATTAAAATTAAAAATATATTTAATATGCAAAAAATAGAGATGCACAGAATAAAGCAAAAAAGTAAGCATTATTTTAATAAATACTGGACAAATACGCAGTGAGAAGAAATTAATCCAGATGTAAAACTCACACCAAAATTATTATATAATAGTATAAGAAAATGCTGGATGATGGGAAAACCATGGATGGTCCTGGAGCAGAGAACAATGATGGATTCTAATAGGTGAAAAATGTTTATGTAACAATAGGTAATAAAAGATAAATGTAATAAAGAATAAAACAGAATGGGAGAATTCTGAAAGAGACTAAAATATTATGATTCAGCTATCAAAGAACTCATTCAAATATTAAGTTGATAACAACTAACGTCCTTTGATAATTTTTTTGAGTTTTTTTCTTTTTAGGTATGGACAGCTTTCACCACCAGATGACACCCATACACCTGCAAATCCAAACACCCCTCCCCAATTTACAACACTTTAGTGGGGGAAAGAATCTCTATTTCTTATATACAATAATATTATAACAAGAAATAAATAAATTTGCTTAAGATGGTAGCTGATGTTTCTGAGTTCTGTAGATGTCATTCAATAAGAAAAGTGGGCTACTAATCTTGCCAAGTCAAGGACACAATATTGTTATCTCAGAAACACAAACTGCTGCATGATCTCAAAATATGGGAAAAATAATCGACATTTCATGAAATAAAGTAATATATCATAAGCCTGACCTACGAGTAGAGATTTTTTTCCCCATCCAAACAATAAAGCTTTGATGAACGTGTTCATTCCAGATCCCGTCCTGATCCTCAGCTAGAAGAGACCAGCCCAAGCCAAGCCTCCACACTCACTCCCTTCCTGCGTGGCTTCCGAGGGGATCTAGCATCAGAGGCCTAGAGACTCCGACAGAACCTGATCACCTTAACTAAATAAATATTTTCTAAAAAGATGGACTAGAAATGGATCATCAGAAATTACGTTTTTACTTACAGAGGAAGAATTCCAATCTTCAAAAACTTTTAGAATATAACTCAATCAGAACTTGGAGACTTCCTTTAGTAGGTGCTATGAGATTCAATAACCAGGACTCTGCTTTACTTTACAGTAATTTAAGTATTTCTTTTATTTTCCTATTATTTTTCATGAAGGGAGATTATCTGTGTATGACCCATACCACTCAGCACCACTTCTATCACCAAGAGGGTACCTGAAAGTTCTCAGTTGAAATGACCTGACCAAGATTCCCTAGCAATTTGTGAACCATACTGAATCATATTAAAATTTGTTTGTAATGACATACAGTCACTAATTAGTAAAATGTAAAACTCAAGACTCTTGTAAAACTCAAGATCCTTAGCCTAAATTTAAATGGCCACAGATTGACATGTTTATAAAACTTATCAACTATCACATTTTAACAAAACTCAAGACAACTAACAGATGCCATCTCTTTCTTACTTGTTAATTTGCTATCACTAATTGCTGAGAACTGGAAATCCATTATCTAAATATATTAAAATTATAAAACTGCATCGACTACACATACACACCAATAATTATGCATAACAACATAATAACACAACAGAGTCCTAGGAGGAAAAATCCATGGACTCTGGAACATCTGTTCTGGTTATCTGAGAGAAGAGGCTTTGTACTTTATTTGTATGTAACTGGTTCCTCTGAGGAGTTGCAAATTCCTGAAATAGGCTTCTTCTGAATATACTGAATATACTTATGTATATTTCTGTATGTAATAAAGTACCATACCGTAGAATATAATTATTGTAATAGGCATTCAAACAAATTAATGTAGGCTAGAGTTATTAAAAAGTAACTAGGGACTTGACGTGAGACTGGAAAGATGATCATAATTTGGATGAGGGAAGAAAAGAACAAAAAAGTAAAAACTAAAAGAGAGAGATAACATGAGGCCAGACTATACTATACCTTAAGAACTAACAACTTGAAACACAGGAACATAGAGAATATTATACATACAAAAAAAGCCACTGTAACAAGATTAATCTGTTTGACAGTGATGTGTCTTAAAAAAAAGAGAAAGAGAAGGAGAAAGAGAAAGAGAAAAAGAGAGAGAGAGAAGGAAAGGGAAAGGGAAAGGGAAAGGGAAAGGGAAAGGGAAAGGGAAAGGGAAAGGAAAGGAAAGGAAAGGAAAGGAAAGGAAAGGAAAGGAAAGGAAAGGAAAGGAAAGGAAAGGAAAGATTAGTCTGGTGGTGAAAAACAAGACAGAATAGTAAGAATACTGTAGATAGGACAGTAAGTCAGACATGGTTAATAACACCTTGAACTTGAATAGGTATAATGGAAATAAATAGGAAAGAACAAATCTAAGACACAGGCTTGAAGACATACTGACAAGGATTCAGGTCTTCTGAATTTCACCTCCCTTAAAATGACAATCCCATCTCTCTTGCTGCTTTAATACACACAAGAGATTATTATAAGAATAAAATGACTATTTTATATTAATATATGAGCATACACACTCCCAGTAAATATTAATAGTTAAAACCACTCTATAATCTCCTTCATAAGTTACCAAAAAGGGGTTGAAGAATGGTAAGACTCAGAAATGAAAGCATAGGAGAAATGGGGTGTCATCAACAAACAGAAAAAACTGAAATAATGAAAAATAAATATGCTTGAGCAAGGTAAAAAGTGATCAGTTGGCTTTCTTATTTAATGATTGGACATTAGATTAAAGAACTTTTCAAATGAATAATTTAAATGTAAGTTATTAAATATTCAAATATATACAATTATATACTAATATGATCTTAGTGATATCAAAGATACAAAAACACATGGAAACATAATCAGTAATGATTTTTGTACTTTTTCTATATCTTTCAGAAGTCAGCAATACTTGTTTCATTAAAAAACACCTAATATCTTATAAACACAAAAGACTCCTTATTTCTTTTCACAGAAAACTTTAAGAAAATACATACAAACTTACTCTGCTAAGATCTGGACCAATACCCTTCAAATTTTCTACCTTTTCTTTCTCAATTCTCCAAGTGCTAGAGGAAAATGGTAAGACACCATCTATATGCCTTCTACTATCTCCAGTACCTATAGAATTATCTGAAAAATAAAGAAAAAAAGATAATGAACCAATGTCAAAGTCTGAGCAATCTAATGTAATAACTGCTTCTCAATAGTCAAATTATTTTATGTAAACCTAAAATAAACATAAAATAGGTCATAAAATAACCTATTTTATGACAAATTCAGCAATTTGCATATGAGAAAATAAGCAACAGTAAAAGGCTATAATAAACATGACAAACTGCTATCACACAGAGAGAATTCATAGGGCTAGGCATGGTGGCTCACACCTGTAATCTCAGCATGTTGGGAGGCTAAGGCAGAAGGATTGCTTAAGGCCAGGAGTTTGAGACCAGCCCAAGCAAGACCCTGTCTTTACAAAAACTTTTTAAAAAAATTACTCGGGCATGGTGATGCATGTATGTAGTCCTAACTTCTTGGAAGACTGAGGTGGGAGGACTGCTTGAACCCAGGAGTTCCAGGTAGCAGTGAGCTGTGATCACTGCTGCACTCCAGACTGGACAACAGAGTGAGACCCTGGCTCTAAAAAACCAATTAAAGAAAATATATTAGGCCGGGCGCGGTGGCTCATGCCTGTAATCCCAGCACTCTGGGAGGACGAGGGGGGCGGACTGCTCAAGGTCAGGAGTTCAAGACCAGCCTGAGCAAGAGCGAGACCCCGTCTCTACGATAAATAGAAAGAAATTAATTGGTCAACTAATATACATAGAAAAAATTAGCCGGGCATGGTGGTGCATGCCTGTAGTCCCAGCTACTCGGGAGGCTGAGGCAGCAGGATTGCTTGAGCCCAGGAGTTTGAGGTTGCTGTGAGCTAGGCTGACGCCACCACACTCACTCTAGCCTGGGCAACAGAATGAGATTCTGTCTCAATAAATAAATAAATAAGGGCCGGGCACTGTGGCTCACGCCTGTAATCCTAGCTCTTGGGAGGCCGAGGCGGGCGGATTGCTCAAGGTCAGGAGTTCAAAACCAGCCTGAGCAAGAGCGAGACCCCGTCTCTACTATAAATAGAAAGAAATTAATTGGCCAACTGATATATATATAAAAAATTAGCCGGGCATGGTGGCACATGCCTGTAGTCCCAGCTACTCGGGAGGCTGAGGCAGAAGGATCACTCGAGCCCAGGAGTTTGAGGTTGCTGTGAGCTAGGCTGACGCCACGGCACTCACTCTAGCCTGGACAACAAAGCGAGACTCTGTCTCAAAAAAATAAATAAATAAATAAATAAATAAATACATACATACATACATACATACATACATTTGATCTTAGCCAAAAGGCTGGAAAGCAATAAAATAAATAAATGTAATCTGAGAGAATTCATATCTAATTCTTAATGGCTTAAGATAATATAATCATTCATAATATTTTAATCCAAGAAATGAATATTACAGTATTTCTATAACACCAATTTACTCTGACATTATTAAAAGCTCTTTAGAAAAATTTTAGACCATAAAGATTTGAGGGGAGAAAAAGTTTAATATATGCTAAATAATACTAAAGAAATAATTTTTTTAAAAAAGGTAAAGTCAATAGAACTTTAAAACAAGGGAATATTCCAATACTTACCAGCCACAGGTAGACAGACAACTTGGCCTTCTTCAGACTCTATGTGAGTCGTTTCAGAAGTGTCTGAAGAATGTGAGCCATGGGAAATCAGACAGCTGTTATCTTCCGACTGAAAGCTCCTATTTTCATTTGCCTGTTGAAAGAATATCTTAGCTATATTCATCTTTAAAATTAAAATTAAACATTCTGAGGGGGAAAACATGGGGAGTAGACAATGGCTGCTTTACTGAAGGATGCCAGGTAATAAATGTAGAAGAAATTAAAAAAAAAAACATCATAACTACCAGTGTAATAATTATTTCCAGGAAGCTTTAGCAATGATACTAAATCCAGTTCATGAAGGGTTCTTGGGGAGTAAAATGTTCACATAACTTTGATGTCTCATCCCACAGATGCCTTGTTAATAAAAAAGGGGAAAAGGTACATTTACAAGAAGACATCTGGTCACCACTACCTTAACCAAAATCATCATCACCATCATCACCATAAATGTCTGATGTGAGGCAACACCACCTATGTTTAATCTGAATCCAGTCATGAGAAAATTGTTTAATCTGCATTCTTGCCAAAATGTTTAATCTAGTCAGCAGAAAAAAAGCAATCAGATATATCTAGATATGGGTCACTCTACAAAACAGACAGCTTAGATTTTACAGATTTTTTTTTTTCAGAGACAGGGTCTTGCTCTGCTGCCTAGGCTGGAGGAGAGCAGCGTCATCATAGCTCACTGTAACCTTGAACTCCTGGGATCATGTATCCTCTTGCCTCAGCCTCCCAAGTAGCTGGGACTACAGGCTTGGGCCACCATGCCCGGCCTACAGAATGTTTTGTGTCATGAAAGAACTACTCAAAATTAAAATAATAAAAAGATAAGATAACCAAACACAAGTATAACCTTGACTAAATTCTACATCAAAAATAGTAAAAATAGGCTGGGCGCGATGGCTCACGCCTGTAATCCTAGCTCTCTGAGAGGCCAAGGCGGGGGGATCGTTTGAGCTCAGGAGTCCAAAACCAGCCCGAGCAAGAGCAAGACCCCATCTCTACTATAAATAGAAAGAAATTAATTGGCCAACTAATATATATAGAAAAAATTAGCCGGGCATGGTGGCACATGCCTGTAGTCCCAGCTACTCGGGAGGCTGAGGCAGGAGAATTGCTTGAGCCCAGGAGTTTGAGGTTGCTGTGAGCTAGGCTGATGCCATGGCACTCACTCTAGCCTGGGCAACAAAGCAAGAAAGACTCTGTCTCAAAAAAAAAAAAAGAATAGTAAAAGAACATTTTGGGGACAATTGGGTAAATTTGACTATAGACCGTATATAAATTTAAATTACTGTATCAAGTTAGATAACAGAACTGTGATTATGTTGGAAAATGTACTTATTCACAGGAGATAAATGCTGAAGTATTGGGATGAAATGTCACACTATCTGTAACTCATTTTCAAAGGATTCAGGGAAGAAGGTATGTATGAAGAGGGAAAGAAAATGCTTTTTAAAGGAAGCAAAATCAGCAACTGATTAATCTGGATAAAGAATATGTAGATGTCCATTGAATTATTCTTTTAATTTTCTGTAGGTTAGAGAAAGTAAGAAAGAGAAAGTAGGAAAGGGTGGGCATTTCTCATCAATTCATACCTGGGAAAAACAGACCAATTAAAACCAAGGATTCAATTTAATATTAACATCCAATGAGATCAACAGTAATTTTCTAATGTCAAATTTCTGAAAAACCATAAAGACTGGAACATACCTGAGTGAGATCACTGATAGGTAACTTAAAATCTTTTTCTGGAGGTTCCTGTCCTTCCAGGTCTTCATATATCATTCCTGGCATTGCCAGTTGTTCAAAATAAGCCACTAAATGATCGTCATAAAACATTTCATCATCAATATCATCATCATCTATTGAGAAAATGGAGAAAAAACAGGGTAGGCTTTAAAGTACTGACTAAACAATAAATATTTCTTTTTAGAGGTGGCGTCTGACTTTGTTGCCCAGGCTGACCTCAAATTCCTAAGCTCAAGGAATCCTCCCACTTCAGCCTCCCAAGTGGCTGGGACTATAGGCACATACTACTGCGCCTGGCTAATTTTTAATAAAAAAGGCCAACAAAACATAAATGAGTCAAAATATGATTTTGTTTTTATATTTGACATTTAGATCAATTATAAGTATAAGTAATTTAGATCAATTATAAGTCCTTACAAACATTTTAATACAAGTTAAATATTTAACCTCTTTGAGGGCATAGGACAGAAACATCTGCCATATATCAAAAATCAGGATAAATGTGGCATTGAATATCAATGGGAAAAGAGCAGACTATTCAGAGAATGGTGTGGCAAATAGTTAACTCCATCAAAAAAGAATAGATAAGCCTGTCATAGAAGTCAAAAGGGAGAGAGAAGAGGGACCTTGCAGTGGTTGTCTGTGTTATAACGCCCACTTTGGCTAAAACAAAACTGTCATTCATAGCAATGGTATTGTAAGTTGGCAGTGCCTTTTCAGAGGTTAATTTGGGAACATTAAGAGTCTTAACAACACTTATAACCTTTAACTTAGCAATATCACCTCCAAAAATCTAGCTTACTAAAACAATCAGGCTGGGTACCCTGGCTTACTGTAACCCTAGCACTCCAGGTGGCTGAGGCAGGAGGATGGCTTGAGGTCAGGAGTTGGAGACCAGCCTGAGCAAGAGTGAGACCCCCATCTCTACTAAAAATAGAAAAATTAGCTGGGCGTGCTTGTGCACACCTGTAGTCCCAACTACTTGGGAGGCTGAGGGGAGGAGGATAGCTTTAGCCTAGGAGTTGAAGTTCCAGTGAGCTATGACACCATTGAACTCTAACCAGGGCAACATGGAGAGACTCTGTCTCAAAAAAAAAAAAAAAAAAAAAATTAAAAATCCGATAAATTCAGATCAATAATTCCATACTTACAATTCCATAATCCAAAAAAGTCTGAAAACTCCTTTGGGCAACAAATCTGTCCAGAATGGATGTGATGCTGTATATAGTTTCTATTTAAATCATTCAGGTTATCAGCCTGGCCTTCAAAGCCATTCACAATTTGGACTCAGCCTACTTTCATGAGTTCATTTAACCAATGTAGCCACCTACAGGTGCTGTCGATCTATAACACAAAACCGCTGGCTAGTCCCCAAACCTAAACACACATGCCTCACAGCAGTGCCTTTGCTGAAGTTATTCCTACATCCTGATGTGTATTCCTCCCTAGCACAGGCCCCATGCTCTTTCCAGAAAGCTTCAGATGCCTTCCTCAATCACAACTAATTTATCATCACCACCACCCCAAGATTCCCAAGCACATTTTTATACTGTTGAGGTATATATTTCATACAATCTGAAGTTTGACTATGCATCTCTTTTCTGCATTTAGCTAAGGTTTCTTAGAGAGCACAGGCTAAATATTTCATTGTTCCTCCAATTTCTAATCGTAATGCTTTATACTGAGTAGCAACTTTAGGTGACTACTTTGTACCCTAATGATATTAAATTAAGGATAAGTATAATCATACAGGATATACAGAAATAAAATTTAAAATCCCTTTACTCAATAAAAGTGTCCATTTGTATGCTGGCAGGTAAGAAGAAAGAGAGGGCCAAAAACCCAAAAACTTGGCATAATAACTACAACAACAAAGGAAGTGGCAGGGTAAGTACTAGGAAAACACAACTCTCTTCAGTACCAGAAGAATCTTCCAAGCTTGTCGGTAACATAAGTTTCTCATTTTCTAATAAGCTAGTGTGGCTTAAGTCACTGTTTGGAATCCCATCTTCAGAATGTTTTCCACCATCAAGTACAACAATCTGTAAGAAATAAAATGGTAAGAGAAGCATACTCACAGCTTCGAAGAGCATAGTACATGGCTACAAAAAGGACCAAGTATTTTCTCAACCTCTCAGTATCTGTAAATCACATGCAGGCAATGAAGGGCTAGTTGTGTTCTACATATATTAATAACTCTCCTCCCTGCCCCCATGCCACACCTCCCTCCTCTGATGAACCCAATAGGATATCTTTACAAAGTTAAGGGTTCCCTCAAATTGTCTGCACATACCTGGAGAACCTAATAGTATAGTTAGAGTACTAATATTCACACAGCTGAACTTGAGCAACACACAGCTTATCACAGAAAATGAAGACAACAGCAAAGTTGGGACTCAGCAACCTTTACCTAAGTAACTTTTCATTACCATTACGTTGGAACAATCAATTTCTCTACTCAACCCAGGGACCATGTAACTCTAAAGGGCACACAGCAGTTTACAAGGACACTCAAGGCCCAGAATGAAAATGCAACATTTCCCTCTATGTGCTAATTTTATTTTAATAGTAATTTAAACATAGTAACTTAAACATTGTTAAACAATTACTAAAACAATTAACACCTTAAGAATTAAGAATTAGGTTACAAAATGCACACTAATTTTAAAGGTAAAAACATGGCAACTCAATGCAATTTTACACTTACAGAGGACAGTGCTGAGGTATTCCCATAAATATCTAAGGCACCAGGGGCACCAAGGGCTACAGTGATTTATTGTTATTTAAACTAGACGCTTCCCTAGAATATGGCAAATGTTTTAACACTTATGCAATATAAACTGTGTTATGCAAAATTTTTCATAATAAAAAATTGTGAAAAAATCTATGTGGGAAAGAACAATGTGTAAAATGTCTCTGCCTTTTGGGTCAGGCCTGCTATTGAGAACCCCATGTGCTCTGCCACACCCCTTACACAAAGGCAAACTGAACTGAAGAGACCCTGGAAAATGTCTCTACTCTGATAAAGCGGCATAGCTTTTACAGTTTGACAATGAGACCTACAAAAACACATTTCCTTCACTGATGTGGCTGCCAGGAGAGGCAAAGCTAGAAGAAAAGTCAAATGCAGGAGTAGCTCTCTCCAGTCTCTGTTTTCTAATATATTTATTTTCTGCTGCTCTCACTTCTTCCCCTTTTTAATCAAGCATCTCACATTTCTACATTTGTTTTGTTGCTTTCTAATTTTACTATCCCTTTCTTTTATTATTAAATAGCTCTAATACATTTTGTAAGTCAATTCTTCACCTATACTAAGAAAATCAATTACTTTCCATAGGGAAAATTCATGGTCTATCTCTTTAGAAAAATTTTGTTCTAAATGTTCTGAAAATACATGAGTGAAGTGTAATTTGTTGTAAGAATTCAGTGGTTAAGAAATCATGCTTTCTGACTTAATTTCAACTTCACTACACCTAAACTTTTCTAAAAGGCATTTTTCACCCTTGAAACTTACACATGGGGTAAGTGTACAGACCATTTTCTGTAAAAGACCAGACAGTAAATATTTCAGGCTTTATGAGCCATATAATCTCTGTCACTTCTCTACTCCGCTATTGTAGCCCCCAATCAGCTATAAACAAAATATAAACAACTGGGCATGGCTATGTTCCAATAAAACTTTACAAAAACAGAGCGGGCATGGTGGCTCACACTTACAAAGCGGGCAGATTGCTCAAGGTCCAGAGTTCGAAACCAACCTGAGCAAGAGCAAAACCCTGCCTCTACTAAAAGTAGAAAGAAATTAATTGGCCAACTAAAAATATATGTAGAAAAAATTATCCGGGCATGGTGGCGCATGCCTGTTGTCCCAGCTACTCTGGAGGCTGAGGCAGAAGGATTGCTCAGCCCAGGAGTTTGAGGTTGCTGTGAGCTAGGCTGATGCTACAGCACTCTAGCCCGGGCAACAGAGTAAGACTCTGTCTCAAAAAAAAAAACAACAACAAAAAAAAAAACCCACAAAAAACTTTACAAAAACACGCAGTAGATTTGGACCAGAAGCTGTGGTTTGCCAATCCCTGGCATGGGAAATAACTTTTATTTTAGATCCTTCTGCAATTATTTTTTAAAATGATCTTAAAAATTCTTATAAAGTAAATATAAAACAAAAATTGCATCTCTTTTCTATAACTTTTAACAGTATTTAGTTTATATTTTATAAGTAAGTCTCATAAATATGAGACTGCATGCCTAAAAGTTGTATTGGGCATAAACTATGTATCTGCTCAGTACCACTAAATTTGAACAGCCTCTTTTTACTTCATGTGGTCCAGTGGGGCTGCCAGTTGAATTCCTCTATCTGTGCATGTATATGCATAAGCACACATACAGAAGTGGACATGAGATCAAGGCTCATCCCAACTCAGTCCCTGGCACAACTCCCTAGAGTTGTCTTTTCTCTTCTTCCTTTTTTCTTTTTTAGGAGACAGTCTTGCTCTGTCACCCCAGCTAGAGTACAATGGCATTATCATGGCATCATCACTTCAACCTAAAACTCCTGGGCTCGAGCGATCCTCCTGCCTCAGATTCCCAAGTAGCTGGGACTACGCCTGTGTGCCCCTGCATCCGGCTAATTTTTTCTACTTCTTGTAGAGAGAGGGTCTCACTCTTACTTAGGCTGGTCTCAAACTCCTGACCTCAAGTGGTCCTCCTGCTCCTGCCTCCCACAGTGCTAGGATTACAGGTGTGAGCCACCACGTCTTGGTCTTCTCTTCTTTTTTGGTCATGAATATTAATGGTATAGGCTTGGGTTGCCTACAAATGAAGACAGCTTTTAAGAAATTTAACAAATTATCGAGTGACAACTACTTGCCAAGAACTGTTCCAAGCACTCAGGATACAATTTTAAAAAAACAAAAAAACAGAGCAATCCTTACCCTCAGGGAGCTAATATTCTAAATGAAGCCAGTACAGAGTAAAGTAGAGCAAAGAGATGGAGGCAGCTGTGATAACAACATCAAGTCCAAGAATACACATTCCAAGATGCCAGCACTACCACTGAACCTTCTAATTATATGAGATAAACTCCCATTTTGCTGAAGCTAGGTAAATTGGAGTTCTGCTATAAACAAGCAGAATACATTTAACTGAATATTAACACCTATAATGTGAAATATAAACTTTTGCTCCCCTATGATGCTCCAGAAATTGCTAATAAATATATAAAAGGTTACCTTGTGCTGCTTATTATTCATCCACGATCGTAAACAAAAATCAATAGGTGAGTCTGTTTAAGAAATTAAAAACAAAAACTGAGAGACCAGGTTATTCCATCAACTAAATACCCAATAATACCTAAAAACAGCAAATGAACATTTTTATATTGAAATAGAATAGCACTTTTAAATGATGGTACAGGAATCCATCATGGGTGGGTTAAACTAAAAGATGTTATGCAGGGAATCCTAAAAACATTATACACATGCCAAACAACTTGTATATGAATCTAATCAAAATTTTACAGCTACCTTCTGCTTTGAAGGGAATGTAGGAAATGGAGAAATAAGAGAAATGACACCCTGAGTAAGGAAACTACAAACCCAAACAGTGGGACAAACTGCAGGGTAACTGCCCTAGTCTATTTCAATAAGGCACTGACATAAGAAATACAACAAAACACTGCAACATAACATACATAACCTTCCTCAGACCCTAATTCCAGCAAATCATTATGTACTGGTATACTAAGAATTAAGTTTGTTAGCCGCATTAACATCACTGTGGTTATGTAAGAAAATGTCCATGTTTTTAGAGGATACTAAAATATGACAAATAAAATGACATCTGGAATTTTTAAATATCAGAAAAAGTGGTAATAAAAAGGGGAGATGAAGTAAGTATGACAAAATCTTATACTAACTAAAACTAAGGGATAGGTGTATGGGTCTTGTTAAGATTAATATATATAATCCACATTCCATAAAACTCATCTTTGAAAGCATACAATGCAGTGGTTTTTAGTATGTTCACAAGGTTGTGAAGCCATCACTGTCTTCACCATTCCAAAAAGAAATGCCACACCCTATAGCAATCACTCCCTACTCTTCTCCCTCCCCAGCTCCTGATGACCACTAATCTACTTTCTATAGATTTGCCTATGGATAAATGGAATTACATACTTTGCCTTCTTTCACTTAGTATGTTTTCAAGGTTCATCTATATTCAGCACACATAGACACTTTGCTCCCTTTTATGGAAGAATAATACTCTATCATCATACCATATGATAGACATATGGTATGTCTATCATGTGGACATACCATATTTTATTCATTCATTAGTTAATGGACATTTGAGTTGTTTCCACTTGCTGGCTATGGTAAATAATGCTGCTACAAACATTCATGTACAAATTTTTATGTAGACATATGTTTTCCTTTCTCTTAGATGTACACCCAGGAGTGAAATTGCTGGATCATATGTTATCTTCATGTTGAATGTTTTGAGGAAGCATCAGATTGTTTTTCAAAGTGGCCGCATCATTTTACATTCTCACCAGCAATGTACGCAGGTTTCAATTTCTCCATATCCTCACCAACACTTATTTTCCATCTTTTTGATTATAGTTATCCTAGTGGGTGTGAAGTGGTATGTCACTGCTGTTTTGAATTGCATTTCCCTGGTGACTAAAGATATTGATTTTTTCAAGTGTTTATTGGACATCTGTATAACTTATACAGAGAAATGTCTATTCAAATCCTTAGTCTACTCATTTGTCTTTTTAATGATGAGTTGTAAGAGTTCTTTATATATTCTGAATACTAGTACTTTTTCACATATATAATTTACAAATATTTTCTCCCATTCTTTGGTTTGTCTTTTTACTTCTTGAAGTTTTTTTTTTCTTGCTTGTGAATGTGGAAGTTAATGTTATTCTACTTCTGTATATATGACATTTTTCACAAAGAAAAACACAAATATTCCTTAAAACTTTTTTAACTTAAACATATAAATGTGCATCATTCATTAATCTTATAACATAAAATCAAGCAAGGCCTTTTGAGTATTGAACTACAGTTTGGAGTTACACAGTATCACTGCTATAAAAGCCTATAGCAGTCAGTTTTCAATTTCCAGTTTTGATTCCTTTGAAGGAAGAAAAAGAATGTAAAGTACTTCAAAGGAATCACAAAGCAGAAGCAGCCTGTAAACTTTTTATTTTAAACAATTTTCCCTACATTTTTGTAGTTTCTTCCCCACATCTAATTTGATAGTAATTTTTCAAATAACTAACCTTTGAGTATTTCCAAAGCATTCAACTTGGTTTTGATAGAAACAATTTTTAAATTTATATTTCACCAGTTATATAAAAATAAGTTTATAAACAAAAATGACTCTTAATAGGAAAAGTGAAAAGTACACAAGAAATAGATGGGCTCTTTGTGCTATGGCCATCCAATAGCATGGTTTCCAAAGGAAAGGGGATTTCAGCTTAAATCAGTCAAGACAGTTAGGAGGAGAACAATTAAACTGCGGTCTCCAACCACGGGCGTGGACCAGTACCAGTCTATGGCCTGTTAAGGAACTGAGCTACATGGCAGAAGGTGAGCCAAGGGCTGGTGAGCCAGCAAAGCTTCATCCGTATTTACAGCCACTCCCCATCGCTGGCATCACTGCCTGAGCAGTTCCTCCCCAACCCCCAAGGAAAAATTGTTTTCCACAAAACCGGGCCCTGATGCCAAAAAGGTTGGGGACCACTGAGTGAAGAAAACTTTTCCCATAAAAGTACTGTAAATATGATATTAATAGGTACATGTCAAAACAAAGTATTTTCAGTTTTCCATATAATAATACACAAAAATATATAGTCCGAAAATGAGGAAATGAAAATTAAAATATACATATTACAAAATAATTTCTAATAGTACCTTGTACTTGTTCCAGTGGTGAAGTCCTATCAAAAAGATCCTGGTCCTGAAAGGATTTTGTAGGTTTAGCTTGATCTTCCTCTGGTCTTGCTATATCACTTTGAATAGCTGACTGTTTTATCAGAGCATTTGACGAATGCTGACTTTCCATATAGTTCCTTTTCCTACAGATAGAACTTTTGCATTAGAGAATAGAATAATGATAAAATGTTCGTTACTTTGGGTAAATCCATAAAATATCTATTAATCGGTTATGTATTTCATATCTCAAAAAGAAAAAAAATGGATATAGTGAAAAGAAACATTTCTGGGTCTAGGCAGAAACTACAATTGGTAACATTACTGGGCATTCTGGGGACTGAAACAACATTTTGGGTCTAGTGTATAGTCTACCAAAATCAAAGAGAATATAATATTCCTACTCTGCCTCTCAATGATAAAAAGTTTTTTCTTTTGCAGGTAAGTATCCCTGAAACTATCATATCTAGAGAAAAAGTCAGCTTTCTACAAATAAGACAGACCTAAAGGATATTGGTATATTTGCTAAAATAGCTAAATCTCTGAATTAGTAACCATTTTAAAAGTTATACTTTTACCCCCTGCATCTGTTCTTGTCCTTATCTTTTTACTGCCTCTGCTGTTTTATACGTAGATCAAAATGTTTTTCCTTAAAGGCAATTCTCCTCCCAACCTCTGCAAAAGCTCTACGTCTCTAGCAGCTCACCACAGCAAGAGAAGGGATGGAGATGGAACTTCAGGAAAAAGCCTCAAAATGGGACAAATTCATCCTTTAACAAAGTGATACCTAGAGCCAGACTCAAATTCGGCCAGGATGGATGAAAAAAACAGCCCTTCTATATTTTGCAAATCCCAACCCTCCGTGCCTAAGGAAACTCTCCAAACCTAATTACAATTCATTTCCCAATTTCTCTCTCTCTCTCCTTTGAGGATGTAGTAGTGAAAATGCATTAGCTTAAGCCAAAGATGCACTCATGGGGTAGATACAGGAAAATTTCACCCTGAGTATAAGAGAGGGTAGGGGTAGGTAGAAAGACTATAAAGACAAAGTCACGTGGGTAGAGGGCACAGAAAGGAAAAGGGGTGGGGAAGCAAGACGGTGACAAAAAATAAACAAACAAAAATCAAGTCAGGACATTTAGGTTGACTTCCTGATTTTAAAGCACAGCCCTGTCCCCGCCCCCCCACCCCCGCAAGAAAAGCATATGGTAATGGTTGGAACTTTAGGACAGTTGAGGGCAGGGCACGCTACATTTACCACTACTACCACCCCTTAAAAAATCTAATTCCTCAAAGCTATAGCTATCCCTTGTTTTTATTAGCCCATGAAAAATTTCCAAAGAAAGTCATAAGTTCAAGATAAAGTGGCAAGAGCAATTTCCATTAGTTCAATAAAATGATAGCAAGGAAATTTATAAATGTGAAGCAATCTGGATGACCGGATTCTAGAATCTGAAAGGCAAATGGTGTATGCAGAAAAAAAGAAAGCTACAATTCAGAACCAGAACAGAAGGGATCAGAAGCAGAGAAGAGAACAATCCTATGAGGAAGAACCACAGAGATGTTTTGTGAGTACAGGCAGAAGGGCAGGAGGGGGTCAGAGTGAGAGCAGGAGAAAGAGGTTAACTGAAAGTCCATCCAGCAGCTGTGAAGGCGGCACCTGCCTCTCCTCCCCAACCTAACAAACATTACAGCAATGTCACCCTGGCAGTGAACACCTGGAAAGGGGACAGGAAAAGAAGAACTTTCCTGTAGAAAAGGTATATAAAATGCCTGTGGAAAAGGAAGTGATGGTGGTAACAGCAGCCTAGAATAAAGCTTAAACATCTGACATAAATTAGAGACTCCCAATCTGCTCACTCTAAAGTGAATTCATACAGGAACAATGTCCTACTAACAAGGAAGCCAAATACAAACGAGACCTAAGGATGCCCATGTTAGCAGCTAAGGATGCCCTGTTAGCAACCAGAAGACAGCCACAAATCAAACATGAGGAAAAAAAGTAGCAGTTCCAGAGATAAAAATGAACAAATAACCCAAGAGGAAAGGAACAGTTTACAAAAGTTTCAAAGTTTTCTATTTAGAATCTCAGAAACATTTAAGTAGTTATTACAGTTGTCCCTCAGCATATGTGAAGGATTGGTTCCAGGACCCCCACATATAACAAAATTTGCACACACTCAAGTCCCATAGTCACCCCTTCCTATACTTGGGTTTCACATCCCTCAAATACTGTATTTTCAACCCTCCTTTGGTTGAAAAGAATTCACATGTAAGTACACCCTCACAGTTTAAACCTGTGTTGTTCAAGGGTCAACTATACAACCACAAAAAGGGGCCATTAAAAAAACAAATGACCAAAAAGAGTTCTCATGATTAAAATTATGATTGTCAAATGATTTAATAAATAGTAAATTAGAAACTTATCTAGAACAATGTCTTTTTGCACTAAAACAAACAAAAAACAATGGAAACAGATCAACCCAGGCAATCCAAAATAGTATTTCCAGAAAGAGAAAAGAGAAAAATAGAAGAAAATTGCCAAAGAAATAATAATTATCTAGAACTAAGGCCCACAAATCTCCAGACTGATGCCAATAAGAATTTGGTGAATGGGAGGAAATATCTCCATCTACAGGGGACTCAGAGAGGATTCTAAATGTTTCTAGACAGAAAAAAAACAGTTCACATGCAAAAGATCAAGTATCAAAATGACATCAGGCTTCTCACACAGTGTAACAATGTCTTCAAAATGTTGTGAAAATTATTTTCATCTTAAAATCCTATAGGTCAGCTAAGCTGTTAATTCCAAGGTTAGAATAAAGACATTTTGAAACGAATAAATTCCCCCTCTTCCAGAAGGGGTCAAAGAAGCTGTCCCTCACACGGGGACTAAGGCCATGCCTCTTCCAGCTGTTGACCTCCACTCAGACTAACAACCCAGGTCTTCAGATCGTTCAGGAGTCAGGGAGTGAGACCATCCACTGTGTCTCAGACCACGCCGCCAGGCCTCCTGCCTTCCCTTAACAAGCACCAGCAAAACCAATTTCAAGATCTCCTCGCTGCCAGTAGGAGTTAAGAGGGTACTACCACGAGACCATTCCCTCCCCCACTTCCACCAAGCTACTTGGTAGGATTACCAATGATCTAACCTACGCTAATTGCAATGATCAATTCTCACTTTCATTTGACATAGTTGGATAATTGTCTCTTCTTTTATACAGGTTCCTGACATGGCTTCCAAGATACCGTTTTCCTCCTACCTCTGAGCACTGATCTTCAGTCTCCTTATCTATTCCTCCTGTCCCCAACTTCTTAATGCTCCAGCGCCTTGAAGGCCAGGCCTGGAGCTCTTCTCTCCATTCACTTCGTGCCACTGAAAATCCAGCCTCCTAAGTGGAATTCCTGCACCCATTCTTGCCTCCCACAGTCTAGTCTCCAAAAAGTAGCCAAAGTGAGCCTTTTAAAACATAATTCAGATGGAACTATTTAATGGTTTTCTATCTCTCTCAAAGTCAGAGTCAAGATCCTGCTCACACCCCTTCAGCCTCCTTACTGCTCTGTGAACACACTGGGTCTGCTCCTACCTTGGTGCCTTCATGGTGCACCCTCCACCTGAAGTCCTCTTCCTGGTGTCCCTCCCTAAGATCTTTGCTCATATCTTGCATCCTCAGAGATTCACACTGACCACTGCCTTCAGCCTTCCTAATGACCCTCTTTATCATTCTATTTTTTCTAGCACTTTTCCTTTCTAATATACTATAAAATTAGCATTTTTAATGTCTTGTTTAACATCTGTATTGTTCACTGCTATTTCCTAAGCACCGGGAAAAGTGCCTGTTACATTCTAGGCACTCAGTCAAAAATACATAATGAGTGAATGAATATACAAGGGTTAGCATCTTTAATATTCAGAAAGTACTTTCCATCCCATAAGAACTCAAATATAAATTTAAACACAGAAAACAAGATTGTCTATAATACCACCATTACCATTTTGGTTTTACAGACCTCCAGACTTTCTTCTTGCATATATGTATGTATATAAATTATATTTAACTCTAAAAATCAAAGATTAAAAATATTACCATCAGCCAAGCACAGTGGCTCACACCTGTAATCCTAGCACTCTGGGAAGCCAAGGCAGGTGGATCGCTCAAGGTCAGGAGTTTGAAACCAGCCTGAGCAAGAGCGAGACCCCATCTCTACTAAAAATAGAAAGAAATTAATTGGCCAGCTAAAAATATATAGAAAAAATTAGCTGGGCATGGTGGCACATGCCTGTAGTCCCAGCTGCTCGGTAGGATGAGGCAGGAGGACTGCTTGAGCCCAGGAGTTTGAGGATGCTGTGAGCTAGGCTGACGCCACCACACTCTAGCCTGGGCAAGAGTGAGACTCTATCTCAAAAAAAAAAAAGTGCCACCAAATATTGGATGGGCTGGGAGAAGTAGGCATTCTCAAATACATCTAGTGGGAGTACAAACAGGTACAAGTTTTCTAAAGAGCTATGTGTTAATTTGTAATGGTTTTAAAATTTTTTTTTTTTTTTTTTTTGAGACAGAGTCTCGCTTTGTTGCCCAGGCTAGAGTGAGTGCCGTGGCGTCAGCCTAGCTCACAGCAACCTCAATCTCCTGGGCTCGAGTGATCCTTCTGCCTCAGCCTCCCGGGTAGCTGGGACTACAGGCATGCGCCACCATGCGCGGCTAATTTTTTATATATATATCAGTTGCAATTAATTTCTTCTATTTATAGTAGAGACGGGGTCTCGCTCTTGCTCAGGCCGGTTTCGAACTCCTGACCTTGAGCAATCCGCCCGCCTCGGCCTCCCAAGAGCTAGGATTACAGGCGTGAGCCACAGCGCCCGGCCGATTTTAAAAATATTTTTAACTCAGCAACTTAAATCCTAAGAATTTATGTTAAAAATCTCCTAAATGTACAAAATATATCCATAAATGTATAAATACAAAGTTCATTACATTTATAATAGCAAGACTGCAATAATCTAAATGCCCAAAGACTTGAGTATAAGCCATTAACACAATACAGATTCATATTAATTTTAATTGAAAGCTGAACACAATACTATATATTAATTTTTATAAGTTATCATAAATAGTATAACAGTTTATTCCTATTCTGTAAAAAAAAATTTAAATAACATATATGCACACAGAAAAGTCTGGAAGACTATAGATGAAAATCTATTAAGGTACAGCGGTGTGCACCTGTAGTCTCAGCAACTGGGGGGACTCACTTGAGCCCAGGAATTCAAATCCAGCCTGGGCAACATAGTGAGACCCCATCTCTAATTTTAAAAAAAAAGGTAAAAAAAAAATTGTTTTTAATGTAACCAGTAGCTATTTGCTGGTTAGTGGGATTATAGGCCTGTATTGTCTTGCTAATAATTCTCTACATGCTTTTTTCAGTGAACATACATTACTTTTAGAATCAGAAAAAATGTTTTAAAAGACTAAAAATGCATTTCAAGCACATAAAGAAAACTCTTAAAGATTCTTAGAATTAATCAGAGATGCAAGCACACTTTCAAGCTAAGACTTGTTTTCAACACAGAGAAAGCAAATGACGGTATGAACTTACTCATCATCTTGGAAGCTAAGCTGTAACCTCTCTCTTGGTTCAGCATCACTCTGGCTGCTGGGAGATGATCCAGATGGAACTGAAAACCTCCCTTCTACTAAGTAAGATGCCTGGATATCAGGATACCTACACAAAAAATTGTTTTAATTGGTAAGAATTAAATTATGCACATTTAAATTGCACCATGACATCAGGCTGAGTGATAGTAAAACCAACCACCAGCTGGTAAAACAAACAGGGCCCCCTGTATTCAAAACTATCATCCTCTGTGCAAAGAACAGAACCTGTGGATCAGTAAGCAACGGGATGTTTATCTGTATTCACCGATACAGTCAGAAATCCAACCCCTTGATCCCAAAGGTAAAGATGATGCTATTCACCAAATGTTTAGGTTGAGAAAAGATGGGAAGCAATTAGATATTTAAGCATGGGCAAACTTTATACGTTATCCAAGACCCTATATGTAATGGATGTGTGAACTGTACACATCACACTTAGAAACAGAAAATAGGGTATATTTAACCAAATAGTTATCTGGTTATAAAACTGAAATAAGGTAAGTCAGGAAAATAAAAGCTAGTTTAGTTCCTAAGAGAGAAAATTTACTTTGGGAACTGAAAGTTATCAGAATAATAACTAAGTTACTTTACAAGTAACAATAGAGTAAAGAATTGAAAGAGAAAGACATTCATATAAGTCCAGTAAACAGTAAACCTTGGTCAGGCATGGTGGCTCACGCCTGTAATGCTAGCACTCTGGGAGGCCAAGGCAACAGGATTGCTTGAGCTCAGGAGTTTGAGAACAGCATAAACAAGAGCGAGACTCTGTCTCTACTGAAAATAGAAAAAATTAGCTGGGTGTGGTGGTGCTCGCCTGTAGTTCCAGCTACTCAGGAGGCTGAGGCAGGAAGATTGTTTGAACCCAAGAGTTGGAGGTTGCTGTGAGCTAGGTCGATGCCACAGCACTCGCCTGGGCAACAGAGTGAGACTCTGTCTAAAAAAAAAAAGAGTGAACCTAGCTGAAACCAATTAAAAAGGGAGACCGTGTCATAGTTCCAAACACACTCAGTGACCCAAAACCCTAGACATAGATGACTGGATTTGGAATGGACACCTAACTCAAGCTGGACCAGTAATGCATAAGATTTTAAGAGAGTTCATTGGTCTCCTTCTATAGCTAGAAATGTAATCCACAGATGTCTTCTGAGAGTTTGTGTTGCCATGTTGTACAACATGGAACAGAAAAGCAGATAAACCACTGTGCTGAAAGAGAGAATGAAAGGGTTACACAGAGGTAGAGTGAGATGACAGAAATCTAAGTCCTGATGGCTTCCCAGATCCCGACTTCTGTCCCTTGTTTTGACACAGTTCTACATTCCTGCCCTTGATTTCATGACATACTCCTATACCCTTATAATTAATTTCCCTTTTGAGCTTTGCTAACACAGATTAGTTTACATTATCAGCCATTGGTAAGACTGAACTAATACAAATACAAAACATTACAGACAAAAACCAATAATATTTAGTAGACTAAAAAAGGTCACTGGTGCTCAAATCCTAAAACCATCCAATGATAAGAAAATGGAATGGAGGAAAAAGACAGCAAGTTCTTTGTCTACATCCATTTTATGTATCTGGCCATCTCCTTCACATATAAAGCATACAAAAGCTTCATAGATAAAAGCTCAAGCTTGACTGAGAAATTTTACATAAGTATCAGTATGTTGTAGGTTTTATGGACCTAGAAAAGAAATCTGCTCAAACAAGTCTTACCTGTCAATAGTGCTGGATCTATTTCTAGCAAGCGTGGAAACAGCAACAGGCAAGCCAAGATTTGAAGAAAGAGTGACATTTTCTAAAGTCCCACTATTACCAAGTAATGAATTAGTTAAAAAGCTTGGAAATGACTCCTCTGCTATTCCTCGAAAATTTTCCATCTCACTGCAACAACAAAAATACTTTAATAAATAAAATATAGTAAAACACTTTTAAATGACTAAGAGTACAAGTTTCATAAATCTTAGAAAACTGATAAATCTTAGGAAAAAATCACTTTTTTGGAACATCACTATGAGAAGATACTATTGGCAAATATTCCATGATAAAGTAATTCTTAGAATACTTTGCTACTTTATAGCTGATAATATAAACATCAAACAAACTTATCTTATAATTAACACAACAACGAAATACAATACCATTTAATTTACCCTTGGCTTGGTATAGCAAAGAAATATGAATTACCACAAACTTATGTAGTAAAGGCGACAAAGATGGCATAACACTGACAGTATATACATATGATTTTAGGGCATATTTAAAGTTTGGCAGTTATGTAATCATTTTCATATGGAATAGAATGAGCAAAATTTAGCTCCTGATTTCAGAGACTATTGTAAAGAATGAGTATACAGTTTAAAAAGTAAGCCCATTCAAAAAAAAAAGTATAGTTGGCGAACCAACAGAGCAAAAATGGTAAAAGTGGTACACAAATAACTAAGTCTGGAAAGCACCAGTACAAAATCTATACCACACTGGCCCTTGGTTCAACTTGATCCTGACCACAATGCTCTGGAGATGTTAGCCAGTCTCAAGAATCTTTCAGAGTACATATCATGTAAGCACTGTATAGAATTCAGGGAAGAAAATATGAGGGGGAGGACAAAAAAGATAAATATATTAGGAAATGCTCAAAAAAATGAGGGGTTATTGGCATAGTACCTTAAAGAATGAGAACTTTTACAGACAATATGAAGTGAGTTTTTTTAGGATGACAAATAAATCAGAAAAGGGTAAAGACAATTAAAATGTATTATAGGCCGGGCGCGGTGGCTCACACCTATAATCCTAGCACTCTGGGAGGCTGAGGCGGGTGGATCGTTTGAGCTCAGGAGTTTGAGACCAGCCTGAGCAAGAGCGAGACCCCGTCTCTACCCAAAATAGAAAAAAAATTAGCCAGGTATGGTGGCACATGCCTGTAGTCCCAGCTACTTGGGAGGCTGAGGCAGAAAATGTATTACAAACCTACTGCCTTAACTTATTGAATCCACAGAAAACCTTGGTAGATAATATCCCATTTTACAGATGACAAATAAACTCAGAGACTAAATTAGCTAAATTTTCCCAGCTCTGACTCCAAAATCAACTCCAACTGCGAAGACAGCAAATACTCCAGTGTATTTTGGCAACTGACATACAAAATAACATGGTAAATGAAACTAGAGTAACAGAATGAAGCCAGGTCCTAAAAGTCTTAAATGGTTTATTAGGAAGTTTGGACTGAATTCTGCAACCATCAAAAGGACTGATACAATCAACCTGTAGGATAGGAAGGGAGAGGACTTAAAGCCTGGAAGACTATTCAAAGAACTACTGTAATTGGTAAGAATAAAGGACTATACTAAGGTCAAGAACAAATTAAAGTATAGATTTTAGATAGCATGGGCTAATCTAATTACTCTATGAAGTAGAAAAAATTTAAAACCACTACAGAGCTGTAAAATTTACCTGAAATGGATGGAGCGCCAATGCTCCTGTCTGAAGCCCACCCCTTCCCTTCACATTCAGTCCCAACCCCTCTCACCTCTGCACCTACACTCACTCTAGCAATTGGCACCTTTCTTAACACCATCAAGTCTTCTCTGTGCGACCCTTCTCACACTGTGCAGGCTATTAGTTCTCCCATCTTTTAAAAAAGTCTTCCTCACACCCCATCCTCCCCTTCGGCTGCCACCACACCTGCCCGTGCTCCCTTCACCACATGCTCCCCAAAAGGAATCCCAACTGGCTACTCAGCTCCACTCCTGTCCTCCCCTGAACCCACACCACTCTGGCTTCTGTCCTACTGCCAAACAATGCTCATCAACATCAGCACTGGTCTCCCTGCTGCCAAACCCTATAAGGCTATGGTCACTGTTCAGTTCTCACCATCAACCTAACAGAACAGATTCAGAGGACTATTCCTTCCTTGGGGAAATACTTTCATCACTTGGTTTCCAAGTCACAGATGTCTGGTTCTCCAACTTCCCAGCTGGTTCTTTTCCTTTTCCTTTGCTGGTTCCTCCTTATCTCCAGGACCTCCATACAGCAGAAGGCTCCAGGGCTTTATCCTTGATCTCTTCCATCTACCAACCCTTTCTGGGTGACTGTCCTCAATTTCAAAGCTTTAAATATCATAGAAATTTACACCTCCAGCCTGGGCCTCTACACCAGGCACCTACAACTTGAATCTACAGTCCACTTTGTTCCCACCCACCCAAGAAAAGCCTGCTCTTCGGTCCTCCCCACCAGAGAAAATGACAACTCCAACCTCTAGTGCTCAGGCCAAAACCGTAGGCATCACTGACTCCTCTCACGCACCCCCATGTGCAATCCCTGTGCAAATCCCAATGGCTATGCTTTGAAGACATGCCCAGAACCTTGTCCTTCCTCACTATCCCCTCTACTACCACCTGAGTCAGGCCAGCACCATCTCCTGCAACACTCCTGACACTCACTGCAACAGCCTTCCAACCATCTCTATGTCTCCATTCTGCCTCCCAGAGGCTACTCACGGCACATTAAAGTCAGCTCTGTAAAATGAGTCAGATATCACTCCTTACCGCAAACCCTCCCTCCACTGGTTTCCCACCACATCCAGAGTAAAAGGCAAACCAGGGCCTGGATAATCTCTGACCTCATTTCCTGCTACTCTTCTCCCTTGCTCATGCCATTCCAGCCATCCTAATCTCCCTGCTGTCCCTGAAGCATGCTAAGCAGGCTCCGCCCCAGGGCTTTTGCCCTGGCCTCTGACCTCTGCCCAGTCCCTGATGCACCAGGGATCCATACATCTTGCACCTTGCCTTCTTTCAGGTCTTTGTGCAAATGTTCACTTGACTGTCAGACTTGCCTCATCAACCTACAGAGCTAAACACAGCACTCTCAACCTCCCTGCTCTGCTTTCTCTGTTCCATAGTACAGACTAACATGCATGCTATTAATATATAATTGATCTGCTTATCTGTTTTCCCTCTCACATTGGAACATAAGCTCCGTGAGGGCAAGGCTTCACCCACTGAGTTTACCACTGCATTCCTATGTAGAACTGTGCTGGCACAGAGGAGACCCTCAATAAATTTGCTACGTGGATGAATGAATGTTTTCAACCTATGTCAGTATACAGCAAATCCATCAGCAACTATCTGAGCACTCTGCTATCAGACCATGCCCCAGCACTTTCCTCTCTTCCATATTTTAACTATTCTCTCTTCTTGATTTCCATAAATAACTTCAAAACTCTCCCATGCTGTAATGGAGGAAGCAGAAAATAGACTGCCTGATCCTTCATTTACACTTCCTGCCACCACCTGACTGTTTCCTTCACAACTAAGCATCTTAGAACACTCCACAGTTACTACTTGCACATCTCACCTGACCTCGTCGTCCTCTGCTCCTCAATGCTAGGGTTAGCCAGGATTCTGCCCTCAGGCTTTACATCATGCCATTTACATCTTATACACTAGGGATCTCAAACTAAGGCACAAATATTGTCAGGAAACAGGACAATAAGGACCCAGTTCAGATGGAAATTAAAGGCCCCACATGAAGCCAGTTAAATCCAATAAAACACTACTGCCAAACAAAACATATCTACAGGTGGAGTATGTTCCTGAAGGCAAACCATGTCTATGTCCAAAACATACCCTGAAACATTCCAAATCTTTCTCCACTACTGTTACTCTACCCTACTGAAAAAGTCTCCTCATCCTTCTCCATGCTTCTATTCTTGTCACCCTACAATTAATTCTCCACACAGCAGGCAAAAGGACCATTAAGGTACCATGCCCCCAATGAAAACTCTGCGAGCCCCGTCACCTTCTCCCATCCTCCTCAGGCTCACCCACAATGTACACCACATACTGGATTTTCTGTTCCTGTAACACTCCTGAAGCCTAGAATTTTTTTTAATTAATTAATTAATTTATTTATTTATTTATTTATTTTGAGACAAAGTCTCACTTTGTTGCTCAGGCTAGAGTGAGTCCCATGGCGTTAGCCTAGCTCACAGCAACCTCAAAGTCTTGGGTTCAAGCAATCCTAACTGCCTCAGCCTCCCGAGTAGCTGGGACTACAGGCATGCGCCACCATGCCCGGCTAATTTTTTGTATATATTTTTAGTTGGTCAATTAGTTTCTTTCTATTTTTAGTAGAGATGGGGTCTCACTCAGGCTGGTTTTGAACTCCTGACCTTGAGTGATCCACCTGCTTCGGCCTCCCAGAGTGCTAGGATTATAGGTGTGAGCCACCGTGCCCAGCCATGAAGCCTAGAATATTATTTTCCCAGATCTCTGCATAGCTAGCTCCTTCCTTCCTGACATTTATGTCAACTTAAACATCACTTTCTAAGAGAAGTTAGTCCTTCTCATTAAGTCAAATGTAGGACCATACTCTATCATATCTGTTTTAATTCCTTCCAGAGTCTATCATTATTTATTCTTGCATTTGTTTTTCCAATTGAAATGATTGCCCACTAACAGTGTGGGCCTTGCCTCTCTGTCCATCACTATTTCAACACCTAAAACAATGCTTAACCACACAGTAGGTACTCAGTAAATATTTGCAAAATGAATGAATGACAAAAGACTCAGTGGGTGGCCTCATCTTTAAAATTAACCCCTATATATTTAGAAAAGCAGTTTCTTGGGGAAATGTCTATCTTGTTCACCCATATATTCTCAGTATCTGATATAGAGATGGGAATAGGAGTTGAAAAAAATGAATTAAAAGAAATAATCTATAAACCCCAGCCAGCTTGCTGATATTCAGTGGCTCTTATCAAGTAAAGTACTAAATATTTTATATACATTTTTCTAATTCCCATGTCAAATGTGTAAGGTAGCCATTTTATCCCCACTACTGATGAAACTTTAGACCAAGAGAGGGAATTAAGAGACTTTTCCAGGCCAAAGGGCAAGTGAGAGCAGAGGATTCCCACGCAGGCAAGCCTTTTCTCTGCACTGATGCCACTGCTCTCACTTTCAAATGACCTTCAGCCCAGATCTCTGTTTTCTAGACCTGTATAATCAGCCCTCCCTATCTGTGGGCTCTGCATCTGTGGATTCAACCAATCACAGATCAAAAATATTTAGAAAAAAATTTTTAAGTAACAATACAAGAATAAAAAACATAGAACTATTTTACATAGCAATTTATACTGTACTAGTTATTATAATAACCTAGAGATGATTTAAAGTATATGAGAGGTTCCACTGTTTTGTAGTTTCCAAAAAAAAATAAAGTATATGAGAGGGGCTGGGCATGGTGGCTCATGTCTATAATTTTAGCACTTTGGGAGGCCAAGACAGGAGGATCACTTGAGGCCAGGAGGCCCTGAACAACACAGCAAGACTTAGTCTCTACAAGAAATAGAAAATTTACTGGCTGTTGTGGCACATGCCTACAGTCCCAGCCACTTGGGAGGCTGAAGAAGGAGGATTGCTTGAGTCCAGGAGTTTGAGGTTGCAGTGAGCTATGATAATGTCACTGTACTGTAGCCCAGGCAACAGACTGAGACCCTGTTTCAAAAACTAAAATGAAATAAAGCGTAAGGGAAGACATACATCAGTTATATGCAAATACTATGCCATTTTATATAAGGAACTTGAGTATCCACAGATTTTGGTAGCCCTGGGGTCGGGGCAAGTTCTAGAACCAATTCCCCATGGTTACTGAGGGATGACTATATTTCCAAACAGGTCTTTAACATCCACCTTACCCCTGATGGCCTCTCAGGTAGTACAAAGTCAACAAATACAAAACCAAACTTGTTACCTTTCCTCCATTCACTCTTCCTGTTACCTTTTAGTCTTAACAAGTCATCTCTACACAAGCCGGACATACCTAGGACTATTATGATCCCTCCTGATCTCTCAGTTACTAAATTCTAATGCTTCCAACTTCAAATGTATCTCTGGAGCTGAGATGCACTTCTGTATTCCCAATGCCTGCTGCTAATCACTTCTTATTCTGATATATTGCACAAGTCTCCCAACTAGCCTGCCCGAGTAATTACTAAGTTATTTGTTCATTTACATATATATCAACAATATTAAAATATATACCAAACTCTTCAACGATTATCCCTATTTAGAAGGGGTCAAATCCAAAGAAAATTCACATACTACACAAAGATCACTTGCACAACAATCATTATCAAACACAAACCACGAAGAATACTCTACTTGGCACCAAGAATGCAAAAATATATAAGGCAGCTCCCTTACATATTAATAAATAAGGGAGCTGACAATACCTATCAATTACCATGTTAAGTGCTTCAACAGAGCTTTGCTATGGATGCACTGGCAACACTACCCATTAGAAGATTCCTCAAGATGTAATCTATTCATCTGTTTCCTTTATTAAAAAAAAAAAAAAAAGATGTAATCTAATACCTAGTTTCTCTTCTTTCCAGAAAGGATTACACACTTGTTCTAACATTCATGGACATACCACATTCCTAAAGGCTTCCTATAAAGGAAATTTCCCTAACTTCCTTCTTTATTGCATTACCCACCCCTCCTCCATCATCTAAAATGAAGACAATGTTATCTTTTCTTCTACTATATTTGAACTAAGTAGCCATCTTTGTGATTTCTCTTGCTATTTCCTTAAAGTAGTGACCTCAAACTTCACATATGGATTTACCACTACTTAATTTGCTTTAATTACATTCCTGGGTATATAAAAGATTATTTACTGCAGTCATTAATTGTAGGTCTGCGTATACAATTAAACACAGTTAAAAGTATCTGCTGTGAAACCCAAAACCTAGTCAAACTTCTCTAACACTTATCATTTATTTCTTTGCACTTTTTAAGATATACTTTAGAATTAGGTATGCATTTAGCATATTACTTTTCAAGGCTTACCGTAAACTTTGTACACAAAACTGAAATTTGGAGGAAAGGCTGATTTTGGAGCAGTATAAAAGCCAGACGAATGACCTCAAAACAGTAACAACAAATGGAAATATTGTCATATAAACAGGTGTCCTCCAAACGACTGCGTCGAAAGGGACCTCATGTTTTACTAAGCAAAGTCTGAAATTAAGAGCAAAGCAAAAGTAGAATGATATTAAACATTCTTGTCTCATTTCACGTTATGTTCATAAGGAAATCATAGGCAAGGAATGTAAGTAAGGTATTAGAAATAAATATGAACGCAGCCTAGCAGAACCCAAATCAAAAGTGAGTACACCGGTGACACAGGCGACCCCTGGAGCATTAAGTAAAGAAGATTGGCTAGTCTGATGGTACTGGGTTATCAGAACTTATTAACATTATCCCCCTGCTAAATTTGACTGGCTTATAAAAAAAATTAAAAAAAGAAGATTATTTCCCCAGTCCCTTTTGTTTTGTTATAGACAAAAAGAAAAAGAACTGCCCGTCACAATACACATAAAGGAACACCACTGGTCAATCAACAGAGCATTTTGCAAGAAACAAAACACCTGAACAAAACAGCGCGTGCCCGTCAGTCAGGAATTGGAAGTTAGCAAACGGGAGAGGAGCAAACAAGGATATGATCCCCCAAAAGTCTACCTCATTAGGCCTGGCCAAAAGCCAAAAGGCAGGCGTGCAATTAATCTCACTGAGCGGAATTCAACCCTCAAGCCAGGCTGGTGCGGAGGCGCGGACTGAGCGCGGCAGCCCTAGCCCAGCTCGCGCCCCGCCGCCCCCACCGCCTCACAGCCCTCCGCCGGGAGCCGGCTCCCCCCGCCAAGCCCAACCGCCACTGCCCCGCCGGTGCGGAAGCCAAAAGGCAAGCCAAAGGCCGATGCGCCTGCCTCCCGCCCAAGAGCACGCCAAGACAGCTACGTCCGTCCTCACCCAGCCCGCTACCCGCCACAGGTGCCAAGAGCGGAGCAGAAAAGTCCAAGGGAAGCGGCGACTCAGCAGCGATAGCAGCGCGCGTGCGCGCAGACCTGCGCCAGCGACCGCCCGGACCAGCCGTATGGCGCGCCCCTGGCGTTTACGTCTGTTCGCGGCATGAGGGGAGGGGGCGGGGACCAGCGCCGGCTTCGGATTGGGTAGCACTAAGAGCCTGGGAGGGTAGGAGCCCCATGATTGGTGAGAGCGGTGCGTCTCAGGATTTGAAGGGAGGAAGTGGCGCGCCCCGCAGCTCCGGAGAAGACCAATCTTACAGTTCCGGCTGAACTGAAGGCGTTACCTTGGAAGTCTCGGCCAATTTGAAAATGAAGCTTACTTTTTTCAATTTGGGGTCCCAAGGCACCGTCAGTCACCTTACACACAAATATTTCCGGCGAACAAATCACCTGACACGTTTTTGTCCTTATGTGACCAGATGCAGACCTTTCCTATCACCGTTTGCTACTCGCTGAAATATGTCATGTTTTATCTTCAATCAGCAAGGAATTCCTCGGGAACCAAATTTCCTGGCAGTTCAGTTCGCTAAACCTAACCTCCTTTGTGACGGAGTATGGTTGGTCTCGGAAAAAAATGAAATTAGACATACGTAATTCTTCCCTAATTAGCTTCCTACTTTTCTCCATCCTTAGGCCACAAATCTTACCGCCTCTGCTCAGCACAAGCCTTTTACTACTACTTACTTCACTGTGACCATGGTGGAATACAATTTCACACCTTTTACTAAAAATTTATTTCAAAAAACATTTTATACAGTTCTTTTTCTCAATATTTTTTCCATATAGTCTGAGGGACCAAAGCTAACGACTTAAATTCCATTAATACAGCAGTTACTGAATATTTAAGATGCCTGGTGCTCTTGGGAAGACAGAAAGGGAAAACAAAGTTCAGTTTAACAGTCCCTATTCCTGAGTGTAGCCTGGTGGGGAAAAACATATATTTATTTGATCACTTGCCTATCTACCTCCTCCAAAACATTGCTCAGCTCCCTCTTTCCACAGGTTCTTTTCTGCCTATAAAAATACTGCGTCTCTACACATAACACACACCCTTGATTCTGCTTCATCATTCTCTCTCCTTCCCTGAATTGCCTCCTTTTACACCTTATTTTCAGCCATTCCATGTTATCTAGCCTAGTCCTGAACACTTTAAATTTATCAGGAATGGCCTCCTAATTGTTAAACTCAGTCATGTCCCCACAGTTCTCCTGACATCTCTTCTTGAAACCGTCTAGCCTTGGTATTTTACAAACTGTAATTACCCCTATTCTACCTTTGTCCACACTCAACGAGCACAGTGGAGAAAATCTGAAGATTTTCCAAATCCTGAAAAAATAATCCAAACTTCAGAACTAAAAAGATGTACTTGAGTGTAATGAGCCACCCTTCTTTCTCAAAGTATCTTTACCCCTCTTTTTACAGAGTGGCCATACTTTAGAGGTGACCTGCTAGAATGTGTCTACATGTTCCAGATTGTCATTCATCCTGTATCCTTGGTACCTATTCAATAAATGTCCTTCCATAAACATCCTCAAGTCACCCAAGCTCTCCCTTTAACACTCAGCAACCTGATATGACTCTCTAGTGACAGAGATCTGCAATCCATAATATCTGCAGGCAAAAGAGCTCAGACTGATGCCAGGCTGCCTAGATCTGAATCATGCTATGCCATCCATCCTCTTCCTAGCTGTGTAGCCTTGAACAAGTAGCTTTAACCTACCAGTTTCCTCATTTGTAAAATGGGGATAATTAGAGCACTTGACTCAGAGGCTTATAAGGATTTAGAACAATTCCTGTAAGGTATCTAGAAAAACACTAGTACATGGAAGTACTCAACAAATATTACCTATTATCTTTACACCTCACTATCTAGACTTAGTTGCCAACTGGAAATGAAGAATAGAATTCCCATTGTGACTTCTAAATCTCCTTAGACATTGAGTAGAGGCTGCAAAGGCCCTGTGGCCAGCATGCCTTCCCAGGGAATTAGAAGTGATATCTATCCAGTTTTTTACAGCCAGAAATCTCCCATAGCTCAATTTACCAACTGCTTAAATTGGTGAGCCTCAGCCACCAATATCCTGAGGAATCTGCGGCTTCAAGGCCACATGTGGCCCTACAGATATCCAAGTGTGGCCCCTTGACCATATCCAAACTTCACAGAACAAATCCCTTCTTTAAAAGAATTCGTTCTGTAAAATTTGGATTCAAAAGGTAGCGCTAAAGGATCCAGAAAGCCACAGGTCCCCCACCCCTTAGTTCCTAAATGTACCCTATTCTTTCATCAGGCTACATCCTGTTTCCTTAACACTCGGTCCTTTTACTTCACTTCACCTGTTGAAATCAGACATACTTTCCAAATCCTGCCAGCTCAAATAAGTTACTCTTTTATGCCCACTAATACAATTTCTACATCTATTACAAAGCTGAACCCCTTACCTTCCATAAATTCTGGAAATGCCTTCTCTCACTAGTATGTGTACAGACTACCTTTTCTTTTTTGTACATACCATAGTGTTTAGCACAGTATCTTGGACATATTCACTAAACTGCAGAAGTGTCTCAATTCATTATCCCATTCTAACCTCAGGTAGCTCTATAATGACTGAAACCTCAAAGACATGAATTCTTAATTCTGAGCTAAATTCAGCCTTAAGTTAGACTCCTTGCTGTAATCCTACATATCTACAAGTCTAAAGCAACTCCTTTAACAAAAGGAAGACCTTTGAGAATTGTTTGAAAAGGATTTTTTTAACATGGAACAAGTAACTTTACAGACAAAACATTTTAATTAGATAATAAAACTCAAATGTTTCTTAAATTAGAATGAATATATTCTATCAGCTCTTAATCCTTTGCAGATAAAGTTGGGGGCAGGGGGTAATGACACTTTCCAGTTAAGTTGTCTTTGAAAATTAGATTATAATATAGTTGTAATAAATTATGTCACCTACAGCCTGGTCTGTAGGACTCCATCTCTACGAAAATGAATAAATAAATAACATTTACTTAACAGTCAATATCTGTGAGTTCTAGATGGTAATCTGCATATTGACTTTCTACCTTTTAAACAAATGTAATGTTTGCTCATCTACTAATTTTTGTCTGTTTGGGGTTTTTTTATTTTTGTGACATGGTAAATGGAGAATAAGCCTTAACAACTATCTTAAATAAAATACATTCAATTTTCATAAGGTAACAGATTCATATCTTTAAAATATATTTTATTAAATAACCTACTTGGGTAAGAATTATAAAAGCTTTAAAAAGTAATTCCAAGTAGTGATAGGCAATTGCCCTTTAAAAAGAAAAGGCCAAAAAGTCCATAATATGTTTTGCCACTTTATACACAGGAATGATTTATTTTACATCCTAGTCAAATGCAACCTTAGCCTGTAAAATTAAAAACATTTTTATATGTCTCAAAAGCATAGTGAATTTCATAATGATGTTTTCACATTAACCAGTAAGACAAAGCATAAGAAACTTAAGACTATGGAAACAGTTCACAATAAAGTTTACAAAACAGGCACTTTGAAGTCAGCTACTGTGTATAACTTTCACAGTTAATGTTACTTGTACATATTTCATCAAAGGTTATCAACTAGTGAAGTAAATGTTCCTTTGATGCTGACACACAAACAGGTTTAGGTTCCAAACACTGTGTTCTGGTTGTAATACACGTAAGACAGGCCCCTAAATTAGAAAAACCTTTCAAAAGAAAATGAAGAAAAACATGGAAGCCATTGGATATGCTAAAAGTAAAAAAACAAAAATAATAAAATAAAGAAAATGAAGAAAAACAAAAAGTGCCAAAAATGAAAGCATTTACAAGCATTGAATAAGGCCTTTAAATGTTAAATCAGTGTTTTAAACTCCTTCATTCTCAGGTAAGGGATTAAGAGGCCGAGAGAAATATCCTCTGTGAGGGTGAGGATACTGGAGGCTGGCAGTGTCAGCATCACCAGAGTGCTCTACCAGAGGAGGGGGAGGAGGAGGTGGAGGAGGAAGAGGAGGAAGGGGAGAAAGGAGCTGGGCATAACTGGACCATTTCGATCCAGCCAGTGGGGGATCCAGCAGGGGAAAGAAATACCTGAAACAATGAAGACAAGAACAAAACAACACAACGAGGGGTGGGGGGTGGGGAGGGACAGAAGAAAAAGAGAAAAGTAGTAAATACAAAGAGAACCAAGTTTCAAGAAAATAAATGCTGGAAAACAATAAGCTTTAGTACATTCATGCCATAATAGCACAAATCAAGACCCTTACTCAAATCAAGATTGCTTAAGCAAGTATAGAAACTTAAAAGAAATACAATCTGTTCAACTTAAAATGTCAAAAAATTATCAGTATGAATGTTACCAAGAAAAACATTAATTCTAGAAATTTAAAACATTTTCTAAACTCTGAAGAAACACCTGATGCTAGTTCATAAATTTATAAATCTAATAAGCTTCTTATTTTAAGCAATGCTTCATTTGTAGCAGCAGTAAGCACACCTTTTTAGGTGCATACATGATACTGAGAACAAATTCAAATACATTTTCACTTAGTATGCCTGGCTACTGCAAGATACTTCTGAAGAAATATAACTGAATATATTTATTTTTCTGCAAAAACCTTAGAATAACTACAGAATTTTGATAGGTAAAAAGATTCAAAGAATTATTATGCTTTTCTGTTATTCTTCTGTCATTTTATAACTTACCCATAATACTTATACATTTTAGCAAACTTAAAAGTTTTACAGCTTTGTCATCAAGGTCAGAGGTTTATAAGACAAGAACTAACTAAAACAATCAACCAAATTAAGAAAATCCTGAGACACGAAATGTTGAAGTTAATTTACATGCACAATTTTAGTAGAATTTTAACTGCTTCTCTCTTATAGTATGTGTGCAAGTTTTGATTTGAACGAAACTAAGCCATGGAATCATACGATAAAAATACACAAATGCATATTAGAAACATCTCTTTAGTGAATATGAATTGAAAACTTATAAAGGTGTTTCCATTTTACTAGCAAATTATAAATGAAACAATAGCACATGCTTAACTTAGCCACAAACTGTACAAATTACTTTCATTTTACTATTAATACTTTACTAATTCACTCCTTTTCTAATACTTTTTAAATATTACAAAGAAATGACAAAGTTGAACTGAATATTATGTATTAAGAAATTCTACAAAAGTAAACAAATTAGCACTCAAAACAATCTTTATAAAAAATATTTATTCAATTTTCAAATTAAAAGTATAAAAATTCATCATTTAAAGTTTACTGTTTTAGGAAACAAAAGAAATATGCCAATATTCTCCAAATGAAATAAAATGATATTTTTCCTCCTCCCAACTACTTACATAAGGATGGTAACAATCCTTTTAATTTTTAAACCCAAGTTAGTTTCAGGAACATTTCAAAAAATTGTTTTGGTGACAATGTCTCAACAAAAAGCCTCTCCATTTATATTTTAAAAGTTTCAAACAGTGTCAGTAAACTGACTAGTACACAAAAATGATATACACTGTATTTTTAAAGGCCTTTTGGACTGCATTTAGTAGTAAGCAGGCTGCTGGTGTATCTTGGGAGAGGTCAAATGGTGCCGGGGAAGGGGAAAAGGAGCTTGCTTTCCATTCCTGTGTGCATGCAACAAGCAGCAAGACAGCAAAGTTACTCCAGTTAGCTTGTACTCAGCTCTGCCTTCGTTAAAGACATAATACAAATGAGAAGGGAAAATGCATCAAGATCTAACACAGATGGTTACTGCACCAATAAGAACCAGATCAAAACATCAAAGCTATTTACAAAAAGAAAATACCCAGTGCAAGCAGTGACCAAAACACCAGACTTTAAAAAAAAAATTAACTCTAGTATCTCTTTGCTTAATGAAATCATCTTATAATCTGATATCTTCTATGACAATCTGAAATTGTCCGATGTAAATACTTAAAACTTCAAAGCCAAATAGGACTTCTTTATAAAACTATAACATAAAAATAGTTGAAGAAGTTTTAAATAGAATGATTTTTCCTTCTATTTAGGATAACAAGAATAATCATAGGACAATTTATTAAAGCTATGTTTTGAAGTTTCCTGAATTCTATTCCAAATTATTCACAAAACATATATATTAAAATAGTGGTATCTTACAATTCACCTATTTGAAATTAAATATGAAAACAAAAGGAAGACTTTAGATCATATCAATATTCCTTATTATGATAAACAAGAACTCTAAATATTATAAAATCAAGCATCTCAGATTTTAATCATTTCCTCTTATAATCTCCATTAAAATTATAAACACAAATGTACTCTCTAATTAATGTATTATTATTTAAAACTTAAGCTTGACCTGATGCAACAGCCACACTACAAGCACTGTATGGTACATCTAGGACTAAAACTCTCACTGTTAAACCATTTGCTCTCCTCACTGCTACAGAAAATAAAATCTTAAAATATAAACATTTCTACTGAAGATCACTACATTTCAGAATATAATTTAGTTAGTGGCTCAAACCTACCTGTAAATGTTTTACCAAGTAAGCCATATACAGAGCTAACAAAATAATTTTTAAATTCTAATGTCATAATTACTGCAAATTTCTTCATTCCATCTTATAACTCATCAAATAACCTGCCTTTAGTATAGCTACCAGAATGATTTAAAAGGAAGATAATTCCAGTTTTCCGATAAAACAGCGTACCTGCCAGCAGAAGACATTAATGAATTATGAAGTGTTGAATATTTGAAACTAGGGAAGGATTGAGTTTCCCTGCTGAGAACTTCCCATTGACTGGGCCCCATATCTCAAAATACCAGTACACTTCCAATTGTCCATATAATTAGCTGAAAGGAAAATAGCCAAATACATTAACTTGATTAATACCTATGCACAAGGGCACAAACCTGTACTCATATCTTTAAACTACAATTAAAGAAACAAGAGAGAAGCCATGGGCTATATTTCTTTCAGGATAAATATTAAAAATGTTCTAAAAATGAAATACACGTTACTCCATTTAAATAATATTTTTAAGTTTTCAAAGAATTCTTAATACTAATTTAAAAACATAAAGCTTTCTTTCCGTCGGGCATGGTGGCTCACACCTATAATCCTAGCACTCTGGGAGGCTAAGGCGGGTAGATTGCTCGAGGTCAGGAGTTTGAAACCAGCCTGAGGAAGAGCAAGATCCTGTCCTACTATAAATAGAAAGAAATTAATTGGCAACTGATATATATAAGAAAATACGCTGGCACTACCGCTTTGGAGGTGAGGCAGGAGGATTGCTTGAGCCCAGGAGTTTGAGGTTGCTGTGAGCTAGGCTGACGCCACATACATACATACATACATACATACATACATACATACATACAGGAGTTTGAGGTTGCTGTGAGCTAGGCTGATGCCACATACATACATACATACATACATACATACAATACAATAAAATAAAATCAAAACAAAACAAAACATAAAGCTTTCATCACCCACTTTCCTTCCTTACAAGGTAAGTATTAGCAGAGAGAATTCTCTAAGCTACCACATTATGAAGCTAACATCAACATAAAATCTTTGTCTCCATTATAATGAATTTCATGTACATATATATGTAAGGTAATGGACTTGCCTTCTTGGTTATGCAAGTAAAAGTTATGTGGGTACCTAGTGTCTTCTGAGACAGATGTAGGTAACAAAACCCTTGGTATCTGAGTGGCTTATTGAATGCAAAATTGGCCAATGAAGACAATGAACCCAAGAAACCCAAGTTAGGGAGCCTGCTAGGGTGCACAGCTGGGTGGTCCTGACTAAGGCCCAGAGGCAGAAAAGCCCTTGAAAATCAAATTACAATGAGGAAAGGACGGTCTGGGCTGATTCCATCAAAGCCTAAAATTGAATATGAGAGCCCATCAAAGTTTAGCCAGTCTGCACTTTGAGAAACAAAAACTGCTCAAGGTAAATGAACAAAGACAACTATAATTTTGAGTGCTCAGTATGGGACACCACCCATTATAGTGGTATGTACTAAATCACGGACATCTCTTTCCAGTGGATAAGCATCCATGGAAGAGTACATAGCAGAACCAAGCTACAGAGACTATAGTCAGCATGAGCTGACTGAATCAAGTTCCCTCTCAGTTTGGCACTTGTAAGAAACTGCTAGAATCAGAGGCCCAAGGTCCTTAAACTTTTGGGTGTTGTAGAGGAAGCAGGGAAAATGCAGGATTATCTCCTATTAAAGGACTATCTAAAGCAATTATTTGATAAGAGATGATTGTGGTTCTATCCTGAGTTTGTAAAGCAGTCATACAGGTTATATATATGACAAACAGTATCTTTTTATTGGAGATATTGCATATTCTATTTTTTTTTTTTTTGAGACAGTCTCACTCTGTTGCCAGGGATAGAGTGAGTGCCATGCCGTCAGCCTAGCTCACAGCAACCTCAAACTCCTGGGCTCAAGCAATCCTCCTGCCTTAGCCTCCCGAGTAGCTGGGACTACAGGCATGCACCACCATGCCCGGCTAATTTTTTCTATATATTTTTAGTTGTCCAAGTAACTTCTTTCTATTTTTAGTAGAGACTGGTCTTGCTCTTCCTCAGGCTGGTTTCAAACTCCTGACCTTGAATGATCCGGCCGCCTAGGCCTCCCAGAGTGCTAGGATTACAGGCGTGAGCCACCGCGCCCGGCCGAGATATTGTATATTCTATGATATTTACTCTAGTTTTAAAAATGTTCTATTACACATAGAAACTTAAAAAACAATTCAGTTAGTCATTAACTGCTATGAACTAGGTAAACTGATGTTCAAAATAGCAAATTATAGGCTGGGTGTGGTGGCTCACGCCTGTAATCCTAGCACTTTGGGAGGCCGAGGCAGGCGGATTGCTCAAGGTCAGGAGTTCGAAACCAGCCTGAGGGAGACCCCGTTTCTACCAAAAATAGAATTAAAAATTGAACTAAATAATATTACAAAAAAAAATTAGCCAGGCATGGTGGCACATGCCTGGTAGTCCCAGCTACTCGGGAGGCTGAGGCAGTAGGATCGCTGAGCCGGAGATTGGAGGTTGCTGTGAGCCAGGCTGACGCCATGGCCACTCGTCCTAGCCTGCGGCAACAAAGTGAGACTGGTGTCTCAAAAAAAAAAAAAAAAAAAAAAAAAAATATATATATATATATAGCGAATATATAACATACTAATTTAAAAGTAACTATAGAAGATAGTATTTTTCAAAATATATCAAAGTTCACATTTTGAAGCAGAAATATAAAGCAGCAATTATCCCTTCACTGAAATCTTTTTTTTTTTCCTTCACTGAAATCTTACCTTTCCACAATCGTACACAGCCATCATCTCCTGAAGATGCTAGCACTGTTCCTGTTATATTCCAACTCACTCGCCAGACCTGGGAATTATGATTATCAAATTGAGCCACGATATGGATTTCAAATTTTGTTGGCCCACCAGAGGAAGTAAGTTCTTTCCTGTTAATAAAAAAAATATTTCTGAGAAAAGTTTTAAAAAGTGTGTACATACATAGTGTTCTAAATAAAATTACATATGGTCTCACAATTTACCACATTATTTTATAATAATGTATACATTTGTATTCCCCCCACCCTTGACCCTGAGCTGGGCCAATGTCATTTTCATTTGACGCCCCAGGACCTGGAGTGATCCCACACACAGAAATGATATTCAGTAACTGTTTCATGAAGAAAGAATAAATATTATCCTTGAATTATTCTTATCCCAAAGTGAAATATTCATCCCAAACAAGGATGAAAAATAAAATTGATGATAATTTCAAAGGAAAGAATGGGGAAATGGAAAGAAGGGGAAAAAAAGAACTAAAACTCATTTAAATTAAAGGTAATATTCTTCCAAAGAATATCTCAATGCCTAATTTAGTTTTAGCCACTCTCATTCATTTAAAAATACACAATACCAATTATTTCAGAGAATCCAATTCACTGTTAGTATCAGCCTAAATTAAAACACAGTTAAGCTGGGCACAGTGGCTCATGCCTGTAATCCTAGCACTTTGGGAGGCCCAGCACGGAAGACTGCTTGAGCTCAGGAATTAGAGACAAGCTCAGTAAAAGCAAGACCTGTCTTTACAAAAAATAGAAAAGTAGCCAGGCATGGTGGCACATGCCTGTAGTCCAGCTACTCAGGAGGTTGAGGCAGGAGGATCACTCAAGCCCATTAGTTTGAGGTTGCAGTGAGCTTGACAATGCACTGCACTATAGCTGAGGCAACAGAGAGGTAACTCTGTCTCAGAAAAGAAACAAAACAAAACATAAAACACAATTAATATAAATTCTCCTCTTTATTCAATTCCCACCCCAAAAGTCATTTTACACATAAAATGTTCAATAAAGAATCCATTCTTGGGCCAGGCACAGTGGCTCACACCTGTAATCTCAGCACTCTGGGAAGCAGAGGTGGGAGGTTCACTTGAGGCCAGAAATTTGAGACCTCATCTCTACAAAAAACTTTAAAATTAACAGGTGTGGTGGCATACACCTCTAGTCCTAGTTACTCAGGAGGCAGGAGAATCACTTGAGCCCAGGAGTCTGAGGTTGCAGTAAGCTACGATGACACCACTGCACTCTAACAGAGCAAGACCAAAAAAAAAGAGCAATTGATTCTTCGGGTAATAGTTACCTCTACTCTCTCCTCCACAAATAATCAGGAGGCAAGAGTATTTTCAAATTCATTAACTATTTCTAAAACTCACCTCACAGGCTTTAATGTAAAAATTCTCACATCTTTGGTTGCTATTGCTAGAATATGGAAAGATCTTCCCAAATTTGGAGCAAATGCAATATCATGTACAGGATCAGTGACTGTCATAAGAGTTTCAGCTTTTGCGTATTTCCTAATGAGAAAAACAATTTATGTTAAAAGTTTCAGAAATAAAATTAGTAAATGTCCACACATCACTGCACCTCAATTTTTTTCATACTGTTCACAATCAAGTTGTGCTTACCTCTGTACTGGGCTGAATAGTGGCCACCAAAAGAATATGTCCAAGTCCTGACCCCCATAACCTGTCAATGTGACCCTAATCATTACAAAAGGAGTTTTTGCAGATGTAATGAAGGATCTCAGGATGAGCTCCATCCTGGATTTAGGGTAGGTTCTAAATCCAATGTTCGGTATCCTCACAAAAGACAGAAGAAGAAAAACACAAAGACACAGAGAGGGCCATGTAAACACAGAGGCAGAGGCTGGAGTGACACTGTCACATGGCAAGAGCCCCCAGAGGCTGGGAGAGGCAAGAATGGAATTCAGAGGAAGCACAGCCCCACTACCACCCTGACTTCAGATTTCTGGCCTCTGGAACTGTGACCGAACAAATTTCTGTTGTGTTAAATCATCCAGTTTGTTGTAATTTGTTGTGGCAACCCTAGAAAACTAATATAGAATAAAGGATAATGATCAGAGTTTTTGACTAGGTTCTTCTATGTCTTCCACTGAATATCTTGGGCAGAACTGAAGCACCTAATGTGCCCATGGGAGAGGGAGTGATCTCCCCATCACTCCTTTCTACTACCCTCCTCTAAAGCACTAGTGTTTCTAGCATTCTGTTCTTGACCTTCTTTTCACCCCTAAGTTCTATCCTTGACCTCTTCTCACCCTAAACAGTCACCCTAAACAATCTCATCTGTGTCCCTGCTTCTACTGTGTGGTCTGCAGCAGCCTGGGAGCTTCTGAGAAATGCAGACTCTCAGCCCCCACCTGATGCCTATAGAATTGAAACATGCATTTTAACAAGATCCCCAGATGACTCACACAGACATTAACATTTCACTACCTACAAATCAATAATTCCTAAATCTATCTATCACCTCCAGTCCATTCCCTTCTGCCAAAGGCCAAACATAGGAGGGGTAGCTAAAAGCACACACACACTGCTGTCAGAATGTATTCAAATCCAGGCAAATCCATCACTGGTTTGTAACCTGACCTCCAGCAAGTTGTTGTCTGTAAAGTGGGAATAACACCAGTAATGTGGAAGGCAGACTCTCCCCTAGGGGAGGCTCCTCCCCACAAGTATGAATGGGACCCATGGCTTGTTTTTAACTAGCAGAGGGAATATGGCAAAGGTGGGGGGATGAGACTTGTGCAATCACAGTACGCAAGTTTGCAGCGCTGGCCTTATGAGAAGCTCTTCTCCTACGGGCCTTGATGCAGCAGCTGCCATGCTGTGAGCCACAGGAGAGAGTCCGGTGGCAAGAATACACAAGAGCTGCCAACAACCAGTGAGCCCCACTAAGGCCTCACTCCTAACCCACAGAAACTGAGATCATAAATGTGTGTTGGTTAAGCCCCTAAGTTTGTGATAGTATCGTTATGCAGCAGGAGATAACTTATTTTAGCTATTATATCTAGATATTCCCAAAAGTACCTCAAACCAAGTTCGAAGCAAATTGTTTCTCCTTTCACGTTCACTCCTCTTCAGGCAGTCCCCATCTCATGAATGGCGCTCCTGTCAACCAAGTCAGACACCCAGACTCACCCAACCTACAACTAGAGCCTCAGTCATGTCAACTCAACCTCCTAGACAAGCCTTCTTAGTCCTCTCTTCTTCATCCCATAGCCTCCTACTGCATTAATTCCCTGCTCCCAGCCTCACTTCCACATAGTGGCCAAAGTCATCTTCCTAAACGGTAAATACAACCTCTTAACTCTACTGGACCCTCCAATGTCTAAATGCTGACAGAATGGAGACCAGAGGTGGCCAGCAGCACTATCCAAAATCTGCCTGGCCTGCCTCTCCCCTCTGCCCTAGCCTCCCAACCCATGGCCTCACCAGGCTGAATCACACTCCACCTTTGCTCCTGCTTGCTCTGTGTCTGCAGAACACCCTCCCCATCTTTCAAGACTGATACTTAGACATCAACTCCTGCCTAAAACTTCTCCCTCTCCTGTCAGGCAGAATTGACTTTTCCGTTCTATTGTGCACGGTACATGCTACTATCTATAGTATCTATAGCAGTTTACTGCACCGATCCATATCCTAGATGCTATGAGCTCCTTATGTACAGGACTGTATTATATTCATGTTTTTGTCTTCCTACCCATAAGTAAGGTGGTTGTTAGGATTCAAATTTCATAATATATATGAAAGTTGCCCTGTAACCTATATAAATACATGGCACTTGTAGTATCACTATCAAATCCAGATCTGTCTTATTATTAACATTTTCACTCACAAATAAAAAATGAATATATCTAATATTGGTTAATTTGGTGCATGGTTTCTGTCTACCAAATCGTGATACTACTTAGAAAAACAGGTATAAACTAGATACTACGTAGTCCTCTATCACATACCCTCCTCATAAACACATTGATCTAAATAAGAACCTTCAGGCCAGGAGTGGTGGCTCATGCCTGTAATCTTAGCACTCTGGTAGGCAGAGGTGGGCGGATCATTTGAGCTCAGGAGTTGGAGACCAGCCTGAGCAAGAGTGAGACCCCGTCTCTACTAAAAATAGAAAGAAATTACTTGGACAACTAAAAATATATAGAAAAAATTAGCTGGGCATGATGGCGCATGCCTATAGTTCCAGCTACTCAGGACGCTGAGAGGCAGAAGGAATGTTTTAGCCCAGGAGTTTGAGGTTGCTATGAGCTAGGCTGACACCACAGCACCCTAGCCCAGGCAACACAGTGAGACTGTCTAAAAAAAAGAAAACCTTCAAGGCCGGGCGCTGTGGCTCACGCCTGTAATCCTAGCTCTTGGGAGGCCGAGGCGGGCGGATTGCTCAAGGTCAGGAGTTCAAAACCAGCCTGAGCAAGAGCGAGACCCCGTCTCTACTATAAACAGAAAGAAATTAATTGGCCAACTGATATATATATAAAAAAAATTAGCCGGGCATAGTGGCGCATGCCTGTAGTCCCAGCTACTCGGGAGGCTGAGGCAGAACGATCACTCGAGCCCAGGAGTTTGAGGTTGCTGTGAGCTAGGCTGACACCACGGCACTCACTCTAGCCTGGGCAACAAAGCGAGACTCTGTCTCAAAAAAAAAAAAAAATTAATTTACCTTCATATGCTGCCACACTGTACCCAAACAAACTGTTTCCAGAGTTCCTTATCTCAAGCAATTACACACTATTCACTGAACTATTAAGCCAGAAGCTTGGAAATCATCTAGATACCTTCCTCCTTCTTCCTTAACTCCCATATCCAATCACTCACCAGAGCCTATTTATATCACTTCTTAAATTATTTTCAAATTGTCCACTTTTCTCTATCCCCACTGCCACTACCCTATTCCAAAGCCACTGTGATCTCACACCTGAACTGTCATAACAGCATCCTTGACCTGAATCCACCCCCTTCCTCTCCAAAATACTTTCCACACCTCTTTAAGAGTTAAACCATCTTACCTTTTACTCCCCATTCACATTACCCATGAGAAAAAATCAAAATGCTGGATGCTATTTCTTGAAGATGAGTCTTGCCTGTTTCTCACCACACTCCCTTTTGTCCAGTATGTTCTAACCACAGTTTAAATAAGTTACCTGTTTCTTATTCATGGGCTTTACCACTTGCATTTTTCTCCATCTGGAGTGCTTCTGTCCTCTTTGTCTAACTTCTATAGGTCTTCTAGGTGAACCTTCCTGACCATCAAACTAGATTAGTTCCCCCAGGTGTAAACTCTTTAACACCCTGATCTTCCCAGTCCGTAACATCCATCACCCTTTTTAACTATTTTGTATTTTCTGCAAGATGGTATATACTAGGAGATCAATTACCCTCCTCTCTTTATCATTCCACCCTACATTACTCGGGCCTTGGCATATCATAGAAAAATCAGTAAATATGTAACGAATGATGCATAATTCACTTTAGGGATGAAAAAGAAACATTTTTAAAAATTAAATGCAATTATGAACAGTAATTAGAACCAAAGCAGTACTGACCTGGTGTTTTCATTATATTCAAAAATCTGAACCTTGGCCATTGTATTTGGACTATTGTCATCACTTCCTACAGCTATCATGGGAGAATGAGCCCGAGAGCTAGAAATGGAGAGTAGAAAACATTTTACATAACAATGAAATTCATACAGATTTAATTCAGTGAACTAAAAAACTGGAGTCAAGACAACATACAAGTCTGCCTGTCTCTGTATGACATCCAGATCTCTGCCACACATCTGACACAGCTACATTCTGCAAGCGTGTGCTTGAGAATGTTACTTACTCACAAGAACTGAGGACACCATCCTTCTGGACTATTTCCAAACCACATGTTCTTACAGCTTAGATAGAAAGGACCTCTTTTCCCAAAAAGGTTTTAAGCATTCAACAGATTAAAAAAGATACGGGTGCAGTGGCTCACGTCTGTAATCCTAGCATTCTGGGAGGCTGAGACTGGTGGATGGCTCAAGGTCAGGAGTTTGAAACCAGCCTGATCAAAATCGAGACCCCGACTTTACTAAAAATAGAAAGAAATTAATTGGCCTACTAAAAATACAGAGAAAAAATTAGCCAGGCATAGTGGCACATGCCTGTAGTCCCAGCTACTTGGGAGGCTGAGGCAGGAGGATCGCTTGAGCCCAGGAGTTTGAGGTTGCCGGGAGCTAGGTTGATGCCACGGCATTCACTCTAGCCTGGGCAACAGAGTGAGACTCTGTCTCAAAAAAAAAAAAAAGATACCTGAGAGATCTCAGCAATTTTTCCTCCTGAAAAATTTAATCATTAACTATGAAATGAAAAGTAACCCTATTGTGACCAACTTCATGACAGAAAGGTTTTAAGGGCTTTGTACAAAAAAAGAGAAACAGATAGAAAAAGGAAAGTAGGAAAGACCACAAGATGCCTGCACATCATTCTCTCTGGACTCCTTTGTAGTCTACCTCACTTTGAAAAAGGCAAAAGATAAGTAATAAAAGGATGGCTTTACTGAAGTGAACTGTAAGGTAAACAACTTTTTTCCTCTCTATGCCTAATCACCAAAATGTCGTATTCCTCTTCCAGATTAAGTAGTATCTCTGTGAACCTGGCACCCTTGCTTATGCTCTGACCTCAATATTGTGATCTACTGACTTCTTAAAGCTAGAAACAAAATATGGTGATTAAAAAAAAGTTTTAGTTCTTTATTACTAAAGAACTACTTTAGTAGTTCTAAAGAATTACTTTAATACTAAAGCTTCAGGTAATTTTACCAACTATCTAATCGATTACCAGGTAAACTGCAAAGTGCTACAGTAATAAAAGGACAATTACCAATTATTTATAATAATGGTTAGAATAGATATAAATTCCACATTAGTTTCTATATTTCACAAACTTTCTTTTTTCAATGTTCTACAAATATGTTTTGATTTTATAATAATAATTTGAATGACCAAAAGTATATTTATAGTAACATTCAAAAATTACCAAAAACATAAAGTTTTTAAAATATTTTAAATCAAATTATGAAATGTCCAGATAGCAACCTGAATTAAGAATTACCTCATTTGTACAACCAGAAATAAGATGTTCACATTTAAACCACTTTCTAAAAATGATTCACAACTAAACAGTGAGAAAAACCATCCAGCTCTCTGAGTAGTAGACAGGTCACCTGTATCTCCAGGTTCCGATGAAAAGATAAAAGAATAATACCATAACAGTACTAGAAATCAAGAAAGCGTGCCATCAGAATTCAAGAAATTTGGAAGATTTCCAGGAAGTCAGGAAGAAGGAGATCAGACTGAGAAAGAAAATACAAAGGGAAAAAGAGTCCTTATCACCCTCAATGAGCAGTAAATCCAAGAAGCTCAAACCTCCAATTAGTTAATGCAAAGAATAGAAATCAAGGAGCAGGCCAGGTGCGGTGGCACCCTGGGAGGCCGAGGCAGGTGGATCACTTGAGGTCACAAGTTCGAAACCAGCCTGAGCAACAGTGAGACCCCCGTCTCTACTAAAAAATAGAAAGAAATTAATTGGCCAAGTAAAAATATATGTAGAAAAACTTAGCCAGGCATGGTGGCGCATGCCTTTAGTCTCAGCTACTCGGGAGGCTGAGGCAGAAGGATTGCTTGAGCCCAGGAGTTTGAGGTTGCTGTCAGCTAGGCTGACACCACGGCACTCTAGCCTGGGCAACAAAGCAAGACTCTGTCTCCCAAAAAAAAAAAAAAAGAAATCAAGGAGCAATCATGAAGTGATTAGGTTAGGAAATGTCCAAGGAGGTCTTTCTTAGTGATCAGAGTATGAAAAGGGAGAGAGAGATAAGAACTTAAACAAAGCAGTACTCCAAAATAGGCAGGGAAAGGGTCAAGGAAGAACAAAATACATTTTGGAATCAATTTAGGCAAGAAAAAAATTAAATAAATAAAGTGCTCAATTCCCAAAGTAAAATTCTTATTTTGGCAATTTGGGGGTATACCAGCCTGCCAGCCTGCTCTTGGTCCACATGCTACAAGGAAGCCTTCTGCCAACCTACTCCTCCACCTACTTAGATAAAACTCAGTCAGCCTCCGTAGTTAAGAAAAAAACAGAGCTTCGTGATGCACAGGCTTCCAGCTGGGGTAAGAGAGTACACTCTGTCTTTTTCCTTCAGCTCCCATACCTGAGTGTTCTTCTTGCAGTCTAATTACTGCCACGTTTTTCACATTTTTGTGTTTTTGGTGATTTCAGTCTAAAAGGGCCTGTGTGCTGCTGAAGTGCCACTAGGCAAATGTGATGTGCCTCACAGAGAAAATACATGTGTTCCAAAAGCTCCATTCAGGCCTGAGTAATAGTGCTACTGGCTATGAGTTCAATGTTAATGAATTAACAATATACACTAAATATGTTGTCTTTAAACAGAAACACACACAAAAAAAGGTTGTGTACTGATTAGTTGACAAAAATGCTGTGATCAACCTAACGCTATAATTCCCCTAGGACCAATTCAGTATTCAGTATTAGCTAATTCAGAGTTCAAGGCAACTTTATAAAACATGCCTATTGCAAATAATGAGATCTGACTATATAATTCAGGGGGAAATGCAAAAATTTTAATTAGGAACCTCAAGGAAATATTGTACCCATGTGACAAAAGCTGACTGGTATTTAAAAAAAAATAATCAGAGAAAAATAAAGTCTTAGCAATTAAAGATGATTACCATTTCACCCAAAAATTCAATGATGGAATAAAATGTATACCTGATTTAAGCTCAAGATCTGGGAGACAGTGTAGTAAATCTCCAATTTTTAAAAAATGGAGAATACATCCAGGAATAATAAAATGAGTCCCAGAAAGAACACAGACAACAGAAAAAAAAGAAATTATCAAAGAGTCATAAAATATTCCCAATTTGAAATAAGAAAATTCATTTTGAAAGGGACCACTAAGTGTTAAGTAGGATTAATCAAAAAAGATCAAAACCTAATAGTACATGTCCAGATCTGTTTCAAAATAACCCAGGTTTAGAGTTTTGTTTTGTCGTTTAGAGAAAAGGAATGAGGAAAAGTATACACACATAAAACATGAGAAGCTCTGGGTTACTATAGCTGGGTGATGGATATGTGAGGGTCTGTCCATTGTACTTCTGTTACTTACTTCTGGTGTGTCTGAAATTTCCCTAATTAAAAAAACAAAAAACCTTTAAAAGCAAAAAATATCTACAAATATCCTGGTTAAATCTTAGAATTCTATACTTCAAACCATATTAAGCAATTCCAGGAGGTTCAATAACCTTTATGTGAAAGACAAAACCAAAAACCTTTCAGAATACACTTGACAACCTCAAGGTGGGGATAAATTGCTCAAACAAAACACAAAAAGCACTTTAACAATAAAAGAAGACTGTTAAGTGTGGTTACATTAAAATTCATTTCTTCTAACTACCGAAAGCCATGATAAAACCTATCAAAATGACACACCATAAACTAGGAGAATATACTTGCAACAGAGCTCAAATAAGACAAAAATCCTAAAAACTTCCAGAAAGTACAAGCTACCTACAAAAGAACCAGCATTCAAAGAGTATACCATCCACCCCATCTAGAAAAAAATTAACTATGCCACTAAAATGAAAAAACATCTAAAAACATGTGACAGGCCAGGCACAGTGGCTCACGCCTGTAATCCTAGCACTCTGGGAGGCCGAGATGGGCGGACTGCTCGAGGTCAGGAGTTCGAAACCAGCCCGAGCAAGAGAGAGACCCCATCTCTACTATAAACAGAAGGAAATGAATTGGCCAACTAATATATATAGAAAAAATTAGCCAGGCATGGTTGCACATGCCTGTAGTCCCAGCTACTCGGGAGGCTGAGGCAGCAGGATTGCTTGAGCCCAAGAGTTTGAGGTTGCTGTGAGCTAGGCTGATGCCATGGCACTCACTCTAGCCTGGGCAACAAAGCGAGACTCTGTCTGAAAATAAATAAATAAAAACGTGTGACAGAAAAATTATAATACAGTAAAAGAATCATGAAAAACAGAGAAACTGTCAGAAGATAATACCAGATTATTCTACATAAAGTTTTTATGAAATAGATATTTGCATCTATTTCAATATTTACATAATCTAATATTGCAAATCTGACCGCTACTTAATTTCTAGAATCAACTTGTAGTCAAAACACAAAATACTTATATATATATGTTAAATGTTTACAGAATGTAAATATAAATATCATATAAGCTTGCCGACTTATAAGCAATATAACAAGAATTAAGAAATGGAAGGGGCAATGAGATAAAAGCAAAATAAGCTAATATCCTCATTTTTAAGAGGAGCATCAATAAATCAGTAAGTATAAATGTCAATAAATCAGAGATATAAACGTATTATTTGAAATTAATTACCAACAAAACTAAAACTATCAACATTACCACAAATATCTATTTAGTCACATCTTGAAAGGGGGAAATTATTACAAATGTGCTCTATTCACCTTTCATATCAGTATGGATCTTTTTAAAGATAACATAGCAAGAAGCCGGGAATGGGGGCTCAAACCTATAATCCTAACACTTTGGGAGACTAAGGCCAGAGGATCACGTGAGACCAGGAGTTTGAGACCAGCCTTAGCAAGAGTAAGATCCCCATCTCTACTAAAAATAGAAAGAAATTAGCCAAACAACTAAAAATAGAAAAAATTAGCCAAGCATGGTGGCGTATGTCTGTAGTCTCAGCCACTCCAGAGGCTGACGCATGAGGATCACTTGAGCCCAGGAGTTTGAGATTGCTATGAGCTAGGCTGATACCATGGCACTCTAGCCCAGCCAATGGAGCGAGATTATCTCAAAACAACAACAACAACAACAAAAAAACAGAACTATTAACAGAATTTGTTTTTAGGGGTAAGGGAACCTTTAGCTTTCATTTTGTACTCCTCTGGATTATTTGAATTTTTTCCTTATCAAGGAAAAAAACTTTTTCTTATAAGAGTTTAATTAAAAAGAGTATAAGTCACACTCTATATAGCAGTTAAAAAGGAATGAGGTTTGGCTAGATATACTAATATATGGAATAATGTCCACAGTGTATTTGTAAGTGACAAAAGCAAACTGCAAATTTAAATGCATTGGTAGAGTGGAAAGAATACAGGCTCTAGAATCACACAGACATGCCTCTGCCATTTACTAGGTATATAACCTTGAATAAGTTATAGTAAGATCTGTCCAGGCCTTAAGAGAGTTTATATATGTCTTCTACGTCTACCTATGTTAGTAAATAACACCAAATTATTAACAAAGGTTGGCTTCTTCTGTGGAGTGGAAACCTGAGAATAAGAGTCATGTCTGGATGAAAAAGGGAGAATTTATACTCTACATAATATATCTTATTAAGGAAAAGCATTTTTTTTTTTTTTTTTTTTTTTGAGACAGAGTCTCACTTTTGTTGCCCAGGCTAGAGTGAGTGCCGTGGCGTCAGCGTAGCTCACAGCAACCTCAAACTCCTGGGCTCAAACGATCCTCCTGCCTCAGCCTCCCAAGTAGCTGGGACTACAGGCATGTGCCACCATGCCCGGCTAGTTTTTTGTATATATATTTTTAGTTGGTCAATTAATTTCTTTCTATTTTTAGTAGAGACGGGGTCTCGCTCAGGATGGTTTCGAACTCCCAACCTCGAGCAATCCGCCCGCCTCGGCCTCCCAGAGTGCTAGGATTACAGGCGTGAGCCACCGCGCCCGGCCGGGAAAAGCATTTTTGAGAAAATAAACCATCAAATTCTTAGCTTAAAACCTGCTAGTTTGTTTTACTATGATTATATTAGCAGAGGTTTGATATGTAATCTTACCTTGAAGGGTTCCAAGAAATGCAACTACAGCTCAGCTTACATGAGATCTCATGCTGCAGAGACCACTGGCTGAGATTCATAACATCTGGTGCCTCATATATTCTTACTATACCATCTGCTGAACAGGTTGCTAACATAAGACCCATATGCTTGGGAGCAAATTTCACATCGGTAACAGACGTCCTACTATCCACTAGAGTTGTCCTTTTAACCTGGAAAAAAAAAAGGTAATTTAAATTATGTGCAAAAAGAAAGCATTGGAAGAATGGAAATAATACAGGCTCTAGAATCATAGACACTCTTCTGCCATTTACTAGCTATATAATCTTGAATAAGTTATAATAAGATCTATCTAGGCCTTAATTTCCTACAAAGCACATGGCAAAATATTGCATGTATAGTTAGCCATCACTAACAAATTAGTGAACTACAATTAATTACTCCCTTTAAGGCAAAAGAACATCTGCCTTAGAAAGCCTAACTTTATATAGGTAAACTCTCTTAAGCAGACTGGTCACAAAAACCCAGAAATGGCCGGGCGCGGTGGCTCACGCCTGTAATCCTAGCTCTCTGGGAGGCCGAGGCGGGCGGATTGCTCAAGGTCAGGAGTTCAAAACCAGCCTGAGCCAGAGCGAGACCCCGTCTCTACTATAAATAGAAAGAAATTAATTGGCCAACTGATATGTATATAAAAAAATTAGCCGGGCATGGTGGCGCATGCCTGTAGTCCCAGCTACTCGGGAGGCTGAGGCAGAAGGATCGCTCGAGCCCAGGAGTGTGAGGTTGCTGTGAGCTAGGCTGACGCCCCCGCACTCATTCTATCCCGGACAGCAAAGCGAGACTCTGTCTCAAAAAAAAAAAAAAAAAAAAAAAAAAAAAAACCCAGAAATGTTAGAATTTTCATATAGGTGGTTTTGTAATGTCAAGCATGCTATAATCAATAAATTAAATGCATTAAGATGCTTCAATAGTAAATGGAAGGCATGCAATTTTTTCTCTCAAGCATAAATGTCACCTAATCCTACTTGGACCACTACCATCCACTTTCTTTTTTTTAATCTTTTTTTTGAGACAGAGTCTTGCTCTGTCACCTGGGCTAGAGTGCTAAGGCGTCAGCCTAGCTCACAGCAACCTCGAAGTTGTGGGTTCAAGCAATTCTCCTGCCTCAGCCTCCCGTGCAGCCGGGACTGCAGGTGGTATGCCACCACGCCTGGCTAATTTTCCTACTTTTAGTAGAGATGAGGTCTCATTCTCGCTCAGGCTGGTCTTGAACTCCTGAGCTCAAGTGATCCTTTGGCCTTCACCTCCCAGAGTGCTAGGTTACAGACGTGAGCCATCGCGCCTGGCAACTGCCATCCACTTTTAAGTGAAGCATTTGATAGAGACCAAGAGAATGATATGAAGCTGGCATTGTGATAATTATAGAATTCTATCAATGCATTTAAAAGTTATTTTCTGGCACTTAAATAAGACAGTACCTGACTGAAAACATCAATAAAACTTATAAATCAGCAGTTTACTATGGTTACCAAAATACTTCTTAAGGAGTCTCAATACTAAAAGAATATCATACATAAACTTCAAAGATAATATCTTAGCAAACGTTTGTCTGCTAACACTACTGAATAATTAGTAGCAACACAAATGTTCCCCATAATACTCTGAAATAAAAAATAAATTTAAAAATAATCATTTAAAAAAAAACAAATGCATTGAGAAAATAAATGTATTAGTGACAGTTGACTTAACTAAATAAATACAAATAAACACCCTGAAGTTAGAAGAAAAATCCTTTATATGCTACCATTCCTAATCCCAACCTATCGTATACCAAACTGATACACCTCAGACTGAATGCCAGAAAATCTCTTTTAATTCTATAAATTTCCCTTCTCTCCTCCCCATAAGCAGTTGTTTACCCAAGAAGACCCTTAAGTGCAAAGGCAATCAGACCAACTCCTCCCCCTATAAGAAGAGTTGTAAAACAATCTGAATAGCATTCAAGCTACAAAGGCACTGTAATTAAAACAGTGTGTTGTTGGTATAAGAGACATATAGGCCAATGGAACAGAATAGAGCCCAGAAATAAATCCTCAATATATGTACGGTCAGCTGATTTTCAGCAAGTGTGTCAAGACTATTCAATGGGGAAAAGCACTATTCACTTTTCAATGAATAGTGCTGGAAAACTGGATGTCCACATGCAAAAGAATGAATTTGGACCTTATACCACATACAAAAATTAACTGAAAATGGATCAAAGACCTAAAACTATAAAACTCTTAGAAGAAAAACATCAGGAAAAGTCTTTAGGACAATGGATTTGGCAACGATTTCTCAGATAAGACACCAAAAGCAAGGGAAACAAAAGAAAAAACAGATAAATTGAACTTAATCAAAATTCTGTGCATCAAAAACACTATCACAGGCCGGGAGCAGCGGCTCACACCTGTAATCCTAGCACTTTGGGAGGACTGCTTGAGGCCAGAAGTTTGAGACCAGCCTGACAAGAGCGAGATCCATCTCTACAAAAAATATAAAAATTAGCCAGGCATGGTAACATGCGCCAGTAGTCCCAGCTACTTGGGAGGCTGAGACAGGAGGCTCGCTTGAGCCCAGGAATTTAAGGCTGCATGAGCTATGATGACACCACTGTACTGTACCCTGGATGACAGAGTGAGACCTTGTCTCAAAAAGAAAAAAAAAAAATATCCCACTATCACTAAGAGTGAAAAGGCAAATCCACAGACCCAGAGAAAATATTTGCAAATTATATACAGGTTGAGCATCCTGAATCCAAAAATCCAAAATGTTCCAAAACCCAAAACTTTTTGGGCACTGACATGACATACAAAAGAAATGCTCATTGCAGGATTCTGAATTTTGAACTTTTGGATTTAGGATGCTCAACTGGTAAGCATACAAGGCAAACATTTCCAAACCCGAAAAAACTGGAATCTGAAACACTTCTGGTCCCAAGCATTTCAGATAACAGATACTCAACCTGTATCTGATAAGGGATTAATATCCAGATCATCAGAAGAACTCCTACAACTCAACAACAAAACAGAAGAACCATCCAATCAAAATACAGGCAAAGGACTTGAATGGCTCTTTCCCTGAGAAGATATAATTGGCCAACAAGCACGTAAAAAGATGCTCAATATCAATAATCATTAGAGAAATGCAAAGCAGAATCACAATGAGATACCACTTCACCCCCATTAAGATGGCTATAATAAAAAATAGAAAATAACAAGTGTTATCAAAGATGTGAACAAATTGGAACCCTCCTGCATTGCTGGTGAGAATGCAAAATGATGCAGCCACTATAGAAAAGTTTGGTTAATTCCTCAAAAAGTTAAACATACAACTACCATGAGTCAGCAATTCTACTCCTAGGTATATAGACAAAAGAACTGAAAGCAGGGTCTCAAACAGATACATCTATACACCACTGCTCATAGTAGTATTATTCACAATAGCCAAAAAGTAGAACCACCCATGTGTCCATCTATAAATGAATGAATAAATGTGATTTATACACACATGATGAAATACTATTCAGCCATAAAAAGAAATAAACATGATATATGCTACAATCTAAACAGATCTTGAAAACGTTTTACTTAGTGAAATAAGCCAGTCAAAAAGGACAAATACTGTATGACTGTACTTATATGAGGTACATATAGTAGTGCAGAAAGTAAAACAGAGGTTACCGGGGGATATAGGGAAGGGGAAGCAGGAAGCATCATTTAATGGTACAGAGTTTATTTTGGGAATGATGAATAGTTTAGGTCATAGATAACAGCAGTGGGTATGCAGCATTATGAACATAATAAATTCCACTGAACTATACATTTACTAATAGTTAAAATGGTGAATATGTTACATATTTTATAATAAAAAATGCATCAGAAAAAAGCAGTATCAATAGCATGTAAGCATTATATTGGGGCTAAGGGTGTGGTAGGAATGGAGAAGAACACACTGTTTATAGCCCTGTAAAGGAACAGAACATATCCAGGAGACATAAAAACCTACAGTTGGGGTCGCCTTAGGGAGAGAAGCAAGTGACAAGAAGAGGATGACATTCTCACTGTATACACCTTTTGACTCCTTTTGGATATCACACAGTGTACATCATTATCAATTACAAAAAAGTATAGATGGGAAAAAAATGTCTGCAGATGACAAAACCTTAAAATGAAAACACTAGAAGGGTCTTAAAGATAATCTAGTTCAATTCTCTCTTTATAGACAAGAAACTTGAACAGCACACAGATTACGTTCTTGCCCAAATCCAAATATCCAATCAGGGCAGAGGTAGATGCAGATAAAGGAGAGCATATTTTGTAAGAAAACAAAATAAACCACAATACAGAAAAATAATTTTTAAAGAATTCTAGAGGATACTCTAAAATCACATGCCAATATCACATAAAATACAATATATGAAATTACATAAAAATACTCTGGATTCATTATGAAAGTTATAATTAACGCAATGAGTGCTCCTTTATACCACTTCAGGCCCAAGACAGAATTAAACAAACAAGTAAGAAAAAAACACATTACAGAAGAAAGAAAAGTGAAACTGGTAAATACAGAAGAGAGAGGTAGCATTTCACCAGTGTCTGAGGTATTCCTAGGTATTCTAATGCTCCTTGGCTGCTCACTTTCCCAGCTGTCCCCCGGAATACTAACAAATGTCTCACCCAGTGACTCTGGCCTCGAAGTTTATCATTTGATTCTCCTACTATTTCTTCCCATACAGCAGCTGTTCGGTCAAAAGAACAGGAAGCCAAAACCTGTCCAAATTCAGGATGGGCCCATGTTACACGCCATACAGATCCACTATGTGTCTGGGGAATGAAAAAGAAAAGCAACAGATATTCAATAATATCCCAGGCCTTTTTTTTCTTTTAAAAAAAATTAGTTTATTCATATTTCACACATTGGATTTTACTTGAGGATACTAAAACAGATATTTTTACTTCAACAAAAAGAGAAAGGTGATCAATGTAACATTTAAATGAAAAGTTAAGTTTTATAACTTTTTAACCTTTAAAAGATATTCTATATTTAAGATTGCAGCCCTTCTGGAGTCAAGTTCTTTTAACATTTTACTAATAAAGAAAAACCCAGTTTGATAAAGTTGACTACTTCCAGTGGTAATAGTTGGATACTTGCTTCAGAGTTCAGCCTAACCAAGCTTTGAAAACAGAGATTCTCTGATTCCACCATTTTTTCACTTGCAAATTCTTTCTACAGGAAACACTCACCTAACAAAATAAATAAAATTAGGTTAATCAAAATTATTTGCTTCAAAATCCATAAAGACAGAAAGTCTCTACCAGGAGCTGGAAAAGGAAGATTGAGAAGTGACTGCTAAATGGGTACAAAGTTTCCTTTTGGGGTGATAAAAACATTCTGGAATTAGATAGTGATGAGAGTTGCCAACTTTGTGAATATATTTAAAATCACTAAATTGTACACGTTACATGGGTGAATATTATGGTATGTAAATTATAACTCAATAAAAAAGTATTAGTCTGTTTTATAAAGAAATTATTTGCTTCAAAAGCATAACAATATAGCGACTATAGTAACAAAATCCTTAAATGATTCTCACTGATATCTGGTTAGATAACAGACTATTCTGGGAAGAGGCACTGAGCACGCAAGTATAGAGAAGCCCAAATCATTTAAAGCTCACATCCCCTGTAATCCTATCACTCTGGGAGGCCAAGGCGGGCGGATTGCTTGAGGTGAGGAGTTCAAAACCAGACTGAGCAAGAGCGAGACCCCATCTCTGCTATAAATAGAAAGAAATTAATTGACCAACTAATATATATAGAAAAAATGAGCTGAGCATGGTGGCACATGCCTGTAGTCCCAGCTACTCGGGAGGCTGAGGCAGCAGGATTGCTTGAGCCCACGAGTTTGAGGTTGCTATGAGCCAGGCTGACTCACTCTAGCCTGGGAAACAAAGCGAGACTCTGTCTCTAAATAAATAAATAAATAAATAAAGCAAGCTCAGTATCATTATCTTTATATACGAAAAATGTCAAATTATTATTCTACAACCCTTCATGTTGACCCCCCCTACCAAAATAAAGGATGGAGAAGTCTTAAAGCACAACCAAAACAATTTGCTAGTTGTGTCCAAGCAAAAATACTATACCACTATATGAAGATAAACATAGAAAATTTGTGTCACAATTCTATATATCTAATATTTTTTACATTCAACAACATAAGAACACTTTCTTAACCCAATAAAGTCTACATGGTAACAATGTCACCAACCAAAGGTAAACTTTGCACTCTTATTTTTTATCCTTTGTTTTGTCCAGTCTTTTCTTTATCATCTTCAATTCTTACATGGCACTATGAAGTAAAAAATACACTAAAGCAGAGAAGTTTTATCAAATGTTGGATTCCCCGTAAAGCACAATCTAACTAAAGAATAATGCTTGCACAAAGATGCGCATCACAATAAAATGTAAACAACTAAAATATACATTAGTTAAGCAAAACATGGTATATTTATTGGATGCTTATAAAGAACCCTTAAAGTAGGGGTCCCCAACCTACGGTGAGTTTTATAATTATTTCATTACATATTACAATGTAATAATAATAAAAATAAAGTACACAATAAATGTAATGTACTTGAATCATCCCAATCCCAAAATCATCCCTCCCGCCCCTATCTGTGGAAAAATTGTCTTTCATGAAAATGGTCCCTGCTGCCAAAAAGGTTGAGGAACTGCTACTTTAAAGATATACCAGAGTACTTATGAAATATGTTGTTAGAATAAAAAGCAAGAGATTGGGGTTTCTTCTGAATTGTTTTGGAACTAGAAAGAGGTAGTAGTTGCATAACATTGTGAATGAAGTAAATGTCACTTAACTGTTTATTTTAAAATAATTAATTCTAGGATATGTGAAGCTCACCTCAATTTTAAAAAAGGGCAAAAAATGTGGATAAATCCTTCACCAAAGAAGATATATGAATGGGAAATAAGCACATGAAAGGATAATCAACATTAGTTATTAAGGAAATAGAAATCAAATTCCAATGATTTTGTGGTCACTTCATAACCACAAAATGGCTATAATATGGCATAGACACTTTGGAAAAGACTTGGCATTTACTTAGAAAGTTAAAGCACATACAACCCAGCAATTCCACTCCTAGCTATCTAACCTAGAGAAATGAAAACATGTCCACACAAAGATTTATATGGCATGTTCTCAATATTATTAAAACAGCCAAAAACTTGAAACAATTCAAATGCCTATCAACTGGTAAGTGGATAAACAAAATGTGACATTTCTATATAATGGATTACTCAGTCTTACAAAGGAACTACTGACAACATTACACAAGAACAAACCCCAAAAACATGCTAATGGAGCCAGAAAAGAATCAAAGAACTACAACTGTTTAAATAAAATTGACATTTTATATTCATGTGAAAAAAACAAAACTAGTAAGGGAAAGAAGGCATAAAGGACCACATTTTTCAGGATTCAATTTATATGAAATTTCTAGAAAAGAATAAACCTATACAGACAGAAAATGGATCAGTGGTTGCCTCAGGCTCAGAGTGGGAATAGGGCACAAGAGGAATTCCTGAGTTGATGTGTTCTAAAACTAGAGTATGGTGATGATTGCATAACTGTGTCAGTTTACTAAAACTCACTGGACTATACATTTAAAACTGATGACTTTTAAGGGTATGAAAAATTCTACCTAAGTTGTTTTAAAAAAAAAAAAAAGCCAGAAATAAAACTATGCATGACATATCACAACTATTAAAAATATGTAAAGGGGCCGGGCGCGGTGGCTCACGCCTATAATCCTAGGGTCAGGAGTTCGAAACCAGCCTGAGCGAAACCCTGTCTCTACTAAAAAGAGAAAGAAATTAATTGGCCAACTAAAAATATATATACAAAAAAAATTAGCCAGGCATGGTAGCGCATGCCTGTAGTCCCAGCTACTTGGGAGGCTGAGGCAGTAGGATCCCTTGAGCCCAGGAGTTTGAGGTTGCTGTGAGCTAGGCTGACGCCATGGCACTCACTCTAGCCTGGGCACAAAGTGAGAAAAAAAAAAAAAAAATGTAAAGGGGGCCGACCATGATGGCTCACGCCTATAATCTTAATACTGTGGGAGGCAAAGGGGGGAGGATCTCTTGAGGTCAAAAGTTTCAGACCTGCCTAAACAAGAGTGAGACCCCATCTCTACAAAAAACATAAAAATTAGCTGGTTCGCCCCTGTAATCCCAGCTATGAGGAGGCTGAGGAAGGAGGATCACTTGAGATCAGGGAGTTTGAGGTTGCATTGAGCTATGATTACAAACCACTGACTGCACTCTAGCTGGGCAACAGAGCAAGACTCCATCTCAAAAAAAAAAAAAAAAAAAAAGAATATGCTGAAATGCTAAGATAGTTATGTTAGAATGTTAAAGAAATATAGAATCTTACTCTCAAAATATCTGAAATCTACTTCTATTACTTTAATAGTAAAAAAAAATGTAAAATATCTTCCAGAAAGGAACTACTACACAATTTTTGTAATTTTCTCAAAGCTGAATAGTAAATCATTGATACTACCAAATAAACGGTAAATATTTCTGTTTTTTTAATTCCTGTAAAAATAAATACTAACCTTCCAGCTAGCAGTACAATGCCAATCCCCACTTTCACTTTTATCCCAGACCTGTAAAAAAACAAAAGGCAGATATTTATATAAAGAATTCCTACGAATTGATACAAAAAAACTGTGAGACTGAATCAGGTGTACAGGTAAAGAGGAGAACCTAACATTGATAAAAGAATACAACCATTAAGTAAATATCCATTCATTCAGTCAAATATTTACTGAGAACCTTGAATGTGTCAGACACTGGGCCTAGCACTAAGGGATCCAGGAAGCAGAGCTCTAACAGGTAATAGAGGCAATTACAATTATAGTCAACTCTCATTATAAGGTAGTTTTGTTCTATACAGCTGCTTGACTACTGAAACATTGCTCTTAGGAGAAATATAGGTTAGGTTGCTGTGAGCCTCTAGCCTAACATTTTCATCAACCAATGAATAATATGACTTTGTTTTATGCATGATTCTGTTTAAAGATAACTTATTTAACGTATATTGTTTATTCAACAACATTGAACTCACAGCCAACAGCACTATGTAACCCACACTCTAACACACATACTTTCACTGTAAGGCAAATCACAGCCTTCTTGAGCTTAGGAACTAAAAAACACTTCAGTACTACATTTGGATGCCACTTCAAATAGTGAAATCAGGAACAGAAAGAACAAAACATGCAAAATTGTGGCACTAAGTAGCCCATGAAAAATACACTTGTTTACAATATGAGCCAAAATACTAATAAGAGTGTCATCTTGTTCCACCTCAGCTGAGAGTGTTGTGTCTGGGGACTCAAACTGTTCAATATTCCCCACATGTGGGCAAATGACTGTCAAGCACCACCAATACTGACTTTGGAGGTACACACAAATTTTAGCAAGTAGACAAATTCACAAATACAGAATCTACAGATAATGAGGATCAACTGTATATGTAACAAATGTTAAAGTAAAATATTGAAACCGGGCAGGGTGAAGCATTCCTATAGGTCCAGCTACTGGAAAGGCTGAGGGGGGAGGATCACTTGAGCTATAGAGTATTATGACTGTACCTGTGAACAGCCACTGTGCTCCAGCCTGGGCAACACAGAACACAGAACAAAACAAAACAAAAGAACCTTACTATCCACAAAAAATAGAGATTACAATGACGCAAGGTGCCAGTTTAGCCTATTAACAATGTAATGAGGCTGGGCGCAATGGCTCATGCCTGTAATCTCGCCACTTTGGGAGTCTGAGGCAGGTTGATCACGTGAGGTCAGGAGTTCAAGATCAGTCTGAACAAGCAAGACCCCATCTCTACCAAAAAAAAAATAACAACAAAAAAAAAAACCAAGGCCGGGCGCTGTGGCTCACGCCTGTAATCCTAGCTCTTGGGAGGCCGAGGCGGGTGGATTGCTCAAGGTCAGGAGTTCAAAACCAGCCTGAGCCAGAGCGAGACCCCGTCTCTACTATAAATAGAAAGAAATTAATTGGCCAACTGATATATATATAAAAAAAATTAGCCGGGCATGGTGGCGCATGCCTGTAGTCCCAGCTACCCGGGAGGCTGAGGCAGAAGGATCACTCGAGCCCAGGAGTTTGAGGTTGCTGTGAGCTAGGACACCACGGCACTCACTCTAGCCTGGGCAACAAAGCGAGACTCTGTCTCAAAAAAAAAAAAAAAAAAAAAAAAAACCAGAAAAATTAGCCAGGCGTGCTGGCATCCACCTATCCATCCAGTTGCTCAAAAGGCTGAGGCAGGAGGATCACTCCCACTCAGGAGTCTGAGGTTGTAGTGAGCTATGATGACACCACTGCACTCTAGCCTGGGCCAACAGAGCAAGAATGTCTCACAAAAAAAGACAAAAAAAAAAAAAAGACTATGCAGCAATAGCGTCAGTGGGAGAAAGCATAAAATCTTGCATTCAAAGGTTGCAAGTTTACATATACACATATGCTACCACGACAATTATTTAAAATGTTAAAGGAAAAATAAAAAGATATCAATAAATAGTAACAATGAATGTTAAGATAGCCAGCAAGAAAGAGAGACTGTCTCAAAAAAAAGAATGTTAAGATAGCAATGAGCCTATAATTTTTCACTTTCTAAAAAGAAAAAACTATATAACTTGCACAAATTTTTTAAAAAGTGTGTGCACATAAGTGTGTACACACATAAATACATGGCTCTTCAGTAAGAAAAAGTACTCTGGAAGAAATAGACATAAGGCCACACAATAATGAAAAAAAGTACTAATATAATATGAACACCTACAGTTCATTATTATTCTCAACTAAAAACTATTTCTGGAAAAAACACCTTTCCAATGCAGCCACTTTATAAATCAATAAAACTGACCTCAAGCTATCATATAGAATATAAATTCAATATGTATTTCATCAACATATCCAGACTATTCATGCCAGCCAACCTATGACAATTATACAAGAGAAATGTTTCCCCAAAATAGGAAGGCAAAGACTTGAACAGATATTTGTACACCAATGTTTACAGCAGCATTACTCACAATAAGCAAAAGGTGGATGGATGAATGGCTAAGCAAAATATGGTAAATACATACAATGAAATATTATTCATCCTTAAAAAAGAATGAAATTCTGATACATGCTACAATATGAACCTTGAAAATATTATGCTAAGAGAAATAAACCAAACATAAAAGGAAAAATATTCTGTGATTCTATCTTTTTTTTTTTTGAGACAGAGTCTCACTCTGTTGCCTGGGCTAGAGTGCTGTGGTGTCAGCCTAGCTCACAGCAACCTCAAACTCCTGGGCTCAAGTGATCCTACTGGCTCAGTTTCCCGAGTAGCTGGGACTACAGGCACAAGCGACCATGCCCGGATAATTTTTTCTATTTGTAGTTGTTTGGCTAATTTCTTTCTATTTATAGTAGAGATGGGGGTCTCGCTCTTGCTCAGGCTGGTCTGGAAATCCTGACCTCCAGCGGTCCTCTCTCCTCGAGCCTCCCGGAGTGCTGGGATTATAGGCTTGAGCCACTGCGCAGGCCAGCTACGACTCTTATTAAAAAAACGTTTAGTATCACTTTTTTAAAAAATTATTTTTATTGTGGTAAACTACATAACCGTTTTAAAATGTACAATTTATTTGCATTAAGCACAACATTCACATAGTCGTGCAGCCATCACTACTACCCATCTCCAGAACCTTTATATCCTAAACTGAAACTCCACCCCGTCTGAGGCGGCAGGATCGCTTGAGCCCAGGAGTTTGATGTTGCTGTGAGCGAGGCTGACGCCACGGCACTCTCTACTCAGGGAAACAGGGGTGAGACCTTCTCAAAAAAAAATTCTGTTTGTCAGAACAGTGAACAGGCGTTTACAGGAACTGTAAGAAACAAACACTCTAATTCCTAGACAGCAAGTAGAAAATTCACTGGATGTAAATGGTTTTTATTTTTCTTTCTTCTCGAAACAAAATGAGCTTATCTGAACCCAAGTAAAAATCTTCTCAGGTGAGAGAACACAGGTGAGGCACACACCGCCTGCTAAGTATTCCGGTCAGGTCCCTCTGCAAAGCGCTCTCGCTGAACACGCGCGGCGGGAGGCCAACGACGCCCAGCCACCGCGCGGGCGGACGCGCGCCCCCGAGGACGAGCGGCGCGGCTCCGTCTCTCTGCCCGCTGCGGGCGCCGGCGTCCGCACCTGGCGGGAGCGCGCACGCGGCGGGACGCCCGCCCCGCGCAGGCGCACGGAGGGCGGCCCCCGAGAGGCCGCCGTGACCCCACAATACGAGGGCGGGGAGCGCCCTCGCCGCGCCCGGGCTTGGCAGCACTGCCTGGCCGGCCGCGGCTTGCCTGCCACCCCTGGCCTGCAAGCCTCGTGCCCGGCGGCATGCAGTAAGATCAGGACGAGTCCTCCTTCCCCGCGCCGCCCACCCAGTCTCCCTTCCAGACGCGGCCCTGCCTGCAGACGCCAAGAGCACCTTAACGCTCTGATCGCTGGAGCAGGTCGCCATCCGCCGCCCGTGGAAGTCGAAGGAGACATCGTGGATGAGATCCTTATGGTCCGCCGCGATGCTGCGCGCCACAAACATGGCTCCCGCCGCACCCGCGCCTCCGAAGAGGGCAGTGGCGGCGGCGGCGGCACGCGGCCCGTAGCCTACCCGGGCCCGCAGCCCGGGCGCGCACGGCGCGTCCTCCCCGCGCCGCCCCGCCCCTCGGCCTGTCACGCCCCGCCCCGCCCCCTGGTCCGTCATGCCCCGCGAGGCCGACGCCTGCGCCTCCTGGGCCAGCCGGCGCGCGGGCACAGCGCAGTCGCTGTGGCCGAGCTTAGCAACGTCTTGCGGGGAGCCGGAAGCGAGGGAAGCAGATGAAGTGCGAACGTTAAGGAAAATGAGAGCTAGAAATGCCACGCACATTTCTCGGCCCTGAATCAGTTCCGTCAACATTTGTGTGTGTCTTCCCCCAGACACGTGGGAGGTGCGCTGCGAGCGGAGAAATCGCCCCGGGGATTCGGTCAGGGACCGAACTCTGCAGGGGCGACGGCGGGAGGGGGCTGCAGACGCGCCTGAGGCGATCGCTCCAGGAGGCCGGGCTCCGAAGCCGTAAAGCGAAGGCGGCGGTCGGGGGTGGAGTTGAGAGGGAGAAGAAGGATAGGATCGGAAGTAATGGTCAAAATGTTTGAACATTTCACAGGTAGAACAGGTTTTGAAGTGCTAAGAATCAAGATGGGGGTAAGGAAACAAGGCATTAGAAATTAGTGCTATCCTGTGAAAACTTAACTCACCTTTGGAAGACTTACTAGCCTGGAGCCAGAGTCCTCAATGGAGAAATAAGTGAAGTGAGCAAAAAAACCCTGAAGAAGGAAGCCTGTGAATAAGAGTCCCTAGATCTAGGATTCCGTCAAAACGGGGAAGTGGAGAAACTTTCTCCAAAGAGGTTAGCGATTTGGGGGGTTTTGTTTGTCAGGAAAAGGCATTCTAGAGGCCTTAGTGGTAAATTTAGGTAGGATGGGAAACAGTGAAAACTGGGTCATTGTAGTGAAAATACAGGAAAAAAAATTAAAAACGAGGCTGCAGAAGGGGCTTGCATTTTGGATTATGGCCAGGAATTACAAGAATGTAAGGCATGATAAGATTAGCTGGCTAGAAACTTTTCAAAATAAATTAGTTCCAACTGTCCCCTGATTGATTGTACAGACACCTGTAAAGTGGGGGAGGAATGACCTGCCCTTTTTTAACTAAAAATAAGTTTTTGTGGCTACTTTAGTTCTGGAGTTGCAGATACGAAAATTGATAACAACTAATTTCTTTAAGGTAAGAGACACTGATTTTCAAAGAAACAACTCACTATAAAAGTCCAATCAGCTTCACCACTATACATTACATCCATGTAACAAACACTTGTACACCCTAAATCTATTGAAATTTTTTAAAAAGAAAATAAAAGTCCAATCTATAAGAACAAAAAAATTTTAAAACATTTTTTCTTTTTAGAATTATTTAAATTAATTTTATAAATACATGGTAAACAGATCAGTGGTTGCCATTGATTATTAGTGGGAGTGGAATGCCAAATAGGTGAAACACGGTGGATTTTTTTATAATAGACTTAAGTTTTTAGAGCACTTTCAGGTTCACAGCAAAATTGAGCAGAAAATACAGAGTTCCCACGTACACCCGCTACCTCTACACATGCACTGCCGTCTTCCACCATCAGCATCCCATACCAGAGTGGTGCATTTACACTCATGAGTGGATTTATTTAATACAAAATGTATATGTGTATGTAGTATGTGGAAATTTTGTTTGGATTTATAAAAGTAAGTTTTAAAATACTATACCTATTTTTGTTTTTTAATTTTTTTTTTGAAACAAAGTCTCACTGTGTTACCTGGGTTAGAGTGTCGTGGTGTCAGCCTGGCTCACAGCAACCTCAAACTCCTGGGCTCAAGCAGTCCTCCTGCCTCAGCCTCCCTAGTAGCTGGGACTACAGGCATGTGCCACCATGCCTGGCTAATTATATATATATATGGTTTTTATGGGGTTTTTTGGGGGGGGGGTTGTCCAGCTAATTTCTTTCTATTTTTTTAGTAAAGACAGAGTCTCGCTCTTGCTCAGGCTGGTCTTGAACTCCTGAGCTCAAACAATCCACCTGCCTTGGCCTCCCAGAGTGCTAGGATCATAGGTGTGAGCCACCACCCCCGGCCTAATTTTTCTTTTTAAAAAAATAGCCACTGTGGCCAAGCTCAATGGCTCACGCCTATATTCCCAGCACTCAGAGGCAGAGGCAGAAGCAGGAGGATTGCTTTAACTAAAGAGTTCAAGACCAGCCTGAGCAAGAATGAGACCCCATCTCTACTACAAATAGGAAAAATTAGCTGAGCATGGTGACCTGTGCCTGTAGTCCCAGCTACTTGAGAGGCTGAGACAAGAGAATGGCTTGAGTCCAGGAATTTGAGGTTGCTGTGATGTAGGCTGACTCTAGCCTGGTGACAGAACAAGACTGTCTCAAAAAAAAAAAAAAGTTCTAGTATATCTTGGAGATACTTCCATGTAGGTCTAGTTCAATTTTTTATTCTTTTTAACCAGTACATTCAAATAGGGATATATTGTGATTTATTTAACCATTCCCTTGCTATTGTACTAACATGCAAAAATCACCATAGGCATGCTTTATTTCTTATAGCTTTATTATATAGCTTTTATTATATGTATTTCATTATATTTCTAAAGTTTTCTTCATACAGTTTTACATGTTTCTCATGAGGTTTATTAAAACTTTATAGTTCTTATATATTGTGAGTGTGCTTTTTTCTATATTGTTTATGAGAAAGCTATTTTTATATCTTTTTAAATCTGTTTTCTTTTTTTAATTTTTTTTTATTTTGGCATATTATGGGGGTACAGATTTTAAGGTTTCAATAAATGCCCTTTCCCCTCCTCCCCCCACAAGTCTGAGTCTCCAGCATGACCATCCCCCAGATGGTACACATCTCACTCATTATGTATGTATATACCCGCCCCCTCCCACTTGCCCAATACCCTATTACTGTAGTCCCTATGTGTCCACTTAGGTGCTGCTCAGTTAATACCAGTTTGCTGGTGAGTATATGAGGTGCTTGTTTTTCCATTCTTGGGATACTTCACTTAGTAGTATGGGTTCCAGCTCTAACCAGGAAAATATAAGATGTGCTATATCACCATTGTTTCTTAGAGCTGAATAGTACTCCATGGTATACATATACCACATTTTATTAATCCATTCTTGGATTGATGGGCACTTGGGATGTTTCTACAGCCTTGCAATTATGAATTGTGCTGCTATAAACATTCGAGTACAGGTGTCTTTTTTGTAGAGTGTCATT